TACTTACCTCCCCATCATCCATGACAAGTACCCTGTCCGAGTCTAAGATGGTGTTGAGGCGGTGAGCGATGGTGAGCATGGTACATTCGCTGAAGGCTTCCCTGATAGTGGTTTGGATCAGGCTGTCCGTGTCAGTATCAATAGCGGCTGTGGCTTCATCCAGCATCAAGATCTTATGAAGAAAAAAAATGCAAACCACAAGTTACGTCTTAAATCCGTTGGACATACCGACTTTCTTGATTTGTCTTTTTCATGGAAGGGGTAAATTTGAGAGAGGGGTAAAGATTTCCCGTCTGACAAACCTTGCTGTTTCGGAGCAGGGCTCTGGCCATGCATAGCAGCTGTCTCTCGCCGACAGAGAAGTTGTCACCGCCTTCCACCACTGGCGCCTCTAGCTGGTTGTCCAAGGCACTGATCTGTCATGACCCCCAAAATGACAAAAGTCCCAGAAAATATAACAGACTGGACACCTCAAACTATTAACTCAGGAAAATAATAATTCAGCGGAATTCTATGTAACAGAGCTGTCTCTGTGGATACATAATCCTAGGGTATACGCAAAACTGTATTAAATTGGGGCATTGGGGACTGTTGGGGTTAATCGGTATCGTTTACAAGGCACAAAAGATCAACTCTAGTTCCTGGTCTTGATTCCGTAGCCAAGTCCTACGTCTTCCCAAACATCCGATAAAATACCAATCAAACCGTTCTTTGAATGAAGCCAGAATAAGGGAGATTTGAAGCTTTCATGGTGGAAGTAGCAAGTAAATTAGATCGAGGTAACACCAGGGATATATCTCTTTTTTGAGTATGTGGGGTTCTGGAAAGAATTGGCGGTACTCAACGCTTCGGACAGTAGGCTCTGTCCATCGTCAGGAGATTGACAATGGCAAGAGGCCAGAATGAGATCAAACACGAAATAGCAAGAGCTCTTATAACTCCCCAATCGTCAGGAAATCCCAGTGTAGCATGCAAAAATTGTGCCATCGAAGTCAACCGTGACTCTTCTGTCTCACCTTTTCCTTCATGTAGGTCCGTTCGAGGGCTTCCCATACCTTGCCATCGCTGTAATCCTCAAAAGGATCCAGATTATACCTAACAGAATGGATGAAACAGAGATTTTAATAGACCATCAACGTAACAATGTCATGCTTTGCTTACATGTTTGCTTTCCTATTGTGACTCGACGGATCGTGACAGACTTCACAGCCATAGGAAAGCACACATGTAAACAAAGCGTGACATCATTATGTCGCAGTTCTATCCGCTCTGAGCGGAACAAAAGAGGGCGTGTTTTTTGGTACTCACCGCATAGGCCTGCCATGAGGCGCACAAGTATATGCGCGTTTGATGCGGAGCACGCTGAGTACGCGTATCTAATTTATTCCGGCTAGTATGGTCTTTGCGTACACGCAGAACACGTGTAAGAACCTGCTTGTAACCACATGTCTTTCTTTTGCCGATTGAGGGCGCACTTCAGCTCAGGGCAGATAAGCTAAAGTAGCTTCTTCTGTCATCGTGTAGAGTTTACACAGCATGCTTAGATGCTTGGTACCATTCAGCTAAGTTTGGAACTATCATCACCAGATTGTCAGAAAAAACTTTTGGGACAAGTCCATAAATTCTGCCAAAGGTTTTTGCGCTTACCTGACGGTTCCTTTGAAGAGCACAGGGTCTTGAGGGATAATGGAGAGCTTAGATCGGAGGTCGTTCAGTCCGATGGTTGCTATGCTGACTTTGTCGATCAGGATCTCACCTGACGATGGCTCGACCAATCGGAAGAGGGCAACACCGAGGGAAGACTTTCCTATTCATGATTCAATGAAGGGAAGGATATTATCTGCTCAAAAGGTGCTGAATTTCACTGGTAAAAGTCTGTGTTGGTGACGAGTCTGTCACAAGTTCTTCCACAAGTCAATCTAGAAGTACGCTCAGCTGATTTGAATTTCCTATGACTTGACTTACCACTAGATGACTTGTAATTAAGTTGTGAAGATTCCCTCTTTAAGATTCCATTGCTTAGAGGTTGTTTTTTTTGACACTGAGCTTTCAAAGGACATCAAACCTCCAAATCCTTGTATGAGATTTGTGAAATTTGCCAAAAAAGCGGCACCATACCTGAGCCAGTCCTTCCCACAATGCCAATCTTCTCCTTGGGTTTAATGTGGCAGTTGATGCCCTTGATGACGAGAGGCAAGTTGTCACGGTAACGCATCTTGTAGTTCTTGAACTCGATCTCCCCGTGCTGGGGCCAGTCTTCCTCGGGTGCAGTTTCCTCTATGTGGGCTGGGGCTTCAGATGTCAAAATCTTTTGAAAATGAACCCCCCCCAAAAAATCCGTCAATATGCCATACTCTGGCAAATTTTGGGGACTCCTTTATTTCTGACAAACTAACAAAAACTTCTTTACCAAGATGGCTTCAGTGGTACATTAAGATGTGATCTCAACCACCCATTACACCAATTTAAGGTGAATTTATTTGGCCCTAGCACTCTGAGCAGAAAGTATACGGAAGACTGAATAGACTTTTGGAACAGCTAGGATAAGATGTAGGCGAATCCAATTTATGTCACTTTAAAGTGTATAACTGTCCGCAAGGAACTTTGTGAGATTGCTCTAAGCTTACTTACTCGTGTGTAGTTCAGAATTCTTTCTACTGACGTAAGCCTCGCCTCTGTCTCTGATGCCATGAGAATGGTAATCTGGAATAAACCTGTGATCTGCATTTAAAAGGCAGGGTTTTCAGGGTAAGATTTGAATCAAGTTGATATAATTTTGTCAGACGTCAATCGCTCTTTGTTTGGAAAATTCACAGGAAGTGTAAGGAGTATTCTTTAACAAGGATTAGAACTACATGGCATACCAACACAGTTATCCCTTCTACTGTTCACATTTTTGAAGAACAGTTCGAACGATGGCTATTTTACATGGACATTACACACCACATGACACAGGATTTTATTGTACTTAACAGGTGTTTTACAGGGCTTTTTATCCTTATTGAAATTTTAACGACAAGTTTTTGTAAAGTTTCTTTGTTCTGTGTGTAACTGTTACTTTGGGTAATTCCAAAAATTAGGGGTCCATTTTTTTCATGTCCCTGTCATATCAGACATATTATTTTGTTAGTTCAGATCACATTTTCCAAGTAATTTCCAACAGTGACAAATGTCATTAATACAAATTACCTGCAAACAAATAGTTCTAGTTTAAAATCAATTCTGGTGATATTTCCATGTCAGATAGCAAAGGTCAGATGGAACAGGGACACAAAAATGTCACACTTTTGGACCCCTACTTTCTAGAATGACCCACTTGTGAATGTTAATTTTTTCATGAAATGGTTGCAATGTAAAAGGCAGAATGGAATTTCCTAGCCTAGCATGGCTTAGACTGGACTGGGATTGGAACTCTATCTTTGCTTCGAAAAACCAAGAACAGAAAACATGACTTTGGCATTGATTGAAACACAGTGAGTCAGCCTGCCACAAGACTGATTTTTTGCACAAATCAACTATCACAGCAAAGCTATTTCAGTTTCCAGTCTTTACTGGCTAAACTACGTCCAATGGCTCATTAGAATATGAAAAATTGTAGGTGTCTAATATTTTGCACTCTCTAAGATGTTAGAATTAAATTGGCCACTTCACAAGGCTACCTGGATTGTATATGACACAGCCAGACCAGCTAAGGCCGGTGACACGATGCCATAGGTCAAAACCACAAAGAGATTGGTCACTAGAGAAGCCGTGATGATCAAGACCTCTAGCCGCTGACCAGCCCAGCGAGAAGCCATGCGGAAGATCATGTATGGTTGGGCGTTGTTATCTAACAGGTTGACGAACCTGATGGGGAGAAAGTCAAACACTTAATTCAAAAGGCATTTTTTGGCCACGTCACATGTGCCATTTTTGCCATTCTTTATGATCACTAGTTTTGGACTCGACTGATGAAAAACATTCATGTTTGTAGAAAAGAGAAGGCCCTTTTGTAATAAAATGCAATTTGCCATTTTTTGACCTCATGTTAGTGACATCTACGTTGGACTTTTGCATCTAACATGGCTTGTGTGGCAAAGGGTGTAATGAAAAACAGATTTTAAGTGAAGGATTACATACATAAGATGTCAACCCTGCAGTGGGAAAAAGGGAAGGTTCATGCTTATTTTGGTCATTGTCCAATGTTTGCCTCCTATCCTCTCCTTACCTGTCAATAAATTCTTCCGTTTTACCGTACGCATGTATGGTCGACAGGCCCTGCACCGTGGCCATGATGTGAGAAAACCATGGGGAGCGGGTGATGTTCTCAATGCGCTTGATGGCACGCGTCCCACGACGGTAGTAGTAGAGGATGACACCAAAGAAGAAGACAATCGGGACCATGACGGCCAGGAAGTAAGGGAAAACTATGCAGATGGTGATGAGAGCGAACAGGATCAGGAACATATTCTGGGTAAAGAGCTCCAGGTTGGTGGGCAGCTGCACGTCGACTGGATGGTGGGAATTGTGGGACGGGTGATGAGTGGCAAACAAAAAGGATTGAATAGCGATGGAATGATTGGCAAACAGAAATAGCTCTGTATGGACTCAGTGCAGTAAAAAAGAATGGAAAACATACTACACCCCTTAGAAACAAAGACTTAAAAATTGTGCACATTCTGGTGAAACGTGAGCCAGGCAGACTGCATGTCAGACGGGCACGTTGAGTCTTTGGCATAATTCACAAGATCAGGGAATAATTGCAAAAAAGGAAAGTTTTCTTTTTTAAGCCATGCAAGCTGGACTTGACCTCATAATGCAAAATATTTTACCGAGTCTTATGATAGAGCATAACAAAGCAAGCAAACACCCTGCTGGACTTGTGTAACCACCACCACTTTATCCATTCCCCCTTCTCCCTTTAAGTCTAACTTACGTCCAAAGTAATTGGCTATGGCTGCTGGTAAGGCATGACTATGGAGAGTGGATTTAGCGACTCCCATAGGATCGTGTGCAATTGAGATCCACAGTCACATGACTTGGACAAACCAATACTCTACATCCATGAACCCTTGCACAAATGGGCTACATGCATTCACTTTCTGATGAGCTTGTGAGCATTTCGCGTATCGAGTCATATCACAACGGCCAAACTTAGTATGCGTCCAGCATACTGAGTAAATGCCAGGCATGTTAGTGCTCAACGAGATGTTAGTGAAACGGGTCAATTTACAGTAATGGCTCATAAAAGGAAGGACGTGTTGATATGGACTAAATAGACAACGTAACCACGATTCTGGACCCATCTAGAATCCCTCTACAATGCCAAAGGGTTTAAGTAGATTATTTCCGATGGGATACAGCAGTTTTGTCTTTTGAGACCAACAGTCAACACCGGCCCACCTTCATCCATATCTTTGGAGAACCTGTTGAGGATCCGCCCAGTAGGGGTGGTGTCGAAAAATGACATGGGGCTACGGAAGACCTTGACGAAGACGATGTCATGCATGGTTGAAGAAGCCTTGAGCAGAACCTGTGACATAACAACAAAAATCACTGAGTTGTTTGAGTCCTGTCGTTGCTCATTTGACGCTCCAACTTCGATGCTGGTCTTTTTTTGGGTTACGACTGGAATATCAGCTTCCTTCACTTGAGTCAACAAAATCATCTTTCAAAAACTGTCTTTCAAGAACTCTGATGGTCAAAGGCCATTGTGCTTTACCTTCATCAAGACTCCACTTTTCAGACCGCCAAAAACGAGCGTGGCAACAAGAGTCACACCATAGATCAGCATGTAAAAGTACAAGTCTGGGTGGTCGGCGATGTTTCCTATCGTCACCAAAGTAGGGGGATCACCTGGGTTGGTGCCGTTCACTTCAATCTAAGTAAGGGAAATCAAAACAGAAAAAGATAATGCTCCACTCTATTTTTGACCCGCAAATGGATATCCTTAATACTTTCTGCCCTGAAGAAACCGAGAGAAGAGATGATGAACCAAGGTTCCAATTTGTCATGAGAGGAACCTTAGGGTAATGTTCCCAGAGAAATCCACAGGATCGTACAGGGATTCGGAAACCCAATCTATGTGTTGAACGGGTGGGATTCGAACCCAGGTTCTTGAGACCAATTGTCCTACCTGTGTTCCATTTCCCTGGTTCAGCCAGAAGCTCAGCCACCAGTTGTTAAAGTTCAGACTCCCAATCACCAAGATGTAGGTCAGGAAGGCTAGTAGGATCATGTGGTAGCCACCGGCGGCCTTCATGTAGCCTTTGTAGGTCACCCAGCCCACGGCTTTGGCCGATCGATCTTCCTCTTGTACCAGCTTGCCACCTGGAGAGGAAACCGGTGAGCTATCAATCCAAACTGATTGATTTCTGAACTCGTTCGTGACTTTATTCTGGGGAAGTCGGGGAGCCATTTTTAGAGATATGCTAAGATTGGACTTTTTGGCTCACCCTCTTGTTTCCCCAGTTCCTCGGATGCGTCGCTCGCCACGCTCCTGGCCGACATGCGGCTCACGCTCCTCTGCAGCTTGTCTCCCTCCTCCCTGTGAAGCTCCACATCTTCATTACCATTCTCCTCGCTCTCGGCCTTGGCATGGTGCTTGCGGATCAGGCGGGCATACTCTCCTTCGTTGTTCATCAGCTCTTCATGGGTGCCTCGTTCAGCGATGCGACCATCAACCATTGTCAGAATAGTGTCGCAGTCTTTCAGATACTGTGGGAAAATGATTAGGCCTTCTGTGTCCCTCTCGCTTTAAGTTTGTGAACTGGTGCAAATTATAGTTACCGACTTTTACCTAGCAAAACCGAAACTTCTGAAAATTGTTTAATCTTCGTTAATGCTTGCTCTTAGTTTAAATACAGACAACTCCAGCACAAACCTGGAGTTGATGCGTTACAAATAGCACTGTCTTTCCCTGGAGGGCACCCTTGATACACTCATTGAATATGTGCAGTCCGACGTGTGCATCCACCGCGCTCAGAGGGTCATCCAGGAGGTAGACATCGCGATTGGCGTAAACTGCCCTCGCCAGACTGACACGCTGCTTCTGGCCTCCGCTGAGGTTGATGCCTCGCTCTCCAATCTAAAAACAGTGAAACGCACTTACTGTTTTAGAATATTCTAATCAATAATAAATAAAACCCAATCCAATGCATGAGTGCCGCTATGTCACCAATATGGAAGATCAGAAACTGGCCAGCATGACCTCTGACTTGAGGTCCACCTAAAAATATGAAAGCTACACGCATTACACACCACGTGTAAAATGTATTAGAAAACCTGACCAGTGAGAACACAGAGATAGTAGGCACAGTATATCCAATACATTATCCAAAGCAGTGAGGGTGTCGTTGAATCTTACACTTATGTTATTAACCAACCTCAGTCAAATCGCCGTCTGTCAGAATCTCCAGGTCCTGTTTTAAGCAGCAGGCTTTGATTGCCGTCTGGTACCTATTTTCCTCCATCTCGGCACCAAAGAGAATGTTTTCCTGCAGCGAGGCATTGAAAATCCAGGGCTCCTGGGAGGCGTAGGCAAAGGAGCCTGATACAGCGAGGGAGCCCTCCATGGTGTGCATCTGTCCCAGGATGGCTGAGATTAGGGAAGATTTCCCACTACCGACAGCCCCACAGACTCCTGTCAATTGACCCTGAGGGTGAAACAATTTTGAAGCTTAGTGCAACTTTGGCACCTTCTGTGCACAGTGTGGGTCGTTATGTTTGAGTTCCAAACTAAAAACTCACATTCTGAACCAACAGAGAAAAAATGAAAACTTTTCGTACCTTTTCAAGACTGAGGTCAATATCAAAGAGAGTCTTGGCCTTGAGGTCATCTGGATTGGTGGGTTCATCTCCACTGACCTCTGACCCCTTCCTAGCTTTCTCAATCCTTCCTCCCTTTTTCCCGTTGCTTGTTGAGGAGCTGGCATTGTTGTTGGTGTTGCCGGCTTCATTGAGTGGAACATCCTCAAAGTTTTCACTGCCCTCCTCCGTGGGGGAATCGGATAAAACACTTGGGCCACCATTTTCAATTCCATTTCCTGTGAGTGGATAAGTTAAAACTGATCACCAAATCCAAATTCCTGGAAAGAAAGTGTTGAGAATTCTGTTTTGAAATGCAATACCAACTTTGGGTGTTACTGACATCGAAATTAAAATCGAAATCACGATGAGAAAGAGAATTGATATCCATCCGAAGCCGGATTGCATTGCACAACCACTTAAGTTTTGACCAAATATCAATATAAAAAAAATCAGAGTAGTGCACACACAACGGCTTGTAAATGAACTGGAAGACAAACCTTACCTGGCTTTGTGTCATCCACAGCAACTGTAACTCCGTTGATGGTGGCCCCATCGGCAGCATGCTTCTCCTCATCTTCATCTCGGTCCTCTCCCTTACCACTGTCGGTGGATCTGATCTTGTCCCAGGCAAAGGTGCCGCCGGATATGACCACACTGTACTGGTCATTGGGCGGCATGTGCTGGAGAGGTGGGATATCTGACATGTCCAGGACACTCTGAGATGGAGGAGGGGGGGGAAAAGGAGAGAATTCGATGGGGTCAAAAAGACCCACTAGAACTTGCAGGGAAACATATTTCCCAATTCTTCTACGGATCTACAAAAACTCCAATCTTCTTAGGAAAAACTACAAAATGTCATGTTGTAATGAGGCTGCATTTGAAGTGGAAGTAAACCAAACACGCAACTATGCAGCGGAGGGATAAATGTCATAAGCAAATACCAATTTTAATATTTAAAAATAAAAACACTTTCTTTTCGAAGGATGCTTTCATTTCAGGGTGTGTTGTTATCACCTGGCTGTGTGCTAGACAGAACGAGTCAGGTTGGCGTGGTGGTTCTTTCCTCGCTTTTCACCTCTGCGGTGTGGGTTCAATTCCCGGCTTGGTTCACTAGTGGATTGGGTTTTCAGTCCCTACCTGATTATGCGGGTTTTACCAAGATATTCCACGGGGGTTTTCCTCCCACCTCTAAAACTGAAACTGCTTCTCAGTCATTTCAATGTGCCTGAGTTTTGAAGTATATGAAGTTGGCGCATCACTGGGAAGGAGACTCACCCGTATTCTCCTCAACGCGATGGCAGACTCTGCTAGAACGCGCATAGCGAAAGGTGTGGGTCCCAGGACAACTCTCATTGAGTTCAGAACAGCGATTAACGTAAAAGCCTGCAAACAAGATTTAGGGGGAAGAAAACTCCATGTTTATCTTATAAATAAGGCTAAAAATGACCCACAAAACACAACAAAATTAGTGTTTACTTTCAATAGCTAGTTAAGTTGAAATATGACAGTGCTTTGAAGAATAAAGCAAAGGTTGAAAGCCTATTCTAAGGAGTAACGCATTGCAAAAAGCCAATTTGGTGTCTCAGCATGGCAGGACTATAATTGATAAGCATGCTTGATGCAAAGTTAGCTGCAGCTGTTTTAGGGCATGAGAGTCGGTGTACCGAGGCCAAACCTTAGTGTGCACATCGATCATCCCAAATGATCTATGTCTTAATCCTGAGTGCGCGCCGGCTCATCAACGGCAACAAACGAATTCTCAACGTGACCAGTAAAAGACGGCAAAAGGAAAAGTACTTCAGCAGCGGTGATGTCATTGCCGAGGCTGATGTGGATGATGATGGTCAAGACGGAGGCGGCGTTGGGTACCAGCGGCACCAGTGACAAGCTGAAACTAATGATGTAAGCGACCCTCTCCAAGACTGTACGTTCTCTGGCTCGTATGGCTATGAAGAGAGTATAACGAGAGAAAAACATCCCCTCACCTTTAACTGCTTGTCAAACAACAGACTTTGAATTGATGAAGTCTTGATGCTTTGATAACACTATAAAAACCTGCATCAATTCCACACTGACCTGCTACTTTCTTGGCAAACGGCGCTTCCCATGCGTACATTTTGATGAGTTTGACAAAGGTGAGCACCTCACTCATTTTCTGTACCCTCTCATCTGTGATCCTGATGCCTCGCTGGCGAAACTTGGCAATAACCCTACCCATGACCAACTGGAGAGACAACAAAAAATCCTTGAATCATCCATCCACACGACTCCTCCGATAAAAGGTGGGATTGAGACAGAGACAGAAGGCTTGATGCCAGCTAGTTATACAATGTAGAAATGGATTGAATTTTTACAGAAGATGAGGACCAAACACATTTTAAGGTCATGTCAAATTTTTCTGAGCCTCAGTTCCGGCTAGGGCTGCACTTTTGTACTGGGGATAGGTGAAATACAGTGGGAAGGTAGAGTTGGAATTTCTCCTGCACATGACTGACGGCACAAATGCACCTGCAGAGGCGTGATCACCATGAATGTCCCCAGCACACCGATCAAAGCCGCCGGCCCAATGATTATCGACACGGCAGTGATGCAGGAGACCAATAGGAAGCAAGAGGCGATGAGTAGGTTGCCGATGACCATGGCATCAAACAAACGCTGGCTATCATTAGTGCAGATGTTCACGATCTGGACACAGAAAGAGCCCAAAGATCAAGTGAGTACTCAATCACAGCAAATACCCGGTCGGATAGAAGTGGGCTGGTACGCCACAGGTGACAGTCAATTTCTTATTAATTTCCTTCCATATTTGTCAAGGACATGTGCCTACAGTAGATGGTAGTAAAAAAAAAGTGCGAACAATTTGGATACGCCTTGGACGATGTGACTAAGAAAGCCAATCTATTGGAATGTTTAACAGTAGGTATTTCACTGGAAAAACAAGTGCATAACACGTCAAAGTTTTGTTTTTTAATGATGAACAAAATAACGCTGAAGACAAGCAGCTACTTAGTCGTAGTGTGTACAGGTCAAGTCATATACAAAAAATGGGAATGACATTGCCAATCTTACCTCTCCCACTGTCTTGTCCTGGAGACTACGCAGACGAGCGACCTTCTTGAACATCATGGAGAGCAAACCGTTGCGCAGCCGGTTGGCCGAACGTAAGCTGGTCATCCAGTAGGCTACGTCAAAGATGACCCGCAGGATGTTCAATCCCAAGATGGCGAAGACGATGCCCAAACCGTAGCCCAGATCCTGCTCCTCGGCCTCAGTGTACATGAGCAGCCGCTGCACCAAGATGGCCTGGGGGCACAAAGTTGATTTTGATAGGGAAAAAAACCCATTTTGATTCAATAAATTGAAGGTGATATATTTGGTTTATTCCTCCATTCTCCATGTGATGAAATAGTAATAAATTAAAGTGACCCCTACACCCCTGGCATCAGCGCACATGGAAAAGAACATTCAAGTTTAGTAAATCAAATACAATTGACAGCAAGCATATTTGGAACCTGTTACCTCTACACTAAGATACTTGCATTCTACCCACAAGACTGTCCTGCACCGTGCGTGGAGTCTCTTTACTTGTCTATGCCTTCTGTTCAAAGAGCACTTGTCAGAAGTCATAAGCTAGTACCAAGTTCAAGCAAAGGCTACGCTGTAAACCAGCGGTCGATCTTGTAAGGTATCCTGGATACATTTGGTACAGAGGTTATCAGGTGAAACTGAATAGTGAGCCTGGCCTGATTTGTCTCACATGGTCCGGGGTCATGTTCCAAGTTAGCCGAACATTAGTACCTCTGTAAACTTGCAAAATCAGGGAGATCTTGTCTCCATTTATCCGGAGAGGGTTGACATGTCTGTACTGACAACACATGTGTGACAAAAATCACAAAATGTATTCAACTATCAGGAATGTACGCACTGTGATGACAAAAAGGCAGGAGAAGGCTAACAGAAGCGACAGAACAGCCAGGACATGGCGAGTGCGGACGTATCGCAGGGCAACGGCGCTCAATGAAGCTTTGTCTTTTCCTTTCTTCTTGAGTTCTTCATCCCACATCAACTGGAATCTGTTGGAAGAGTTGACATGGAAACATTGGCTTTTGTGAGGGTCTGATAGAAGTATTCCATGAAATGCAGACAGGCACAGAGCACTGTGTTCACCAGGGACAAATATTAAACTACGCGTGGGGCTTTCCCATCAGTTGTTAGGTGGTAATAGAGAAAATACCTAACTGCATGAAAAAAAAACTTTTGATAATTAAACCCTAAAATAGTCCTCAATCCTCCAACACATCGAGGGCAGAGACTGTTGGGGTCAAAGTTTGATTTGCAAATTTTGCCTTTAATTAAACTATCCGTTTACATCAGATATACCACTCCAACTGATGCCTAACGTCCAAGCAAGAAGGGTGGAATTTCATTCTGAAACCTACAAGAGGAATATATTATACTTTTGTGAGATGGGATGAAGTTACAAGGACAGGGAAATTATGAATATCTAAACATAATTTTACCACTTGTGAAGAAAAACAAAGTGTTTGGAGATTGTATTAATTACCAATGGTATAATACTGTACGTGTACTTCCATAAATTGTGAAATTCAATATTGTCAGTCAACAATGTTGAAACAGAAATGCAACAGAATTAAATACAAATCCACAAATGTCATGAAATTCATACTTTTGCCAACTCCAAATATTTAATTTTGTAAGCTGTTACATACAGGTAGGTTTACAAGCATGATTACATGCAAAGTGTGTCTTCTTTTAACCAAATCCCCCATAAAGGTTTATGTCTGACATTAGATTACCCAGATAAGCTGCATACTTGCACATGAAGCCTGCTGAAATTATGATTACCTCAGACAGACGTGTCATATATATGCACATAGGAAGATGATTCTATGGGGGGGGGCAGAAAAATCAAATCTCTCTAAAATTTCCATTATTCCAAGGTAAACTGGATCAAATTATTACACACCGCTACAAATACTCTCCACTCCGAGAATGCAATTACACAACTTGATTAGGGGGTCCTGCCCCCCCCCATATCTTTGGGCCCTCGGCCCCTATGTGCCTGATACTGGTGTTCTACAGAGAAGTAGGGGTAGATCAAGTGAGATGACTAGGCAGAATTTGGCCATGCTCACGTAATCCTGCCAGTCCCTGCCAATGGATGTCATTGTTAGCGCTCGATTCCCAATGACAAAAGAGCGTCAGAAAAAAATGACTATACCAGTCGTCTGGAACTTGGGTCAACCTAAAACAGCACAGAGGTTTGTTGGGCCCCAAAATGTTTGTTTAGCCAAACACCGTGAGCCAAAACAGGCAAATGGTTGAATGTGGCGGAACTGACCCGACACTGTGCCAAGTTTTGGCTCTACACAAAGTCGTTCAGCACAGTTTCCTGCTTAAAATAACCTAGTAAATTGGAATCCTGGTTAGTAAATTTGAATCCTGGTTAGCTTGAGCAGAAAAATACTCTTGATGGGGAATCAATTTCATTACAGAGGCAGTATCCCCCTGTCTTGTAAGGTCTGAACAGGACTGAACATGAAATTCTGTCACTTTAAGGCTTTTGTGATTATTACACACTGACAGCTGTTTCGGGGCTTGTGAGATTAATTCACAAGCTTACACGAGTGCATTTCAAACCTGCTTAATTGTGAGGATGTTTCTAACAACTTGGTCCTTTTGCTTGCCAGGGTCATTAGAAACTTTGTGTAGGCCTATTTGTAGTAAAGACCCATACAAGATTACCTAAGGAACCTTATGCAATTTTCTTGGTACATGACAAATTCCCAGGCAAGGCTAGCACTATCGACACAGCCTCGGCTGAAATTTGGAATTAAGTCAGTAAACTATGTTGCCAGCAACTTTTCTGATATTGCCAGCTTCATTTTTAAAAAAGCATTTATGCCAAGCAAAATGGTGGTATGGATCTCACTGCAAACTGATCAATGACCCCCAAACATTTACCAACATCAGCCTCTCTACTTCAGTTAAATAGTAGCTAGCAAAATACATGTACAGAACGCTGCTGATGGCAGGATGGCATAGATCTCTGTAACACCAAAAGTGACCTGTACATTGCCCAGTGATTCATGACAATGACTAGGAAAACGTGCCAGGAGTTAATCCTACGTCATGAAAAGATGGTCTAACAATGTCACTCTGTACTTTAATTGCTAACTTGAAGGTCATTTTAATGACAGGGTGATGGTTGAAACTGATCTCAAATTTAAGTGGTTTTTTAATTGCCTTTTATTGTTTTATGGTGATTGCCTGGACAAGTACCAGTATTTATGGAAACCATCTTTTTAATGGGTGTGCATAGCCTGGCATGAAGCCTTGATGCTGATAATAATGATGGCTCTGGATTTCATTTGAGTGAAAAACAAATACTGACTTGAAAATACTAAAAAGTTACTGAAAATTCAAACACGTCAAGCTGCCAAACAAATATATGTTCAGATGTGATCATATCATAAGATGAACATGTTTACTGTACTTTGGAAAATGAACAACATGTAATTTATTGCTTTTCCATGAGTGTCATGCCCATTTAAAATCAAACTGTAGTTAATGACAATACTAAAGAGGAATTAACTGGAAACACATGTTAACAGACCTCGGTTACGATGACACAATGTGTTATAGTGCATGCTTTCTTTTGGTGCAACATGGACTGACCCAATAGGAAAGTGTATACAACAGAAAAACGTGAGCGGGCCTATTACGTACACGTTAACTTTGCAGTCAGTACACAAAAAAGAAAACAACAAAATCTTTTGTTTGCAATTTTTTTTTTTTTAGAATATTAACCTGAAGAGAGAGGAAAATAAACTCAAAGCTTTCTGATCATCTGCTTCAGTGCATTTGTAGGAACACAAGTTGGGCTATATGAAATCTTGAAAATAAACTTAGGAGTATAAGCTATAATTCATATTACTCAATTACTGCATTGTAAACGGAATTATAAGAAATAAAGAGTGCTCAACTTTCTTTCTTTGTCAACCCTAACCCCAAAGCATATCATTTGGCTAACAGGACTCTGTATTACAAAATACCACGTAGCAGTCTGAGCCTGAAGGACCTAGCCCTACAAATGACTACTTCTGGCTAGGTTATTTCTTTAGGGAGATCATAGAGCCCCTTTAATAAAGAAAGAGTATGAAAGTAGGGTAAAGTTCGCTCACACACCATCTACATGTATTGTTTGCTTATTTGGATAAAGGCCAACTGAAGCAAAGGTTTTGGGAGGCTGGTCAGAACTGCGTGCCCTGAGAATTTATTCATCCAACCGTCAAGGTACGTGTATAGCTATGGCTGTAAACTAAACAGCAGGTGCATGTTTGCACATCTATATTTAGCCTTGGCATACAGTGCTGAGTACCATGCTGCAGTTGATCAGTGATAATGTCCAGCAAATTGAAACTTGGCTAAGGGTTGAAACCAATCATATCAGTCACACATGCATGTCTTTGATTCGGACTACAGTGCACTTTATATACAGGGATATGTCGAAGGTGTCTGGTCACGAGGCAGGCACATGAACCACGAGTTGTTGGACTATTACCAGTGGAAAAATAAACTGTGTATTTATAGTTTGTTAACGTACATCCACGCCTCCCTACAAATTACATCCTACACGGCTAAAAGCTTTACAGTGTCAAAGGCTAGCCTGTAAAAATTTAAGCTGAATTACTTGACGGGCTAACTCAATGTTGACTGGATAAAAATAGATGTTGTTCTTGTAGTTGTTTTGGAAAACAATCTAAGGTATTGATTAAGTCCCAGTGCAAGTACGTAGGCACTTGTGAGAGTTATTGGGCTTGTTTTTTCAGATATGAACTACAATCACAATAAACAAAAGACCACTTACTTCTTAATTTACAAATTAAATGGTGTTTGCTGTCTGTCTGGGGAGGGCAACAGGTTAATGTGCTTTGAAGTTTGTTGGAGACAAATGTTTAAATCTTACAATAAAAATATATCTCTCTTTTTTAAAAAAAAGTTCTGAAACTAAAAATGCAAAGACTGATTAAAAATTCGGCCCCCCAAAAAATGTCAAAAATAAGTGTGACGATTTTTCACGATAAATTATGTTACCTATCACCATTGAGGTGTCCGCTGTCCCTGTCGGAAAAGGCCCAGAAGTCAGAGACCTCCAGCTGTCTCTTGGCAGCTTTCTTGAACATGGGAGTCAACCAGGACAGAGTGAGGTAGGAGAACAGACCGCTATGGTCCAAGGGTAGAAAGGCACTGGACCTGTGACAAAAAGATGAGTCAAAGGCATTCGAAAAAAAAGACTTTGGCATATTTGAGGGATTCCAGTAATTATCCTTTTGGCAATTACATGTAGTTTTTGTTAACCTTTTTAAGCATGTCTTTATTGTCCATGACAGTAAACTAAGGCGAAAAAGTAAGGGGTGCTCCACACAATCCTTGTAGAATGTCAATACAACAGCAGTGAGGGTCTATGTAAATCAGTAGATGTTTCAACATCAAAATCTCGGATCTAAGATGGAATTTCCAAGTTTCCATTTTTGATCCAAGAATGAACAAGGCAATTACTGTGGTACAGCACGTTTCTTTTGACGGGATTACACAGCATAGCTTCAAGCAATAACAACTTAAATCCAAAACATTAGAAGACATCTAAATTAAGGTATCAACAAGTAATGTAAAATATGTAGTTGTGTCCATCTGCTGATCAAAAATGATATTCTCAAAACTAAACAAAGCAAAGTTCAACTGTTACGTAAAAAGCAACAGAAATCCAAATGCGACTTACTTTGGTTTTGGACGGACTGGCACCAAAACTTTCATTGTTTCCTTGTATTTGGTGACTCCTTTTCTCTTCCGGTATGTAATCTGTCTCTCATCCTCTGGCTTTAACACAACATCTTCGTCAGTGCGGATGTCGGCAAGTGCGGCGTTGTCAACAGGAAAAGCTCCAATGAGATCCACGGCATTACCGGCCCTAGGCTGATCACTCCCAGTGGATTCAATATCATCAGGAGTGTCTTCCCCCATGACGAAATGATAGTCTTCACAGTTCAATCACTCGCTTTAAAATCTTTATTTCAAATCTTATGTGATGCTCCAAATCCAACTAGCCCTAACTGAACATGCTGGAACTTAGTGAAAGAAAACAAAACATGCATGCATATCATACATGCAATAAGACAACAATGCTCATATCCAGGAAGGGCTCAAGTGTCTTCCTTCCTCACATTCCGGTGCATGCAAGATAGGGCACGACTGGCCTGCTTCTACTGAAGTTCTAGTTCTGATCATGCTGATTGATAGACAAACTGTGCAACGTCCATACCGGTCCTCCCCGGTTGCCGGTGCAAACGCGGGAACTGCCCTCTGCCTCTCAAGTTACTCTGGAAATTGGGATCAGTCTCTTTTCAACTTGCCACACTAAAACCGCGATCACGAAGAAAAGTGAGTAAGCTATCGGATCAATTGAGCGACATCGGACTATACACCGCTTGAAATCGTCGGCATCACCGCTTTTATTATGAAAATAGGCTCTCCGCATCGATCTCGATCCTCGTTTCATTCTGCCAGTCCGCGCCTGTGGAATGGTGGCGCTATGCAAGTTGACCGTTAAAGGCGAAAGTTTGGTCGGTGGTAACCAACAGCATTTTGGAGAGTTATGTGCAATAGAATATGACTAGGGGGCAATTAGTGGCAGAACACCCGTGGAAGATTTCGCGGCGAAAGTCATAGCGTATTAATTCTAATTTATAGGAATCACTCCATTTCAGAGCGTTCCTGTCGTGTTCACATTATTAATCAGCTGGTTGAAACCTTAACTCAACTTAATTAATTCTGAAGAAATAGGGGAAAAAGAAATACAAGCTGGTCCGACTTCGTATAAAATCCTTATCTCCATTTGAAAACGTTATATTTTTCAGATATCATTGCAGGAGGGAAATAATGGAATCAATTTTTGGAGCTTTGGTTTGGAAGATTCAGGGCTTGTTATATTTTTTTTCTTTCGCTGTGGTTTGACACGCTGGGGCCAGCTACATGAGCGATCTCTGTTCAGATACACGCACCCACGAAAAAAGATCGTATAGCGCCGCTGTGTGACGTGATGTGTACACGAGTCGAGCACTGCCTGAGCTAGCTAGCTAGCTAGCTGTGTGTATCTGGTGAGTGACGTGAGCAGGACTTAGGAACCTTGAGCTCATATTCTGAGCCAAGACAGGCCACTTTGGGGTATTTCCAGCAAGAAGAGAGGAGAGGATACTTCGAAAATGCCGAAACAGATGCAAACCACGGCTGCCATGGCCGTTGTCAAGCTTCTTCTGACGATATTCAACTTGATTTTCTGGGTAAGTTTGTTTTAGCAGTAGCGACTTGGCAGCGCGCCGTAGCTAGCGGCGTATGTCGGGTAGGGCCTTCCGTCATGTTCGTTGCGTCGCTAGCTCAAGACAGTTATTCCACTTGGCACGTACGTTCGTTGGACAGACAGAGCACACGTGTACAATGTGTGTCACAAATGTACTGTGGTTTGCTGAATGGAACTTGGATATGTTGGAAGCAAGCTAGACACTGTGAATTGGTTTAATGGACGTGACATCAGTGTGGTACACATGACGTGGTTACCAGACATGCGAGACGAATGTTGCATCAGGAATTTTTGTCCCTTCGCTTAGGCTTGTCAATATCATGAGCCTATATAAATAATGGCCTGTCACATCACTGTCGGTTAATCTCAATGAAACCCCAGACATGTCAGAATTAGCCCTACTAACAACAGTCAATGACATGACTGAGTTAATTAGGCTAGCTAAGCCTTGTGCCTGTATGCGGAACACTAGCATTGTAGCAACATTTCAAAAATATTGTAATTTAAAAGACTTCATGATCAATAAAACCATTTCCAAGTTTATGAACAAATTCGTTATAATGTGAGATGCTGTTGACTCTTGGTAGACTTTACAGTTTACACACAGCCAGGGATGCAACATTTGTTCTTATATGTAGGTGTGACTTATGTTTAATTTGTATGACTTCCAATTTTTTTGTAAAGTTGTACCTTGATTATTGACAAAGAATTCTGTTTTCACCTTGTTTGGTTAAATAAATACGTCATGCACTGCTCACAATGCATTAAAATACACTTGATACTAATTTTCCAAACCTGAATCTCGGGTTCCTTGTTGCCATGCAGAATTTGCACTCTACCTTCGTTAATGAAGAAGATCGTTGTCATGGATACGAATAACAGCGATGTAATGCACAGCCCATGTAGATGTAGTTACTGCATTTTTCAGCTGTCACTTTCTGTGTGGGCATATATTGCTCATTGTTGCACAAAGAAATGTGAAATGGAGTTGAAAAATGCTGCATTCAATTTTGTTTTGAGATCTGCAATTTTTGATGGTCCTTAAGCTCAGTGGCTCCCAACATTTACATTTTTTAATCAGTCTTGTGTGATGATTTGCTTCTCGTTAAGAGCCCATAATTTTCGAGAGTCGAAGCCTCTTAGGTTGTGCTCGGCTTGGCTGTTTACATTTTTGCCAACATGCGTAGATCCGTTAGGCAGGAAGTGAGGATGTGGCAGCTTAAGTTGAGCCAGACAGAGGAAGTTAAGCCCTTTCAGAAAAGTGGATTTGTTTATATTCTCAAAATGGGCCTCTCCAAATTTAGTGTACTGGCACATTTCACGGTTGTTTTTCTTGAAATTATGACCAGGATTATTCTTTGGCTTGTTTTCCCCAAACTGTAAACTGTGTTTTTTCTGTAAACTTTGAAAATTGTCGGAGAAAAAAAAATTGTTTGAGTGTTAAAAGTGAGAAGCAGTACAATGATTTGAATTTTTTCTACCCGTTTTGCTCAGCTGATAAACGAAACTTTTTTTACTAGTGGCCTCAGCCAACATGCTGATAAGTCAGCCAGCCAATCACAGTTTGTTATTGAACTTCTTATGCTGGTAATTTCCACTTTAAGAGGAAGGCCGTGTATCCGAATCCACTGACTACAACCTGCGGGATGCCGTGCAATAATACATCTGTAGGAAACAAGCGTAGTCGGTAGCACTAGTCAGGGCTTATGCATGTGTGTCTGGCCACAACCATGATCTTCAGACGTGATCAGTTTTGAACCTGGGTTGGGAACTGTGTTGGTAGTCGTGTGGTTGTGTTACATTGCATCAGCTTCTGCATGTTACTCCACGGCAGGCACTTGAGCTCTGAACAGCAGAAAACATTCCTTCGAATTCCCCAGCTACATGTACATGTATTGATAAATGAATTTCAAAACAGGAAATGTTTGTATTTTTTTCACAATGCACTCGCAATTTCGTGATAAAAAGGCAAGATAAACAGTATACATACACATGCTTGCACACACAGAGCACACAACACATTTGTATGATGCGTAGTGAATGATCAACGACAAACCATCACTTTTCCTAAATTTCTCAAATGACTGGCAGAACAACTAAGGCCCCACTGTTCTCACTTCCCATCCTGCTAAAATAATCAAAGATGAGTATGTGGAATCCAGGTTATTTTTAAACCTTGTAGAAAGAATTTTCCCAAAAGGTTTTTGCATTTTAAAAGTGTTCTGCCCGACTCCCACTTACATGTAGTGTACATGTATAATGTACTTGTTCAACTTATTTTGGGGTCATGTGGGTACCGTCAGTTTGTTCATGTACATGTTCACGAAGGGCACATTGTTTCTAGTTGGCGTACACTGATACTGTGCTTGTTCTCATACATGTACCTGTAATAAGACAAGTTCAAAGACAATTCCTTGGCAACTGAATGAAGGACATATATTTGTAGGGCTGAGTCAATTTGAATAATTCACTATTTGAATATTTGACCTTCAATTAGATCGAATATCCGAATATTCAGTCGTACAATTGTACATTGTAATCACTATAATAGCTTCTCACATCTACGATTATCTCTAGCCACGATTTAGCAAGATTTAAGAGACAAATAGTACTTCTTTTCCAGTTGAAAATGTATATTCCTTTTGAAGTTTTTGATGAATACTGTTCTTTTTAAATTGTTGTAAGGTTTTGTCGCTTTTTATTGAATCTACCGGTACATGTACTTTTTAGAACAAGCCTCCATTGTGCCCTTTTTCTCATTAAAAAAAAATTCTCCCTTTTCATGAATTTTGCATTGGAATATTCAAATTCGAAAAATAATATTTGAATATTTGATAATCAAATATTCGGTTATTGGGATATTTGGCACAGCCGTAGGTATTTTTATATTCCATAGGTACAGAAGTTATGTACTATACATGCATGTCCAAGTTCAAGTTACTCGTACGGTTGTACCATTTGCTTATTTTCCTCAGAAAATTCCTTGACATTGTTTGTGGTTTCCCTCATAATTTGCATGGAAAATACATTGGCATGTCCATGGTACATTGGTACATGTATGCATCTTTGAAGACTGCATATTATGCCTGACTGTTATTACAACAATGAGATCTCTATAGTGGCTCGGTTGCTTATTTTGCCACCTTTTGTAAAGCCTGGTTGGTTTTCATGATAAATGGCAAAATTAGGGATCTGGCTGTGGTCAGGGGCATGACACAGAGAATACGACCACTATTCATCAAAGGTGTATTGTACCGTACAGGTGTACATGTACATCTCTGAGCTTGTTAAATAATGGAAAAATCTTTGCCGCAGTGCAAGTCACTGACAGGATCCCTCAATAGAACTGCCAGTGAAATCAGGTCCTAAAGAATTCTTCTTCCTGTCTGGACTCTGAAATGAAGCAGGCTGGTTGTGCCAATAAGATAATGAGATTGTTTCTCTATGCGCGGCTTAGCTGGCTGCTCATCAGGTTCCTCCTGCTGCCTTGTGTCATCTCTGTCTCTGCCTCCATCTCGCCTCGTCACACACACACCTTGAGGATGTTGATGGAGATGCTTTAAAGGCATATCTTATGGAGAATGTAAAGGGCAAAAGGGCCCATCCAATTTTAATAGCCTCTAATGGGTGGCATTATGCGCGGGCGATTTGACAGATTATTAGAAGTGGGGGGAGGAGATCGGCCGTGGATGACACATCATAAGAAATGTCTCTGAAAAAGATGGATTGGAGGAATTCTGAGAAGAGTGAAAAGTTTGCTGTACTGTTCAGCACCTGTTTGTACATAACATTTCAAATTGCTGTGTTCTTCCGTGCTGACTGACAACCAGGTGACCAACTATAGTACATGTACATGGTTGTTTGAAATTGAATCGAAATTTGTCGGAAACAATTGACAGTTCCTATGATTTGTCTGTAAAAATTTCAATTCAAATTTAAAATTACTCAAATTCATATATACATGTACATATTTACCACTACACCTGCTAGTATGTACATGTACCCCATAGATGTCCCAGCAGCTCGCACCGAGTAGACTGATGTTAGGCACTGTCCACGCCCTTGAAATGTACATGGAGAAAGTTGTATTGTAAATTGTGATTGCTATTCACCTGTTTGTAAGCACTTTGTACTTGGTAGGAACTTTTGATTTTCCCCCTGGAAATAGTCTGCCATGAATACATTGCAAGAGTATTCCTGTCAGCATGATCAGAACGCCCATACATCACATAATTATGGTAGGCATCATTCACATATCCATGTACATGTACATGTAGGTAAGCCTGTGGAAGGTGAATGGTCGCTGTTGTACCATACAACTCTATGGTAGCTCCTTTGGTTATACGTAGTAGGATAGCTTTGTTGAGAGGAGTTCATCCATGCCAATGAATAGCAAAAGCTACCTTGCCAAGGCCTATACGGGTATTTACCTGCACTGAAGCGCCAACAATCCATTGGCATGTGTGTTGGTAATACCTACACGTGGGTGTCTTCAGGTTTGGGAGCTACAACGCCTAGGGCCCTTTTGTGCAATTCATTATCAGAAATGGTTCGTAATAAATGCGGTGACCTTGTTTATGAACTTTCTAACCCTCCCAAATCCTGCACAGTTTACGGGAGGGTTTTGAGAATTTTGCAGGAAGGTGAAACTGGTAACTGTTGTACTTGTCAGAAACATTTACCATTCATGTTGCATGTATTTCCCCCAAGTACCTGTTTGTGGGCTTGATGCCCTTTGGCAGTGTGGTACCTTTTGACAGCCATGGCTTGCTTTCTCTGCCCAACTTTTAGTAAAGTCTGCGGTTACCCTGGTGTTCGGGGGGGCCATTGAAAACCACCCATGAAGAATGTGAACTTGGAATCATTGAAATGATAATGAAGCGTGCTTGTGAGGGTGCCACAACTGATTTTGAGCAAGGAAATAACCAGACGCGGACATTTGCAAAGACCCAAAGAACTTCTACCTGTACATGAACACTGATAAAACTGGGAGAATTGGGACAGAAATAATCCGTTTTTATTGCACTTGACATAAAATGTACCACATGAATTGCCTACCACAGTGTGTGTTGATATGAATACCTAAGCATTCCATTTCTCCCGTGAGCTATGATCCCTCACGCTCTGACCTAAGCTAAAGTCGTTTCGTCTGGTTGGGTCGAAGTCATGCTGTGTGTGAACTGCATTCAACATCTGTGGGCTGGAATCTCACACATGTATGCTAATTACATGCGGTGCTGGATTCCACAAATATTATGGGATGTCGTTGACATGAAAACCAGCACACATGATACGGTTTGCGTACAGTGTTTCATTACAACACATTTTGTTTGATGCCTGGCCATTCAGCGATCAGCAACATTTCAACATGTTCAAAGTATTCCTATCATTTTGGCGTAATATCTTTGAAAATTTTCAACAGTGGTAAATGTATACCGGTACTTAGTACATTTATACAGTTGTAATAAAGGAACGTTTTCATAGTGGAGTTTGCTTTCACCTGAACGTCATGTGATGAACAGTAATCATGTACCCCGGTAGCAAAATGAAATTGGCCCCCCCGGATGGTGTGTGTTCATACACAATGCACATGTACATGAACAGTATGTATTGCATACATGTATTGTACATTTTGTGTATTTGTCATTCTATTGGGATTTTAGGATCCAACTTGTTTCCTTCCCTGCTACCCAGTACATCTAGGGTAATGTCTGATTTTGTAAGTTTAGAATGCATGCTTTAATTTCCAAGATTGATTAATTACCTGCCAAACAAATTAATGTTTAGTTTATAGACAATTTCACATCGCTTCTGGAATTGCGTACATGTAGGCCAGGTGTAACAGAGACAGAAAAATGTCACATCAGACCCCGAATTTCTAGAATGACACAACATTTTCAGAGTTGGGTGTTACATTTCACTGTTTGGTGTATCTTTCAAGTAAACATGCTCGACATGCCTCACTGCCAGGGTACATGTACATGTGGGTTGCCATGTCCTATCTCCTTCTCTGGCCTTCCCTTGAATTTCAGACTGCCACAAGTGTCATTTTTAATGGGTGAAAGAAACACCTGCCACCTGCTCTGCAATAACAAGCTGAACAAGGGACCTGTACTCCAGCCCTGCATTGCATACTAAGCGTACATGTAGATTTCATTTCCGGCCAGAGTCCAGTAGCCATATCTTGGCTGGTTTTGAGGGCAGAAAGTCCCCTCTCCCACACTGGACAAAGTACAGGTGCAACTGTAGGAGGTTAATTACATTTACCTGTAAGTCATTTCAGGGAAGAAAAGCTGTAGGGGAGGGAGTGGTTAGCATGGTCAGACACCATGGAGAACACCCAGAAAAGATTAATGGCTCACAGGTTGCAGCAAATGAAGGACTGCTTTTGCTGGTTGGATTAGAGAAAATTAAGATTTCCTCGGTTTGTTCCAGGGGAAAATCTATGTACTAAGTACGTTTGTAGCAGATGCCTTGTACATATAAATTATGTTACAATTTTCCCCAGAATACAGGTGTGTTCACGGTGCATGACTAGTATAGTGTGTCGCTTCTTTCATACGATATTCAATAGAGGTTATGCCTGAATGCGTCCTGGGAGTGTAAGAGTTTTGTATCATGGAATGGGCTACCGGTAGAGTAAACCTTTTTGTGCATTCTTGCAACTAAAATTGAAGTGACAAAAACAGCAGCCTCTGAGACACCATGGAGATGCCAGCAACGCATTATCTCTGTTTGAAATCATTTATCTATCTCTGTACGTGTATATTGTATTGTTTAAAAACCTGTATCCTTGGCCTGTAACAACACAGACTTGAGTTGGAAAGATCCCAGTGCAGCTCATTTGCAAAGGTGAACTAACTTTAGGGAATCATTTTATTTTTAGGCGGTTGAAGTCAAATCCATGAAAGCTTCATTCATAAAATATCAACCCAAATCACCTATGCTTTCTCTACTGTGTACAATTTGAATGACTTTTAACAGCTTTTAAAAGATACATGACGGTGTTTATATCCGATCAGTTGTCCTGATCAATTTTTACTGAGTATGGAGATGAAAATTGGAAAGAGATGCTGGTCTTGCAGCCGTCCTTATCCTCTGTGCTCTCCGCATTCTCCACGTCTTGATGAGCCATCATCCATAAATGCCAGGCCTTCGGACAGTTCGGTCTTGTACCTGCTCCCTCATTAGCATTAATTAGTCATTAGTGCTGGGGCAGGCTGTCTCTTCTCTTGTTGCATTAATGCAGGAAATTTGAAACCCGGACATCACACCTTGCACTGCTAATGCTGCTGAAAAGTCCAGTGGGTAGAGGAAGCTTGTACATGTAAGCCTGTACATGTACATGTAAGCCTGTACATGTACATGTAAGCCTGTACATGTACATGTAAGCCTGTACATGTACATGTAAGCCTGTACATGTACATGTAAGCCTGTACATGTACATGTAAGCCTGTACATGTACATGTAAGCCTGTACATGTACATGTAAGCCTGTACATGTACATGTAAGCCTGTGCATGTACATGTACTTCAATTTAATGTAGATTTTAAAGAAGCAGTCTTTGCTGTGGGCTGGTTTGCTTGATTACATTTCGTTCTCTTGGTTTTTCAGTCTTCAGACTGCTTACAATCCGTGAAGTGATTTTTAAATGAAGCCAGCAGCATTTGCTGGTACAGTAATTAACATCCTTGATGTGTGTTATATTTGATTCATGTCTGTTTAATTTTCTCTGTTTGTTGTAAAATAAAGGTATATATTCAACCCTTTATGTGTGCAGGAATTGTTTACAACATTTTTTTTCAAAGTGTACAGTATACTTGTACATGTATTTTGGAAGCAGTGTACAGCGCTTATACATGTACATCTGAAACTGTTCACGAAGCACCATAAGAGTTTTCCAGTTGAAAGGTCATTTCAAAACGATTGAAACATTTCCAACCTACACATTTTATTTGAATCTTCCTCCTCCATTGCCTTCAGACACCCAGGGGAAATGGTCTAGTCTTAACTACTTCCCTCTACTTTTTTTTGGGAGGGGTGTGTGTGCAAGAGAGACAGTTGTCTACTTTGTTACTTGAAATCACAGCTTTAATTGTATGTACATGTATTTTGTTGCTGCAGGTGGTTGGCATTGCGCTCCTAGCCGTCGGTATCTGGGGAATCTTTGAACTCAAATATTACCTGGAGCTGTCGGACACCGACTATTCCAACGTTGAGTATGTCCTGATTGGGACAGGTAGCTTCATGATCGCCGCTGGAATCATCGGTTGCTGTGCCACCGTCAAGAACATTGCTTGGCTTCTGCAACTAGTGAGTCCCAGCATTGTTTTGGTTTCAAGTTGATAAGCAGAAAAATTATGCTTAGTAGGTATGTTGAGCAGGGATCAGAGATGTACGTGTATTTTGTTGGCCAATCATCTTCAGTGCTTTGCAACATGTTTAGCCCCATAAAACTGGCCCTGAAACAAAAACGTTCTGGCAAGTCTCATTATCTTGTCATTGATCTAGGTTACGTTCTCTGCATTATGGGCTCTCTAATCAAACTGTCTGTTTTGCACAAATTGTACCGATAAATCAAGCCTAGTGTGGAGCAGTTTCTCACCTTGCTACTCCTCCACCTGTCTTGAGAACAGGCAAAAATTATTCAGGGTCAGGCAAGTTTTGCTGAGAAATGGCAAAAGTAACAACCCCCATGTATAGGTACATGTATTTCATAGATTTTCAACACTGGTGAGATACATGATGTTGAAGGGTGTCATTTTCAAAAAGTTTGCTGGGAGTGCACAGGCAGGTTTTCAGAATTTCATGCGGAAGGAAGGAAGGACAGATATTTTAAGCATACATGTACCCTAGACCCTCTGTGGAGTGAAAAAGCATGCTGTGAACATTGCTGTATTCTACTGTACATGGTTGCTTTTTGTACATTTTTCGCCAGTATTTTATTTTTTGAAAATAGCCCGTCTGCTGCCAGTTATTATTTGTTAATAATTTCTTTTTAGTGAAATCAGTTGAAAGCTTTCATCTAAAAAGTCAACAGTTTTAAGGTAAACTTTGGATCTGCTTTTTGTGTTGCAGTACGGAGTAATGGTCTTTGTCATCTTCATTGCTCTTCTAGCGGCAGGAATCTCAGGCTTCGTTTACCGAAATCGTGTAAGTTGATGTAGCCGTGTCAATCCTTGACCATTTTCTCATGTGTAATTTGTTACTTGTCAGAAACTGTAGTCATTCCTTCCATTGAGAAGCTTGTATCTGTGCAGACCTCTAGCAGGGGAAGATGATGTTTTAAAAGGCATGCATATCCACTGCAATGTGCATATTACACTCCTCATAAATGATCGTTACCTGCAGTACGTGTATGTACGATATGTGAAATGCTAACCACTTGGCATACAGTGTGCATGCCGCTGTACAGATGCCCTGTCTGTTAAAGCAATTCTGTTGCAATATACATGTATTGCAAACCTGGTATCATTATACCCCGCTTTAATTTTAAAAATTCCATCTGGTGGGATTTAATTACTGAAGTGTGAAGAACTCTTTCTAAATTCATCAGGGATCTATTGAATGAACACCCCAAATTGTCTGGGATACTCATTTAATTTAACCCTAACCCTCCTCAATCCTTCACCTGTTGGAGGACTGAGGAGTGTCAGGGTTAAATTTGTTCAGAGATTTGTAAATTGGTACCAATGCATGTACATCATATGTGTGGAATGCAGCTCAGAAGATTCCAACTTTTTAAGAAGTCAAGATGATGAATATCATCCCACATCATCTTCTGCATCGTTTGAAAACCCACTTTAAATGTCAAGCAGTGGACAAAGTGATGTGTCTGAGCTGATGTGTTTTGGAGCTCGAGCCTTGATGGTTGACATTTAGATTTTTTATTTTTGAGTTGAATGGATGATTGTCGTAATTTCCCGAGCCAGACATGACAGATATTTTTATAATAACTTCATCCCTGATTCCAGCTTGACTGAAGGGCATTGATTGAGGCTGTGAGTTGAACGAACTTTTAATGTCAGAAGGATTTTTCAATGTCAGCTTTATGCGCATGAGTGGTACTCGCTGTCAAATCACCAGCACCAGCCAATTTTCAGTATTTCCAACCTTGGTTATAATCTGCAGCAACTGATGAGAAATTTATTTTAACTAAGCCTTACATGGAAAAAACATTGATAGTTGTAAAAATGTGTATTTAGCCCAAAATATGGTAGTCAAAATCTGTCAGATATCTGTAGCAAAAATCACTTAGACTGTTTATTCCTTTCGTTTTGTCACTTCAAAAATCACTCTTTGTTTCAAGTGTTAGAAGGCCGTGGATTAGCAGTTCTTTCTATGAAGATGAAGTACAGTACACTTTAATTTTTGATCATGTACACTTTCAGGCTTGTACGCCAGGTTTTTTTTTGTTTTGTTTTATTTTGTTTATTTTTTAAGAGCCCCCCTGTTGCCTTCAAAGCCTCAGGCAGGATGACTAACATCAGTGCTGAAAAGGAAGTCATGCATTTTTTAAAACGTCTGAAGGATGTCGGTCACAAATTAAAATTTTGTGGCAGGTGCTCTAGGCTTTTGGGATTATTATGATACAGTTATGATTGAAAACAAAATGGATATGTGGTTGAGGGAACATCATTTAATCATTTAGCTCTCATGTGTGTTGCCTTTACCTTTTATTTTTCTATTTCACAGTTGGAGGAAGGTTTCCGGAAGGGTTTGGATTCCAAACTAAAGACCTACAAGAGCAGAGACGAGCCCCCAGATACCTACATTGACAAACTTCAGAAACATGTGAGTTTAACATATGTCTGCTTCGCTCTCATTTTCTGTGGACATAACGGGGGGAGAAAAAGCCGATGAAAAACCCTGGAAATTAATTTCAGATGAATTTGTAATTTCAAAAACCATTATCCGCACAGAATCATAATTTATTTCATAGATTGTTCTTTTTATTGGTCGGACATGTGACAACCCTACTTACAAACCCCAATTGGTTGTTTCAACAGCCATATTTGATGATTTCTAATAATAAGCTACCTCTCTTTACATATATATACATTGTATAAATTTACTGCCACAATTACACGACTATGTAAGAATTGCACTCGATATTCCCGTACCCTCAAAAACTGAGCATGCATAATACATGGGGGCTATGTAAATACTTACCTGAAGCTGCATTCATTGTGACAATCCAAAGAGAAGAGCAGGTAGCCAATATACTGTAGTAATACTATCAGGCATGAAATGTGTGGGGAAGTTATAATGTAATGTAACTGCATGTACATTGTTATAGCATCTGAAATCGACATCACTGACCCAGTAACATTGTACAACGTGAGACGATAGACAAGAACAATTTTTCATGCAGCCGTCTTGCTGTCTATTATTAAGGACTCTTCCACCGTCCATGCCCTTCGTCAAGCCTGTTTACCCCACTCTGAACACGGCTGGAATCACATCTCATTATTCCGTCTGGTGTGCTCCATATGGCGATGGTGTGCCATTGAGTTTCAAGCCTAAATCAGTCGTTGCCATCAGGTGGCAGGTGTCTGCGCGATCTATTCCTCGGCACAGTGCCTGATTTGGGTCAAATTTGGATCAAATAGATGGAATTTGTAAGAATAATCTTGGAAATTCCTCATTTTTCAACCATGTTTTTATACCCTCTTTCCCAATATATTGTGTAGGTCTTACTCCAATCCTTAACATTCATGTGCAGGTGTTGTGCATGCATCAGGCATACATGAACATAAAAAATACACCTGCAGCGGCAGGTCCTGCATCTGTAATGTCAAATGTATTCCTTACATTTCCAGATGTAGGAAGAATACATGTACATGTAGGGTCTTTGTGTGTGTGTGTGTGAGACGAGAAGGACATTTGAGTGAAATTTTTGCCGGATCATGTTGCAGTTCTGGCGATGTGTTCCCCGTCCTGGTCTTTTATTCTGATGGGTCCTTTAATGAAAGAGATTGTTGGCATTCCTCCACATGGCCTCGAGGGATGCGGTGTGCATCGACATGGCTCTCAAGCTCTTTAATTCTACCCTATCCTAATCCCTATATCCCTGGTAATCATCTGTAGGCTGTAGCAGATCTCACAGGACATGTACATGGTACACATTCTCAGTGTTTTCCTCTTTGAAATGCCTCCGTCCTCACTTGAGGTTGAATCTCACCGGAGCACAGCTGCATAACCTGTAGGAGAGAGGCACAGTTTGGGTAAAAAGTTTACCTACACTAGGTAGAAAACAGTTCTCCTCAATTTTTTGCTGTTTGAAATAGTTTTGCTAAATTTTTCTTTACGAGATCAGACAAATTGTACCACAGTCTCAAGTTAAATTTCACTCAAATGTCCTTCTCGTCTCACACACACACACACAAAGACCCTACATGTACATGTATTCTTCCTGCATCTGGAAATGCATAGTCTGTACAACTTCAATTCAAAGTACACAAAAATATTTATTGTGGTACAAAATATTAATATTTCTGAAAAATCATTAAAAAAAATTTACATTTACCCCCTTATTGTTGTTCCAAAACACTTCAGCAAGTGGTCCACTGCGACTGTGAGATGTGACAAAACTACAGAAATTGGCACTAAATATTAGGGTTGGAGTGTGTAAAAGTTTGGTTTTTTTTGTAAAGATAAATATATGCATACACCATGCACATTAAGTAGAGAGACCTATCTTGTCACAAGTCTGTTAAAATGTCTTGAGACTTCAGAGGTCTGGATTACAGAAGTTTACATGGTGCATGTTGCTGACAAAGTTTGACAATGTGTGTGCATTTGTACACATAGTGTTGAAAATTAGTTGGGTGCACATTGCATGCTACCCAAGTTGGAGAGGGTGGATTGTTATGCATCTGAAGCTGAGGGGCTGTCGTTAGTAGTACAGGCAGTGCTCTCCACCCATTTTACACGGTCCCTTTAAAGGTCAATCTGCCTTTGTCCCTAGCTGCTCTGCTGCGGCTCCCGAAACTATACCGACTGGCTCCAGGCTGACACGGAGTGGTTCAACACCCACCCGAAGGATGAGGTACCAGACAGCTGCTGCAACGCCACGGTGGACAAAGATGAGTGTAGCCAGCCCGAGCAGGCTATACCGATCAGAGTTGACAATGGCACATTATTGGCATACAGAGAGGTACGTATAATGAAGGAAGGGAAGGGGAGGGCAGAATGGAAGGGAAAGGGTCAAGGGTCAAGGGAGATGAGTAAGCTTTCGAGACTTACCAGGATATTTCCTATGCCCTTTTCTAAGCTCCAGTATCTTTGGGATTCTGTAAAGGCACACTACATTGGATTGCAGATGAGAGTGGCTTTAATCACAAAATTCTGTTCACAAAGTGGAACCTTTAAGATTCTGTTGCCAGGGTAATCGCCTGTTATTCCTCTCTGAATATGTCCCAAGGAGAAAGACTCTCTTTTACCTGGAGCCTTTAGACAATCTCACACAGGGAGCAGGTTGAAAAGCAATTTGATCTAAGATGTCCTTTTTCTTTACAAGCAAGGATGTCCATTCTTGCTCTCCCAAAATTACATTCAGACGGATTTATTTGGAGGTGAACGTGTCTTGCACACGAGCATTCATCATATTGAAACCATGCAAAATGTGATTAAGCTATGCGGTTGCTTGGTTGCAGGGTTGCTCAGAGAAGGTTACTGCTTTCCTTGACAACAAGATGTCAATTATTGGTGGCAGTGCGTTGGGCTTCGCTTTCTTTCAGGTGAGAATTACAAAATTCTTCAAGTTTGTTTCAACCTCAGTTTTTCTTTGGCTGTTGTGCCTCTGAGAAGTGAATATGAAATTACATTGCCAAATTTTAAGAAGACAGAAATGAAATTGACTTAAAAAAATCTTTTCTCTCTGCCAGCTCATCGGTATCATTCTGGCGTTTGGACTTGCTAAGCTCATTAATACCAACAAGTACGAGATGATGTAAGGAATGACAAGCATCTCTGATGTCCTGCCTCTCTTTAGTTTCGTATTGGCTTTTTTTGTATGATTTGCGGGTTACGCCACATTCTCGGTGTTCACCACAAACAGGATTCCTGGCCAGTACATGTATGTGTTCAAGGATGCGTCTGCAGGACAACTTGAATAAAAAAAAAAGGTTAATTTGAAATTGCACATGTCGTTCACAGCTCCATTTTTCATTTGTTAGAGGTTACCGTACATTACAGGCCAGAGTGGGGCCTTTAGGCATACTGCCTCTCGATGATTGACCCCTGGGATATTGATGTGTAAAATTTTCCCGAAATTTAACCCCAGATATTATGGTCAGTCCTGAAGGTTTGATGTGAATATTGCATTTTGCAACTTGGGCAAGGAAATCTGCCCGTACATCTTGAGCTGCTTCGTTTTTGTATTGCCTTGAAAAAAAAAAGAAGAATCGGTGGAAATAAGAGTGCTATCAAAAGCCTTCATATTCAGTAGAAATGTTTATTAAAATGTGTACTTGTACATTGTGTGTAGTTTTGAGAAACAAAAAGTGGAATGATCTTGGTAAAGTGTTCGGAAAAGGTGCAACATAAAGTTAATGCAAGTAAAGGTTATCAATTTATTTAACTGCCAGCAAAGTAGAATATTTGCCGAGTGGTCTGTTTACTCAGGACAACATTCAAAGTAGAATATACTGCCGCTAAAGCAGGTTGGTCAAGTGGGACTAGAGTTTTCAACTGAAACTGCGCTGAATGAATTCTGGTGAAACTTTGTATAATAGTGCAGGTATGCTGATTTTTTCATCCTGGAATATTGCGATCATGGGTTGGTTTGGGTGATGCTGCATCCCGGTGACAGCAAGTCTTGCACTGTACAGAGTGGTGTTAGGTCGTAGTTTGCAGGATCTCATCTGTGTTACCAATGAGCGTGAGTACTGAGCAAGCACTCATTAGGTCACATAGGAATATATTCTTGGAAGTGCACCGTAACTTTGCGTCTTGTAATCCTGCCGCTTTGGGTGTTCTTTCTCCATGCTCAGTGGTTATTGTCTCTCGTGAAAGTTTCTTTACTGTGATCTCTACCGTGCAAGACATCTTTAAAATTGCCATTGTCCAGTGCAAATATCAAGTAATATCAGTGGGTGGTGTTCAGCTTTACTGTTCTTTGCCTTAATAAGTACTTTATCACTTGTGACCTTTCGCAGGAAATTGTACTAGAGCTGATGTCTGTATAAATGATCTTAACCTTGCTGACTAGACAGCTTTCCTTTTTTAGGTGATTTCTTTTGTCAACTCCAGGGTCGATTTTTATTTTAGGATTTTAAGTGGAATTGAATTCAATGCCTTTTGTGTTGCCTTGAAATTGCATTTGTAATATCTAAACCACCCAATGTTTCTTTTTGTTAAGAGGCTGTGTTTTACGTTACTGATATGTTCATTTTTATGAGGCCCCCACATTGACTTTTTGAAACTTGAAATATTCTCTGGAGCTAAAAAGCTGAGAAGCTAATGAAAAGACTAAGTAGACATTTGTAAGAGAAAAAAAGAATGAGTCTGCAAACTAGGTGCTTAAAATGTACGGTGGTACTTTATTGTGATATTTTTGTATTGCTGTAAAACGTTTCCTTCCACCGAGGTGTAAACAGCATTAATCAACTCGATTTTATCTCATTTTTTGTTATTAAAAAAATCAATTTAACCACTCGTTAGCTTCATCTTAATTTATTTCATCTGTCATATTAAACTCCCATTTCAACTCTATAAAAAAGGTACCCACTAATGTATGTAAAAGAATTTTGTATTTTAAGCATACTTTATTTTTGCATGCATAGTTTATTGCATAATGCTTATATCAGTGTACAGTTTGGTTTGCAGCCTGCACACCATCATCTCCTTTTCTTACATCGTGTGAAAAATGTATTTTAAGCATACTTTATTTTTGCATGCATAGTTTATTGCGTAATGGACACATCAGTGAACAGTTTAGTGTGTAACCTGCATTATAGAATATCTCCTTTCCTAACATAGTGTGAATCGCCTTATAAGTTCTTCATTCTCGTTAGTTCTAAATTAGAGCGATTTTTAGTTAGGGTCGGCAGCAGGTGTTATTATATTAATGTGACAAAATGTGCAGGGTAAAATGATCGTGTATACATGTACATGTAATTTTATAGCTAGGCTTTCCTCGACCAATTTTCTGGCTCGCGTTTTAGGCAGGAAGACTCAAAAGCCCAAAACAGGAACCTCTGCTTACTCCCGATCCTCACAGGGACACTGTCGTTATTTATTTTGGTGAACCTGAAAGGCCGAGTTAGTTCTTCGTTAATATAGAGAACAGTGGTATGTAATTTAATATTGAGATTAATTATAACGAATCACCAAAGTATGGATCACCTGAGCCACTTAGATTTTTGCATCATGTCTTTGTCCATTTTCTTTATCAATGTTTAGTAGAGGTTATTTGTTCTTGGCCACATGCTTCTGATTTGAGACAGAAGATCTCTTGAAAGTTACCAGCTAAGGTGATATTTCATTATTGTCTGCTCCTCAAGGATGACCGTGTATGCTCACAGCTCGAAATCTGAAATATCAATTTTGATCGGGCACGAGGGTGCTATCATCATGGGACATTATTTCAGTCAATGCAGGTCGTGGTAAAAAGTTTGTCAAATAAATTTGATCTTAATAACAACTGATAATTGCTCTCCTTTTATTCTCGCCAATGGTAGAAGAGATCAGTGCAAATGGAAAATCTTATTAATTATGATTGTTGAAGTATCTGGTTCGTAAGTGACTTCGTCACAAAGGCGGCGCGCCACGATTTGCAGGCTCTCATTGGACAATCGCTGAAGTTGCGCGTTAACTTCCGGTTCCATGTAAACGGCGATCAATGCACGTAACCCTATGTGCAGTTCACGTGTGCAGTGGGCGTGGTTTAAACTGAAGTGACGTCACACTTACGAACAGGATATCTTAATGTAAAACTTGTAAGTAATGATAGTGAAGATGTCGGCAGTATTAGGCCAATGCGCTGAACAGGTATAAATCACTATGTATATGCAATTATTAAAGTATATATATGAACCATTTCAAGCTTTGTAGTTTGATAGATTCCGCCAAGCAAATGCTTCGTTTCAAATGTAGTTATGACTGTCAGGTTATGTAATCTCGCCCTAAATGGTCACGTGATCCCTGCCTGAAAAGCTGTAATCATTGCAATAAAAATCAGTATCGTGAAAAGATATCAATTCAGTCACGACTGTGTTTTTTTTCGTCTGGTGTCTTCTACAGCGTCGTGTGATTTCCATTATGTCATAAAGCGAGAGAGCATTCTCCTTTCTTTAAAAGCAGTTGCAAACGCCCGGTTTAGGGACACGTCAAAGTGTAAATATCAATTAAAAAGTTTTATAAACGGAACTCTCGACCTTTAAAACCATAAACTGGAGTGGTTATCAGTGTTTATTGACCTGCCGAAGTACAGGAGTACCATCAGCCAGTACTTCCCTTGTTGACTTGACAAACAGAAACCTTGAAACTTTGACATTTTAGCCTGCTCAGTACCCGATCACTGTTGCAGAACGCAAGGTCATGCACCCCCCCTACACCCCGGCCCGACACCCGCGGGGTACGTTGCTAGGACGCTTGCTGCACACGGAAGTCACACACTGCTAACAGTACGCGCCGTGTACTTATCCGGGGAGGTGGTGTTTTTTCGTGCAGTGTGCACTTGGGCTTGATTTGTAGCTGTTTTTTGCGAGGTTTGTACGATTAATGAATTTAAGTTTGGACACCGATCTTCAACACTCGAACATGTGAAGGTATTCCCCCGTTTTTCTCATAAATAATTCGGTTCTTTGAAGCTGCAACTCGGCATCGGGGACGGCTCAGTGGTTTGGTCTGGACGTTTTGTAAACTGACAAATAAAAGGCCATCTCTTCTTAAGAAATCCAGTCGGCTTTATTCTCCTTGATCAAATATTCAGAAGCTCGTGTTATTGTTCCTATGTCCGGACATTGTCTGCCTTATAATGGACATCATGTAACCAAGCAATGGAAAGATCACAGCGGGACATCAAGATCGATTCGTGAAGAGGCAATGACTCAGAATCTGAGGCAGTAAGTCATCCAAGTCGTTGAAGCGATCTCTTACATGTAGTTTTCTGAGGAATTGGTTGGTTCTTCGTCCGACTTCCGTGGCCCGAGAGCGTAAGTATGTGAACACACGTTGTTGGGAAGGACTATAGTCAAATACAAATGTTAATAGGTTTAGAACCATTTTAATGATGAAAACCAAAAGGATAATAAATTACATTTCAGAGATGGGATTTGATTGTCGTGTACAGATTTAAGAGAGGCATTGCAACGGTACCGTTTTTAAAAACATTTCGACTATCCTAACATTTGCGTAAATCCAAGAATTTGTTTTTGACATTAAGAATATCTATTACTAGGTTACAAAACTGGATTAGCAAATATAATGCTTTTATTGTGGCTCTAAATATACCACTGTATTTCAGAAGGCATTGATTTTTAGGTCCGCGATTTGTAAACTATTGAACTCATTTTCACTGCTTCCAAAATGTATCAACATGAGTAGGAGCATCCAGATTTATTTGAAAGGACATACCCAGTTCCCTTCTAGTTTTTGCTAGTTCATAAATTAAATTCCCCTTCCCCAGATATTTGCAACCTAATACAAGGATATGAGCTCACGGTGATGATGCACAGTCCATCTTAATCCGCATCTTATCCGCATCGTCGGCCCTCTGTGAGGATGGATTCCCTGTCCTCATCTATCCCTGCCGGCAACACACGCTACCCTCGCAAGATGCAGGTACTGTACTGAGCATAAAGTGTGTGTGTGAGACTGATAATCATTATGTCACTGCAAATTTCAGTGAAGACAGATAACAATCAGGGAGGAATTGGTAAAAAGGGAGAGGTAACAGTTTGAAGACAGGTTCAGAGAAGGGGTGGGGCATTAAAAAAGGGGGTGGATGGTTCCCTCCCAACAATTGGTAATGAAAGGGCTCGGGATACAGTAAAAGTCCTTTTTTAAACTTCATTTTTCATTTCCTTTCAGATTTCCTTTCAGAATTGGTATCCCAGTTTTGTTTTAAGCACATTTGCTGCTGCAGTTACAGTAAATCATTTTAATTTTATTTTGGATCAAACGAGTTCGTGTAAGCTCTGTTTATCCTCAAACAAAATACATGCACTGTCTTCATAACGTGATATGTCACTTGTTGACAGCATCAATATTGGTTCCTGAGATTGTAGGCAGGGGCCTGTATTCCCAAGTCTTTCCGATGAAAGACATTAAGCAATATTTCCATCTCCCCTCTCTTCACGGCAGACGGCAATCTCTTATGAGCATCTGGACCGTGACTTCATCACTGCGTCCCGTCAAGATGCCGCCTCTCGCCGCTCGCATCACTTGAGGACCACCTCCTTGCCCAAGATAGCCACGGGCCGAAGTGTCCGCAGTGCCAAGAAGTTGTGGGAGGACCATGAGCGCATCGAGGTGCAATCCAAGGTGCAAAAGGTGAGGGGAGACGCTTGATGAGTCAAGACCGACACAGTTCACGTTGAGTCTGACCAAATTTATTCTGGATGTAAGGATAAGGGGTACTTTCTGACAAGTGTCTTCAGTCTATTCCGTGGTGATCTTCAAGATAAAAAAAAATTGGCAGCTCATGCAAGGCCCAGAGTCCATCCCATGACTTTTGAGACAGTCCAGAAATACTTGCTGAAAATGAAGCAAATTGTCGCTGAAGTTTGATCCATCATGAGAAAATGTAAATAACAAAACAAACTTGAAGATATACAGCATGGTCTTCTCAGAAAGAACTTCCAAAAATCATTGTTGAAAATCTATCAAAAACTAAAGGAAGATTTTCCATTATTCTCGTTCATAAATTTGTCTTTAGTGCTGCAAAATATCTACCCATGAAAAAAAATACTTCACATACCAAGACACCTCACCTTAAATAATCACTGATCAACTTCAATATAACATGCTAGCCTGAAGCATGACTTCCACGTACCAAATTGATATAATGTCATCCACTGTTGCTTTCCTTGACAGAATAAATAAATTATCAGGTTTTCCTCAGCTATGTGCCCGTTTTATGAACCGAGTTTTTTTTCCAATTTTGTCAGACAGCCAGGCATGACTCATCTTATGTGAGCTGGCCGTCAATATTCTCTCATCCATGTGGCTCAAGCGCTTAGTTTTAAAGATGTGGTGTAGACGTTTAGCTTGTGGAGATTTTGAAAGCTTCAGTGTCAAAGAAAACCAGGATCTTCACTCGGACAAAGCTGGAGGGAAAAGCTCCTCGCTATTTTGAAAAATTTTAAGGAAATGTAACAAAATCAAACCAAATCACTTTTGCCAAAAAAAAAAAAAAAGAAAAAGATCTATGGCTTCTTTCCATGACAAAGATCTAAAAAGAAATTTAAATGACAACATGAAATAAACAATAAAGGATCCCTTAAATTTAGGACACTGGTTTTCAAAAATTCAAGAATCTGAAGCAATAATGTAGTTTTAGTATTATACATTTTTCCATTTCAGAGATAAATGATTTGCTATCATAATTAAAATGCAAAAAATTAAAGATTTTCATGCAATGTTCCAATTCCTTTTTTTAGTATTGCAGGCTTTGCAGCTGCCCTTTGCTATACTGTAATACAATCCTTTTCCGTATTTCTCATTGTTTTCATTTCATCACGACTTCTGATCAGGAAAATGAGAGACAACCTGAAGTCCCACCTTTGAGAGTTCCCAAAAATCCCCACGGTCTCTACAAACACACCGTGCAACCTGTCAAGCCATTTCACATACTTCATAGTCCCTCCGACTACGGCCAGGCCAAGCACCAACTACGGGAGCTGTATGCACAGGTCACGTACCTGTCCAATGCTGTTAGGAACTGCGATGGCTCGGCCAGTTATAAGGTAGCTCAAGATGTCACTGTGTACATTGTGTTCAAAGATGTATGTTATAGCCAGGGTCCAATTATGTTGGGTTGCTAGGCATAAACTGTTGTCATGGGGACTCACAGATGCCTGCGGGTAAGGACAATTCCTTAACCAGACTAAAAATGCTCCCTGATTTACATATTTGGCATTCTTTCAGGGTATGTGTAAACAGCAGCGCAGCCACAACAGCGATGACAACAACCCCTTGCGTCTACACTGGCCCTCCTCAAACAATAGTGTTCCAATACCCCGCCTTCTGTTACCAGTGATGCCGGGTACCAACACCAAATGGTACTCCTGGAAGGTGGACACACCTAGAGAAGAGTCCTCCCCACGGGTTAGGGGGGAGAAGCAGGGAGGTGGAAATGACAAAAGATATACAGCATCAGCACCCGGTGAGTCAAGATTTCTATGCACATCTTTCATTTATTACTACAAGATGTCAAGCGGCATTGTCAAGAGTTCAGTCTTGCAGTTAAGACAAAAACAAACCACAGTTTTCCTTGTTGCACCCGTTACACTTTTAGTATCCCGAAGTTTGGACTTCCTAGAGAGATACGGCAAGAACACAAACTGTGCGGCTTCCACTGTGGACGACTCTGGAGGTAGATGGTCTAAGAACAAAAAAGAGGCTTGCACAAAGTCTCAGGAGGGACACCTCAGTATTAAAAGTGCCGATGGGACAGACATCACAGAGTCACTTGCTTCAAGTTCCCTGTCGTCAATCATTAAATATGATGCCAACAAATTCAAGCTGAAGGACGATGAGGTGGTTGCTGGGAAAGCCATCTTCCTGACCCAGTCAGAACATCAGAAAATGTCAAGCGTGGAGGAGGTGCACACTGATGTGGCAGGCGTCAGTTGCCATGGTGACTATAAGAAAGAAATAGAAAATGCAGCACCTGAGAGGAATATGTCAAATGACGAAGATGTCAAAGGGAAAAGTGGAACGTTGGAAGAAATCAGGGAATGGAGTCAGGAAGATGAAATGGATGCAGTTGCACGAGTAAATGTTACAGTTGCCGAACCCGTTGAAAACCCTGCATCAGATGACCCTCAGTGTTCCATGCGTGATGATCTTGCTGATAATCTGCTTCTTCAACAGGAAGATAAAAATGTCGAACAGGTCGGCATGGCAACAGGTAATGAACTGGAGGCAAAAGCTTCAGATGACAATCAGGAAGTTACTAATTCTTGCAATAACCACTGCGACAGTGACGAGGCTCTGCAAAGCAAAGCAGATGGCTCTGTAACTATGGCAACACAGGACGAAAATTCCAATTCCAACAAACAAGATGTTTTAGAAGAGCCAAGCAACAACGAGGGGGCCCAAGATGTCTCTGATGACAAAACAGACCAACATCAAGTGATTATGCTCAGCAAAGACATTCTAGACTCTGAACAAGTCTCCCCAGGAGCAAATCATTCTGTTGCAGCTGAAACCAACCATGAACAGACTGAGAGCGAGTGTAGAGACGCCTCTGAGGAAGTACTACCAAATGAGAAGTGTGAAGACAGTGGTACATGATTGTGTTTAAAACATAGAAATTTCAACCACTGTATTCTTGCTTGTGTAAAGAAAAAGTCAGGCAGTTGACTGCCGTGCACTAGAGGCCCCCAGTAATGGAGGAATCAACTTATCAGCTGTTGTATGAAGTAACTAGCCCCTGATGGTCTTTTTTTCAACATTTAACACTAGGCTCCCATCACTGCTGAAGGTTCTTGAGTGTTCAGAAGCACGTATGTGAAGTTGCCCTCACAGGTTCATCACAATACCAGTCAGTGGTATTTGTCACGAATATCTTCATTATATCAACAGTTTTCATGAACAGCCATTGGAGACATGACAGTTCACCAAACAAAGTTTGACTGACGACTGAAAAGGTTTTTTTCCAATTTTATTGTTCTGATGAAAACAAATGTAAAAAACTTTCGTTAACGTGATGTAACAGAATACTCAAGACAAATGTTAACATAACTTTGGCAGAAGATCTTTATTTTGTAACAGTTAATTGTATCCCAAAATTAAAATAAGCACACTGATCTTGAACAAAAGACCCCGAAAGTCCATTTCTCTCCCCTTCACACTGTCAATACTTTTCTGATAAGAAGAATTATTTTCTCCTAACATACTGTGACCCCCCCCGAAAGTTACCAATGGTCCTCCCCACTTCATGGTGTGTGTGTGTGTGGGGGGGGGCGCTGTATGCATGTAGGAGATTTACATGGAGACTTCAACAAATGTATTGAATAACTTTCTCTGTCTGGAAAGAAGTTGTAGGATGTTTGATTTTTTTCCCCTGAAATATGCAAGAAATATTACATAGCATGTCACCCACGCCTGTCTGCAAAGCCATTGAGTTACGAATGCGGATCGGGTGTAAGGCTATGTCTAACTCAACTGGCTGTGGTTACTGATAATGCATGTGTCTATGGGAAGTAGCTTCAGCCGCTAGCTGTTGGCTTCCATAGACACGTGTGTCATTGCAAGCCGTTACCAAAGTGTGCTCCAGATGTGGCTTAAACTGGGAAAAGACCCGACTTGGCAAGATGACGAGGTATAAAACCGAATACATGTACACATAATTTATAAATGTATGAAAATGATGTACTACATGATTTAAAAAAAATGACTAATTTAAACAATGGTGTGCTAATAAATTGAGGCTTCCTGATTTGCATATATGCAAAGTGTTGGTGCCCCTTCGAGTTACCTTGTAAAACCTGAGCATAAATAAATAACCTATTCACATCAAAGCACAATCGCTACAGAAACTTCACAATCACAGAAAATAACAGGTGCAGGAACTGGAACTTTCAATTTTTCTAACCACTGGAACAAAACCTGCTGATATCTTGCAGAAAATAATCAAAAATCCCATCCTTTCCCGGAGTCCCTTCAAAGCACAGTACAAAATACAATACTGAAATACAATACTGAAACTTTCCAAAATAACAGTAGACTGAATGCAAAAGCACAATGGAACCTACAAATGTAGAATGTGTTCTTAAAAGGTAATACATGTTGGTTTCTTTGTAGCAGCCATCACAGACGCTAACCTGTTCCTTTGAAAGCCCCACTGGATACGGTGGTTTAGTCCTGAGCCACAAGTTGCTAAATGCAGGGTACCAGTGGCAATCTATGTGCACCAGATCATCTGAAGTTTTGTCTTGTAGCTCATTTTTGCTCAGCAGATTTTGCACATGCTTAGCAGATTTGACAGCACTATGCCATTGGGGAGAGCCGTTCCCATCATACCCTGTCCTTCCTCTTCCGCGCTTTTCACACATCTTCCCCTCGTTCTCGTGCTATCTCAACCTCTTCCTTGTGGGCCTTGCTGACCATGTGGGCACCGTATGGCTTGGGTCCGTTCAACTTCTTGTCGCACACGCCACAGTAGTAATCGTTCTCGGATACCTTGCTCTGTTCACTTTTCGCCTGTTTGTTGTAGGCTGAGACGTAGGGTTTCAAAACAGCTATTTGAATAAAAACAGGAAAGCATCTCAAACAAATTATTTAATTAATCAAGAATGTGTGAAATGACAGAAGAACGTTTTCTCCAAAACCAGTCTGAGATTACTTTGCTTTCATGACTTAAATCAAATTCAAAGACTTCTCAAATGGAAAATCTTTACGTTTCTCAGAAGGAACTTCACTCTGTCCATCTGTATCGGCAAGCCAGGGTAAGACGCTAGGTCTGGTTTCTTCAATCTGAAAATAATTATAAAAGGATTCTAATCACTTTATTCAACACGACTGATTTTTGAGACAACCAGTTTATACTTATAGAATAGTCTGAAAAGAATAGGCTTGTTACAAAACACGATTAAAAAAGAGAGGATTGAAAACAAAATTCTATTTTTGTATCAGCTTCCAAAAGTTTTGTCCTCAAGTTTAATGCATATTGAGTTATTTAAATCATATCTCATCATGGACCAATGTATGTGAGTACAGGACTCGCTATGAAAGCTAAGTTTGTCATCTGACATTCTCCGAAGTGTGTTTCGTTTATTGAATCGTTGAATCGTTCCTCAAATGCATTCCTGTGAAGTCTTGCATGTTGTTTGCCTACTATTTCTTCCTGCCATCTCTACTTTTCCCTTTTGTGTAGTCATATTGAATCTTGCCTTCGGCCACTCATCTTCTGTAGTAATACCTCAGTCACGTTTATGTCCCATCCATTCTTAATCTTGAAGCAAGTGTGAATTTTGACAAGTCGTAGCCTCCAAGTATTAGTCAAAAGGGGCACTGAATGTGCACATAAGACCTGCACAGATGCGTGGTATTGCCATAAAATGGCTTCTGATTCTGGTTGCTGGAACATTCTATAGTCAGTCACATCAATGGTGCTCTGGCCCCGCTAGGCTTTATCAAGTCAACGTTCAGGTGTGATTCAAGACTACTCCACCAGTGAAAAAAGAACTCTCTGCAAGAAGCCAATCTTCACCTTCATGTAGCTGGCAGGAGCGTAGCCCACTGCCCCCGTCTCATCCCTGACCTTCCACCAATGCTCGTTGGTTGGGTGTCTCTCCACCAGAGTCAACCTTTGGCCCTGCTTGATGTCGAGCTCTGAGAAGCCCAGTGGACTGTTCTGGTTGGCTTTGTAGCTATACTTGGCGAGTAACCTCTTGGTTTTGCTTTTGTTGTCACCAACTGCAAGGCAAGGTTTGTTACTATTTTTAATTGACCTGCTGTGCTTTATACTCCATGGAGCAAATATAATATACATGTATAACCAAACAGGCTGAGAATTATTGGTGTTTTTACATTCAACATCTGGTCCAAAACAAAGCTTCTTGTTCTCCCATATTGTTTTGATGGAAGCAGTTAAAATGGCTTCAGGTTTCAAAGTCTACTTTTGGCTTTTTGTATAGGGGATGTCATTACTTAATAACTTGTTGGTAGGGGATGTCATTACTTGATAACTTGTGGGTAGGGGATGTCATTACTTGATAACTTGTGGGTAGGTACGTGTCTGTCTTGGGGTACAAAAAGGGGGCAAACATCTTATTCGAAGTAATCGCCACCCAAACAAAAAAGTCACTTTCCCCCTGCTCTGTAGTCTAAGATCTCCCTCTTACCAATCCTATTTTGTAGTGATCTCGCTGCTGTGCCATTGTTGTCTTGACTCCTGACATCATCACTACTGCTCACTAATTCTCTCCTGTCTGGTGTTGGGTGTTGGTTGGCTGGTGGACGGATCGCTTGCCGTTGATTCCAGGTAGATGTCTTACAAGGGTCAGATGGCCTAGAATTCTGGCTTTCAGCTAAAGCGCTGTTAAGTCTCCCCTGTGGAAAATAAAAAGCAAAGTCATTATTTGTGATTAACCTGTCATCTGTTAAAATGCATAAATGTGACAGAAACACTTGACATTTGACAAACCTGATTGAACGAATAACCTTCAACCAGATTTTAACATTCTGCAAGCCACATTTTTACTGCAGGCAAACATTGTAAGTCTTTCAACTGACAGGCTCTTTATTCACAATTATGTAAATTTTGCATGACTCAAACAAGGAATACCTGGGTGGGATGAGAAGCTAAGTGTTGGGGGAAGCGAATAGCCAGTGTTGTATCATGGACGAATGGTTATATTGAGACGGTGAGATGGTTTATGCAACCACTTCACATAGACACGGCAAGGTTTAACCATGGTATATTCCAGCAATCATTTCAAGGTTCCATTTATGTTTCTTGACCTGTTGTCCTGGTCTGGTCTCTTTCTGTGATATCTGCTGAACTGACAATCCCAGAACGCCTCGTCCCCGACCGATCCATCGCCTTGTTGGTTGGTCGGCACTGCTTGAATCCATTGTAACTACTGGATAAAAATCTGTAAAGTAAAAGGATATCTGGCAAGAACGGAAAAGACTAGCTTCAGCAGGAGCGTAGCCATAGGGGGCCGGGGGGGCGCATCCTCTTCCCCCATAGATTCTCGGTGCCCCCCAGGTGCCTTCCCACTGAAAAAATGGGGCGAATGGATATTGAACGAGGCTAACAAAAACTTGCCCTCAAAAACCACACCACTGAAAGCTGGTGCCCCCCATAAGATGCTGGTGCCCCATTTCTGCCCCCCACCCAATATAATCCTAGCTACGCCGCTGCACTTAAGTTAAATTCAAGGCCAATGTTTGTATCATTGTCATTATAACATACAAATATATATAAGACAGAATCTGCTTATTTTCAATAATGTTGGGCATGATCAGTCAACCGGCTAACTTAGTGCAATAATTGCTAAGCAAAGTGTTTTATACCTTGCATGCCATGACAATTGACAGATGCTCTTCGCAGGTTTTCATATTCTTGGTGCGTACAAACTTACTTTATGCAAAGATATTTTTCCACTCACCGAGCAAGTTTTAATTTATTTCAACGACAACAGGAAATCCAGACAACTGCAACTTCATCGACTTGGCTTCGGATTTGTCAACCCACCGTACAACAACAAGCGCGAAGCGAACGCACGTGGATAGTTTATAGCACCACGGGCACACCAGTAAATTGCAAAGGCGCCCTCTATTGACTCCTGGTGAAGCCAAAAATTTATTTATTTATGATGTCAGACACGACAGAAAAAATTGTAAAATAATAATGCATTCCGTCTCTCAGATGCGAATCGCCCATATTGTGCTTTCTCGTATGATAATATAAACAGATTTTTCATCCTTTATGAACTGTCCAGTAAAAATTCAGAAACAAAACAAGGTAAACAACCAACCCCCCCCAATCATATTAATTCTAAAACATGTAGGATCGAGATTAGAGCGAGGTTTATTTTTGGCAAGATGAGACAAAAATGAACTGTATTAATTACTAAACCAAACCCCCAGTTATTTTGTTTCCGATGTTTACTAACAAGAGATCGCAACATGATTTAACCAAAATGGAATGATGGGGAGGGAGTTGTTACAAACCGTTGTACATCATAGGGCAGACTAGGTCGACAGCAGACGTACATGTACTTTGACCTGAGACGAATTTGCTGCAGTTTTGCCAACTTGTGCTCCCAATTAAAGAGGCCTGAGCCCAAAGAAACGTGAAAACAAGCAGGTTGACTAATCAACATGAAATCTCGTCGGGAAAAAAAAAACAAAACAAAAAAAAACACGCCTTTCCCCTAATCCACATCGAAATTGAATGGCATAATGTATATATCGTTCATATTCAAATTATATTTTGTCAGTCTGCAAAGTCCAAGTACAGTCTAAGGAATAAACACTACTTTGAAAAATAAATAACAATAATGTCCCGACGCTACCCTTGGTAATGATTAACCGGACGTTGCATTCTTCAGTCATTGGATCACACTGTACAGTGCCGTGTAATAAACCGATAGGTAAACATAGGGTGCGCGTTGCTGGATGGCACCGCCTAACCCATAGTACTTCGAAGCAGAGTTAAAAATTAACTTCCTTAATCATAAAATTAGAGATAGGTTTGTACGTCTGGGCCGTTGTTAAATCGTGCGACGTAAATTGCCGCCATTGATTGACGCCATTTTGTGCATGAGAGGACAACTCTGAGGGATTCCTAAAAAGTGATTCACGGCGCTGTACTCTCGGACATACTACGAACTTTCCGGAAAACTAGACTTAGTGAGCGAGCTTCAGTTTTGGGAGTGAGGTGAAGATGTTTGGTTAGAACAGAGCAGGCACCATCCCTGCAAAGCTATAGATATAGGCGCGGAGTTGTCAGTTGGTGATAGAAGGTTTACTTGGACTTGAGCCCCGCCGATTAGGCCTCTATTTTGAAACTGACATCAAAAAGTTAAAAGCAACATGAACAGAGCAGCAGCCATCATCGTGGGACTAGTGGCACTGGCAGCGTGTCTCTTTCTGGTCATGCTGCCGTCGCTGATCGTCACGGCCCGGCCTTACGGCAGCTGGAAATTCCAGGTGGTGGAGTGTCGCTTCAGCGCGCAGAACGAAGAGAACAGTCGGCTGGACTGCTTCCCCGAACTCAACATGCCGACGGAGCGAGAGTGCCGAGCCAGGGGTTGTTGCTTTGTCGATGTGACCTTCAATCGCGAGCTGGTCGTCCCTGAATGCTACCTACCCAGTGGGGTCGGGTACGAAGTAAGTCCGTAAAATAAGAAAAAAAATGTCAATTTATTTAAAATATGACTGCACAGACTTCTGAAATACGTCTAAAATCTCGCTTCCTTTAAACTGTCGTTTACTTGTCTTCCAAATTGTCTTTTCCAAATTGTTGTTTCTGTTTTGATTTGTATTTTGGGGTCCTTTTTGATACTGATTATTTGTTACACTGCTCGAGGCACTTTGTCAGTCTCTTTGCTGTATTCATCTTGTATTGACTCTCACCTTAGCGTTTTGAATATTTTTTTTGCTGTATTGGCCTGATCTAGAAATGTTTTTATTAAGAAAGGTTTTTGCACAACACTGACCTAGGAATATTATTTATTTATTCCAGGAATAAATTAGAAATGAACGGTTTAACTTCAACCGATATCGACGGCGTGCTTGTGAAAACAAAGACAGTCAGGCTCACCTAATGTTATTGAAGGATATATACTTCTTACTAAAAGTTGAGCCCCCACACCTGAATTTTTTTAACCTCTTTCCCCGACTCTGTCCTCCCTCAGGTCATGGGCAAGCCGCAGGTGTTAACGTCGGGATACAACCTCTATCTCCAGCGGATACGCACTCCCAGGCTCTTTTACCGAGAGGCCGAAAACCTCGTGGTTCACGTGGACGAACAGGCCGAGAACAGACTGCATATCAAGGTTTGGATCAGAATATCAAATCTCCTGAAATGTTGAGGAGCACCTTGTGCCAAAGAATCCATGCTTTAGCAGTGCCTCCATGTTATTCATCCGCTGACCTACTCAGACATGATGTCCTTTAACAGTTGTGAAAAAAATTATTTTAACGAGCATGATTTCATCAACTAAAGGATAGGATTCCTGATACGAAGATGATTGTTTTAACTTGTTGGTAATGTCTGGGGCAGAATGGTGTTTAACATGCAGTTTTTATAGGCCTATCTTTTTGTTTTGTTTACTACTCCTTTGACATTTTTTGTGAGGCTTTTATGGCTGTTATTTTATTTTATCTTTCTTGAAATCGGTTCGGGAAGTAGTTTGTTTTCTCGCAATCTCGCATGCTCTTCCAATCAGAGGAAATTCCTGGTAAACCTGCCACTGGATTTCTTTATGTTGGTGTGCAGATTGCTTGGCAAATTCGAAGTGTCTATTAAAATCTATTTCCGTTATATACAAAATTTCGATTTACCTACAACAGATATCCGAGTACCGTTATGTGACCTACCAAGACTGGAAGTTTCCGGAGTTAGAAGATCGCATGTGGACACCTCGCTATGAGGTGCCGATCGATGTGACCAAGCCCGCTCGTCAAGCAGCTTGGACCGATTACATCTTCAACTACACTCAGAGTCCATTCACTATGCAGCTTACTCGACGCACGAGCCAACGGTTTAACATGTAAGGTTACGCCGATAGAGGGGAGAGAACCATGTATAATTCTTACACTATTACCCGACAGCCTGTAGCAAACACCGTAAACCACCGGTGTTGAATCAACACCAAGCACAGAGTTTGGTGTTGATTCAACACCTATGGTTTACGGTGTTGCTACAAGCTGTCGGGCCTATAGCGTCTCGAGTAATGTTAAGTTTGAACCAAAAGCTGCTAGAGCACTTATTAAGGGGAACGTTGTTTTATAGTGCACTGCTGGATAAGTTGGTGAAGTTGCCATCTTGAAGTACTTATTCATTGAAAACTATACACCTTGCACTTCTAGAACAGTTCGTGATAGAGAGCCACAAATCGCCTTTATAAACTCCCTCCTTTGCAGGATCGATACCACTCTGGGGGCTCTGATCTTCGAAGACCAGTTCCTTCAGATTACCTTCAAGTTACCCAATTCCCTACTCTACGGCTTCGGTGAGCACAGACGAGATGACCTCAGGCATGATATGAACTGGAAGGAGTGGGGAATGTTCAGCGCTCCAGGCCACCCTGACGATGACACAGTGAGTATCATCATGTCACGTGTTTGCTCACGTGACTCGAGCAGTACATCTTGTACTAAATTTCCATTTCTATGACCATTAGTCTTTTTTTTTGGGGGGGGGGTTAAACTTCTTTTTGGGGGGAGGGGAAGAGAATTTTTTAAAAACATGTAAACTTCAATGGCCTTTCTGGAGATGTTTTTCAAAGTCTTTTTCAAAGTTTTTCAAAGATGCATTTAACGGCTGAAGTCACAATGTCAACAATGAGACAAAATGGCAAGTGGAATTTTATTTGTTCACCTCTAGCAAAATGCAAACCTATACGGTCACCATCCTTTCTTCCTGAACGTTGACGACGACGGAAATGCCTTCGGAATGTATTTTCACAACAGTAACGCCATGGGTAAGTCATCATGAGAGGTGCAAGAACAGAATTAACAAGTACGCGAACAAATTCGAATAAACGAAACCAAGCAAAATGAGACGACTAAGATAACACTAGCGGAGATCGAGGACTAACAATGTGCACGTTGTGAAACATTTTCATTGCAGGAAATTAAATTTGCATTTTATAAAGAAATGTGAAAAAGATTTAAGCTTTCAAGATGAACAAAAGCATCATATTGTCGCTGAGCAATGCTACGTCCCAATTCATTATCTAATCTGGTGATACCTTCGTTTACAATGCAGATGTACATCTGACACCAATGCCTGCCGTTACTTGGCGAACTACCGGCGGAATTCTCGATTTCTACATATTCACCGGGCCATCGCCGGAGCAAGTCATCCAGCAGTATCAAGAGGTTTGAGCCCGAATTTGGTTTTCCAAATCTATTAGTTTCACAAGTGGTAGATGTCATATCCTGGAATCATCGATAACCTCTTGTCTTCGCCCGCAGGTGATAGGACGGCCTGAAATCCCGCCCTATTGGGCGCTTGGGCTACAACTTGGGATAGAATCTTTTGGAAGCGCCCAGGCAATGGAAAATTTTGTTCAGGAAAACGTGGAGGCCGAAGTACCATTTGTGAGTAACTAAGTCAAATTATAGTTGCCGAGGTTCTTTTTCTGTGGTGATAATAAAGACAATGACACATATGATGTTAGGATGGTGATATTGATGAAACAAACATAACGACAGCGATGATACTGTATTAAGATGGTATGATTTTGACAGCAGAAAGAAAACAAAATATTTACAACTCGCACCTATCTTTTGAGTTCTTTTCGTGTCTTCTTCCTGGTAGGATGTTATCTTCAGTGGCATGGATTATCAACGGTACTATCTTACCTTCACTCACGACGAAGCGAAAGTTCGCAAGTCTTTTATCGACAACTATCTCCACCCATATCAGTACAAATATGTCATCCATTTGGTAAGGGTCATCAGCCTTACACCAAGTATTTATGTATCATCGAAATGAGAAAACCTTCCCACTGCCATGATTCATAATGAAACTTAATGTTTTGAATACTGGTAGCAAAAATAATATGGTATAAAAAAGATATTTTAACTTCTTCAGCAGTAACATCAACTTGTGGTTAAATCTTTCACAAAAGTGTTGATTTAAAAAACATCTTCAAGTAGTTAGGCTATTACTCAGAAAATCTAATACGAATAACATGCATCTGGAAATGTTATCAGTTCTTAATTGCCTTAAAACTGCTGTTACTCTTGTAAAAGACTCCAGCTTTGAGCAGTCAGATACCGTCTCCAAAGTTCAATTACTGGCCATATTACTACGCCAAGAAACACGGCATTTTGGTCAACAGGACGGATGGTGTCACTCCTGCCTTTGGTGTGGTGAGTATTATTTATGCCATCCACAGATATATCTTACTAACAGCAAGGGGGAGCTAGCAAGCGCGTCAAAAAAAATTCAAGCCTGTTAATTGGAACAATCATATTATGGATTATCCAGTAAGCTCTCTCAGTAAGCAAACTGTTCACTGCAGTTATGCAGTGGTACATCGGGTGGCAACAATTCCAAATCGATGTATCTCATTGAAGGCTTGCTAGACTTATGCCCCAAAAGTAATGCTATCCATAAGTGTGTAAAAGTTCACTTTTAGAATGAAGAAAAAACTAAATTATACATGTTTTATCCCCAGAGCTGGCACGGCGAGACAGCATACATGGACTTCACCCATGAGTTTGCCAAAGTCCATTGGGGCGCCTTCGCTCAGATGCTTCACCAAGACCTCCCGTTTGATGGCATAATCATGGTAAGATTGTGAAGTAATCAAAACAGATTACAAGGGTATAAACAATGTGCCGCCAACACTGTTATGTTGTGGAAGGACAGTGGCCTTTAATGTTAAATACGCTCTTTAAGACTTGTCGAAGATTACTAGTAATGAACGCTGAGCTGCCCAAGGGCGGGTCCACAGCCTTTTCCGGAGATATGGGGGGGGGTGCAAACATGTATTCTGAGAGGGGCTACATTTTTTTGGAACTTCTATGTAACCTTTTATGATCTTTCTGAGCGGCAGGGCTACATTTAGGTGTTTTTTTTGGGGGGGGCGCCCATTGTCTCCTGGATCCGTCGTTGGAGCCGCTCAGTGACTGTAATGCATCTTTCTATTCACTCTCTGTTTACAGACTGAGAACGAGCCTGGTAACTTCATGAACGGTTCGCGAATCGGCTGCGACCTGGAGAGTAAATGGAACGCTCCACCATATAATCCCAGTACGTAAAGAATCTTCTCGCTATGGTGGCTCAGACTTATTTATGCCGAAATTTTACTATGGTAGACGCAACCCTAAACTACACTCAACTTCTTCGGTATCATAAAATGGCAATTCAACTTAACTGTTTCACTGAATAGGGAGTGCCGTCTGCACAACTTGTCATCACTGTCGAAATCAGTTTTAATTTGTACATTCCAACGTGTGTTTTTACTCCAGAATTGAAGAGCTCCATGTTGTACTATGAGACGTTATGTATGGACTCCAAACTAGCGAAGGGCATCCACTACAATGTGCATAGCCTTTACGGGCACTTCGCCGCCGAGGCGTCCAACTAGTAAGTACCCTGAAAGACGACCGGGTGCACTGCTCGAAATACTGGGTCAATACGGGTGATTCACAATAGTGCGCCACCAAGAGTTTGCAACACGTCGGCCAATCATAACACACGAAATTTGTCGACGCTTCTAAAATTTTGCGCATTGTGATTGGCCAACGCCTTTCGAATTCCTGGTGGCGCACTATCGTGAAATGGCCGTATTACCAGGTCTTCCGACAGAACCAAACAATTCAATGTAAATCCTGGCCTACCTACGTGGAACTAAACTACATGGTTTAACGAATCTCTTCCTGTTTTCAGAGTTCATTGAAAGGACTTGCACATTCCCAAATGACTTGGTCTGATTTGGTAATTATCCTGATTTTCTCCACTCCTAGTGCCGGGAAATTGTTATACAAAGATAAGCGAGCTATGACCCTGTCACGTGCTTCGTTTGCTGGCACCGGACAATTTGCCGGCCACTTTCTGGGCAGAAGTACAGCGACATGGAAAGACATGACCCGTTCAATAATAGGTAAGGCTGTGGACAAGATAGCTCCTGCCACTGTCAACTCGCCATTTATTAAAAAAAATCGCTGTGACCAAGATCAGAAACTTCATGCAATACACCAAGGGTGTACTTATAGCGAGCATATAGCCTAGACGAAAAGTGAACGTTCAGTGCACTTAAACCAACCTAACCGGTTTCCGCATTTTTAAATTCCTTTTCAGGAGTTGATGAGTTCAACATGTTCGGCATTCCTTTCGTGAGTTGCCTTTCTGCCTTTTTAAAAACAGCAATATACCTGAATTAAAACACATTGCTACTCGTAAAGGTGAATGACCCTTCGTTGTGGAGGAAGAACATGGCGGTTCAGGCTGTTTACGGCCTGGAAGCTTGAGGACTAATAAAGTTCATTAAAGAAACTGTAGATGATGGAGATTTTCACTTTTCAACACATGAGATCAATCACAAATCCTCCAATTTGGCTTGACGGTTTTTCATATGACGGACAATTTCAGACGGGAGCCGATATCTGCGGCACGGTCGGTGAGCCAGAGTCCCCTGAGCTCTGCCAGCGATGGATGCAACTTGGCGCCTATCAACCTCTTGCACGAATCTACAGATCTCTCAACACATCCGTAAGGCTCACAGGTTTTGCTTCTCTGACGAAATAAAAAATGCAAAACTTTGTCCATTTAAAACTCAACATTTGCGTTAATCACGTTCTTCGCCTACTTAAAGCATAGGCTACGTTCCCAATTTTGGAGTTGAATGACTTTGACTGTGTAGCGTTTATTTCAAAATCATTATAATCATGGAGTCATGTTGTCCATGGCCTCGTTTTCCTCGCTGTTTGTTGCATGAGCCTGCATACGCATAGGTGTAAACTGGAGGAATTTAAGATTAGAAAACGACAGGTGCTGTTGTATTAAGATTCTGTAGTTCAAGTAGAAGGTTAATATGCGCCGTTTGTTTTGTGATTATGACAAACCTAGAGAGTAGACCCTGCTGCCTTCCGATTCACCGACACCGAGATTTTCACCAACATGCGAGAGATGGCAAGAAGACGATACAGCATCCTGCCTTATCTCTACACTCAGCTATACCACGCACACGTGGACGGCTACGCAGTCACCAGAGCACCGTTTTACGAGTGAGACTTGTCCTTGCGTTACCGTTGGTTCATCAGACTTTGGCTGTACTAAAGAGCGTTTAACCTAAGCCTATGCATGGTTTAACAGTAACATGGCCTTAGCGGGATCAATTTGGTTCATAGGATAATTTGCTGTCGTCTTTGGTTGGTAACCGCTATAGTTTGATGGTGTTAGTGAATGCTTCAGATGCATCAGTATGTAGGGACAAAGAAACTCTTCCCAAACTGTCAGAGGGCTTTATTCAAGCACAGATCTAGAGAGACACATTGTGTAGGCCAGAAAAAGCAATGAATATTTATTAGCTATAATGTATTTTATTGGCCGTTTGTACAGCACAGCACTGGAAATTATGACCCTCAGTCCTTGTGATAAAACTACCTGGAGAAATGAACTGCGCATTGTAGGATTTACAAAACGTATGATGCATTACAACGCGATTTCACATTTACATTTTTTAAAACTTTGTTCCTCAGCTTTATATCAGACAAGATCCGAGTATGGGATGTGGACTGGGAGTTTATGCTTGGTAACGCCCTGCTGGTTGTGCCTGTGGTCAAAGAGGTGAAGATTAGAATTGAGCGCATGAAAGAAATTCTTAAATTGTGTTATGTTTGTAAGTGTATAATCCTAAACACATATAACTCCCTTTACTCACTGTTTTTCCGTCTTTCTTTCACCAGGGAGCCCGAACTGTCACAATGTATCATCCAGAATGGCGTTTCTATTATTTCTATGATCCGCAAGATGCGGTAAGTCAAATGGACCTGAATAATGTCAAATGCACTCTTGAAGACACTTCTTTTTGAGTGATAGAAATACTCAAAAATGAATCTCTGTTAAACTAAATGTCTAATGCACGCTTTGAAAATTCCCGGCTTTAGTTTTTAGAAAACCTTAATTAAGAGTTGTATAACATTTACAAATCATTATCCTAGTACATGTATAGTCTTTTATAAGTAACGTCCAGTTGGCGAAAGATTTCGGCCTACGCATTTACTTTTTTTGAAGGGGAGGGGAGGAAACTGACAGGTTGGACTACATTCTTTAGGCTTTTTACACACTTTTGGAGCAAAGGGAAATGAAAAGACGAAAAACTTTCCTTTTTTTACTGTTTTTTTTGCTTTTTTGCTGTTCCCCAGAAGACAATTATTGAAGAAATACCTTTGTAATTCCAGGGCCATGTTCTTGGATCTATACTGGAGACGGCTAGTAAAGGATCAAACACCACAGTCTCTGCACCGTTGAACGAGATACCGGTATTCATCCGCGGGGAATACATTATTGCCACACAAGAGCCTGGCAATAACACATACTACACGTGAGTCAATCAGATATACGGCACCCTACGAATATCGCTGGAAATTAAGCAAGACATCTGTACCTGTGGTCAAGATGTCTTGGGCTTGACTCAGTCTTTCACAGCCATCCTCCGGAGCATTTAGCACACTTCTTTGTGAATAGATGTACATTGTCCATTGAGATTCTGTCAGTTTCTTTCTTGCTGACCTTCTGAATTGGTGTCTCCTTCCCACAGCCGTATGAACCCGCTGACGATTTGGGTTGCTATGCCGGAGAACAACGAGGACTTTGCAAAAGGTGACCTTTGGTGGGATGACGGCGAAACACAAGGTAAATATGACAAAATTACATGTAACACAGAGGGGGAGTATATACACGATCGTCATAAAAGTGCAAATATTCCTAAGTCAATTGATTTCAACTTCAGTTTTTATCTTCTCATTTCCCTTTATCTGTAGACACTTATGAACGCGACATGGACATCTATATGCAGTTCTTTGCAGATCTCGTAAGTTCTCTGTTGTGAAGAAATGGCTGATGGTGCACACCGTCTGCAGTGCTCAAAGTTGCAGATCTATATGTAGCAGGATACAAAATATCAATTGACTGAGTTAATAAATGGAACCTTGTTATTTTCTTTTCGCTTTCTTCCTTTTTCCTCTTTAATGTTAGTGGTTAGAAAAACGATGCATATTATTTCCGATGCTGTCCTAACCTGATTATGTTGCATTCCTGAATTTTTGCTTGCATGCGTCAGTATCACTGTTGCTCCACAAATACCCTTGAAGAGCAGATGACAAAAGTTCACCCATCAACTCCGATAAAATTCTCTCTGATCGACTCCCTTTTCGATTTTGCAGCTGAAGCTCGAAATGCTGTCCCAACGAATAGGCATGGTGGCCTACAATTCCGACGCAGTGTTGCCGACAATCAACAAAGTTAAGTTTGTGGGCTTAAGGAAGGACCCTGCCGGCCAGCTGTACGTCGACAATGTCCAGCACCCGACTACCTCGTACACTTACGACGGGCTCAATCAGGTGAGATACTAGCCCCAGATATAACTCTGGAGGGCGTTTTATACAATATGCTCTCATTGTAAAGACGACAGTTACAGTTTTCTTTGTGCTTGAGCCACATTCATGGGAATTCATTAAGACTTGAATGCCTTGTTCCATTTGCCATAAACCTTTTGTTTTATAATTTTTTTTCTCAACACAGGTTCTTGACATATGGGACCTTGATCTGGACATCACATCTGACCATCGAATCGACCTTCAGTCACCGTACTAAGACACCAGACGGTCATTTCAGGGAGCAGTTAGGTATAGCCTGCCTGGCAACAGTAGGTTTCGAGCAAAATTGAAAAATTGCAATGTTATGTAAACTGTTTACAGCAGATTTCCAGTTCATTTTAAGCTATAAAGTAAATTCACAAAGCAACATGCTTTCTGAAATTGGGACTAACACATTACTTCCTATTCAGTCGAGCATCCGAAATGAAATAAGTTGTGTGTGTATTTTCTATGACTGGAAGTTCGGGGCTATCGATTCCCATTGAATAATTATCGCCGATTATATCCAACTGCCTTAGTATTGATTCCATCAGCAGAAAAGGAAAAATGGATAATCGATAGTACTTCCTTCCGTTTTTTGAATTTTCTAAGTGGAGTTGTAATACTTCAATAGATTAGTTTGGCATTCCTATTTTTAAGAGGTACAACTAGCATTTTTTATTTTGCAGAAAAATGCTTCAAACAACTGTTTTATGCTGTTTCCAAAGCTTCCACGTTGAGATGTTTGTATTTTTGTTTTCATTAACCTTTCAACTTACAAATTTCTTTTCCAAAAAGGGAACATGTAACATATCGAGTTAGTCCCACGACTTTGAGAACTGAAAAAGAATTCTGTAGCACTGTTTTAGTCGATAGTGATGCTTAGAAATGTAGGCCCTATCCGGAAAAGAAACGAAAACTTGTTCATTCTCTTTTGCTGAGATTCAGATCATTGTTTAGATATTTTTAGAAAGCAATACAGTTGAGTTTGATTTAACAGAACTGAGACAGTCCTGATTCTCAAAAGGTTACGGAATTAAATTTTGTATTTTCATTCACCGAGTTCACATTTATAGTACGTTTGCCGTAAAAAGTATCTGTCATTTTTATTCACATATTGTGCAAAGTAACTCCTCTTTATTAATTTTTGGATGAATGGTTGATCATCGGTGGAGAACATTCATTCCATTAGAAACTTTAGCAGAAGGCCGTTAGATTGTTTTTAGGTTTTTTTAACAGTAGCTTTTGTGAAAGAATCTCTAAATTCCTTTCGATGGACAAAGATTTTGGACAGAGTTTCCAATGTTTCCTTACATAACATGTATAATGTGATATCAAGCAAAAACTGTACATACTTTTCAACATGTTTTGTACAAATTACCAATTTAACTTCTGAAAATTTGGGGAAAATGTAAACGGCGATGAAATGTAAATTAAAACGAAACTGATTATAAACTTGACAACTTAACATGCAGTGGATTTATAGCGAACTTGAATTTCAGCGCCCAACTGGCAAACATCCACAATAATAATGATGTGATTTTGCCTTCCGTCCACACACATAGTTCACCCGAGAGCCTGCATTGCGTCAATGTTTTGTGCTTGCGTCACTGTTGTGGTTGCTGATGGTTATCTTGCAGAGACATAAGGGCTAACGCACTAAGGCCATTTTCCAATACTCAACTTCGTCTCCGTCTCAGGCTTCGTCTTTGAAACTAATCCCCAACTGTGGGCCTGAAGCGTTTAGATTAAATTGAAGTTCTGTAATGTTTGGCTCGTTTGCATCTTACTTGATGTTTTGTGGCGCTATCAGACTTACTATTGCCCTTACAACTTCAAAATTAGTAAGTACCGGTAAAAAAAACACAGGTTGAGGCCTGAGACGGAGCCGAAGTCGAGTATTGGAAAAGGGCCTAAGAAACAGTTTGATCAGCCACTGTTGGTTGACCTATTGTGCGCCCTCTGTCGGCATATTTATTCCCATCTGTTGCACAATTCATGATCTATTCATAATCCGTCCATGATCTTAGTTGAGCAACGACTCCATTCGTTTTGTCTTGTTATTCGTCAATTACATTGGCATTAAAACTAGGTATTACGTCTTATTGTCTCGAACAGAAGGAAAATTATCTTCATCACTTGAAAGTTTGAGTGGCTTCGATCATACACCTCAAGCAATTTCGAATATAGATGAATACATGTATATGGATGCTATATACATGTGCTACACATTTTCTGATTTCCTCTGCGCCCTCTTTATTTTGTAAATTTTAGACAACAATCGGTCAGATAGATGCGGATACGTGACTTGTTTCAAAAAGACGCAACGAGAAATCCCCTGACTTTAACATGGAAATTGAAACAACACACCACTGGCCGGGCAAAATCCACCGGAGATTTTGTGCGACAATCATGATAAATTGAAAAATAAGTCTGCTCTAAATTCACCACGAATTATTTTTCCTTTGCTTGCTTTCTAAATAAGCGAGAGGCACTTCGCCTTACGCCCGACATCCGTTCCACATTATGCATTGGGTTATGAGGCGCGTTGCCAACTCGTTAATATCCGATCATTCTAGTAGTTATAGCCCGCACTTTGAGTGCCGCAGGGACCGTTACGCTCAACAAGAGCTTTTCACAAACCCCTTTAGTCTTGTCAGCGCCGTAACAGCGCCGGCAGTTTATAGGTACGGCTTTAAGAGAAGATTTCTCTCTCTTTTTCCCCTTTGCCTCCGTCGGCGAGATTTTCCACTTGAGTTGGTCCAGGACGGTGCGTGCACTATACTCGGTGAGCGGGCCAGGCTCTACAAAGCTCCAAACCTCAGGAGTGTATTTACCGAGCATGATGAATACGTACGCGCCTGGTATGGGTGAGTGTGCGCCGTTGAGGTGAGAGCTCTGGACGAAGGCACACAACCTTCGGAGTGTTTGTTGTCATGATCAGACGCGGCCCTGGCGCAGCACAGACTGGATGGGTTTGGAGTTCGATTGTTTTGTGCCAACTGGAGAGCGCTGCTTTGGTTTTTCAAGTTGTGTGGGGTGATTCGAGGAGTACTTTTGTTTACTTCTTGCCACTGTGGGAGCTTATCGACCCCAAGTAGAGCAGTGACACAAAGGGATTTGATAGTTCTTCACCGGTAGTGCCTTTAGAGTATGTTCGCAGCAGTGGATCGCCTCGCATAGTGAGCATTCACGATGGAAAACAGCAAAAAGAAACCATTGGTAGGAAGCTATATGGAGACCCCACTCGAACTCAGGGATGACAGTTCCAAAACAAGCCACAACTCGACAAAAGGGTCATGCCTCGACAGGGAGACCAGCACCAGATGGAGACGACCCCAGTGCAACCTGACAGCGTACCTGACCCTCATCCTCACCCTGTTTGTCGCCCTGGTCGGGGGCATTTCCGTGCTCCGTATGAGAGAACTGGAGCGGAGGCTAGCTTGGCAGGAGAGGGAAATCGAGAATCTTGATGACAGAGTTAAACAGCTGTCCCGATTGGAAGATACCTATCTACCAGGTTTAGAGGTATGGGTTTTGTCATAATTGCTAAAACTACACCTACATGTCCTCTAACATATATGCTAAATGTTAAAAGATGCACAGGTAATACCTTTCACTTTGAAAGTACACAGAATATGACAAATTTAGTTTTATTCTGGAGAAAATTTCTTCAGGCATTTTAGCCTTTCTTGAAATCATTCAATCGAGACGCCAATATGACTGTTTTCTTCGGAGGCTAAATTCGTGTAACTGCTATTCAAAGAAATTCGATAAGAAAAGAAAATCTGTGTTTAGTACTAGCAGCCAACAAACCATGTCTTGTATATTATTTCTCACTGGTACCCAGCTGAATTTTGTTCAGCACATATTGCTAGGCAGTCATTTCTGCTTAGCTGCTGCGACCTACCAACAAGAAAGGGGAGATTTCCAATTGTGTGTCTTTTGAAGTATTTTTAGGGCCTTATGGGTAGCCTTGGCATTTATAGGCTTGCTCGATTTTTTTGAAAACTCACAAACATGTTTACGAGTCTGAAAATGATTAATTCAGTTTTAATTGCCACTTCACGCTTCACACTTGAAGTGTGACATTTAAACGAAATCCACTTCAATTTTCAATTAACATTTCGCGCTGGGAAAAGTGCATGTATGCAATCAGAGGGCACTACAGCGTGTAATCGCTCCATACAGTTGTTTTTATGTCATACGTGTCTGACTTGATAATCGTCACCGCTGTTCCCTCCCAAAATAAACGAAAACAAAAAACAAGAGAAAAAGAGGGAACTGTGTGACATTTTGATGTCACGAAATCAGTCCATTTTGTTATTTCATAGCAATCAATGCCATATTGATCGAGAACGACATGTTCAAAGGTACATGCGGTTGTAGCGAAAATAACCTGTGGTTGCATTTTATTAGTTTGATATGAAAGTATGATGTAAATTTCTCTTCTAAATTAAACAGGGGTACTAGTATCATCTTCTAATTTCTTTTTTACGACAACCCATTTTCTTGTCTATAGTCTTAAATGGACTGTTCAGCCGCAGTAGTAGCTTTTTCACAAGAAATTACATGACATGACAGCAACAAATATCAATGTTTGATGAGGAACGACCCTGGAGAAATTATGTTAGTGTTTAAGCGTGACTTGGGAGCCTGCAAAAAATGCAATAAGTACTCTGCTATTTCTCGCGGGATAAGAAAACGAAGAAAACTTCTCTTCGAGGCCACATTCCGACTCATAAAAAAGAACTATACCCCCATGCGCTCAAAGGCAAGACATCATCTCGGGATATTGAACAGGTTTGTTGTAATGCGATTATTTGCTTAGCCAGTGGCCGAAGCGCATCTACCGTGATTTTCTCCTCTTCAAAATCTGATTAAGCACGCCGTTGAGTTGTTTGACTAAGCGGACGATTAAAGCTAGCGGTTGATCGATGAATTTCCCCCGAGAAGTTACCGTGTGGGTATCGCCACACAGAGGCAAAAACAGAGCCCCACACTAGGGGAATTGGAAGTAGCATTATACCTAGAACATGCCGAGGGGCACTTCAGCGATTTCATTGGGCCTGTAAATTAATTCAAGAAAGAAAGGTTAAAGTGAAAAATAATTTTTGTAAAATTGACTGATGCTTCGAAAATTCCGTCGAGCTCAACTTGTTGAGTTTATTGCTACTTTCTTTCGGCATTGCAAGTTTTTTTTGGCGACAGGATCCCAGTTAGCTGATTTGCTCAAAACGTTGCTAACAGTAATGCAAACGGAGTAAGACTCCGCAGTACCCACAGCTCTACAGTTTCGTCGATATTTAGGTTCATGACGGCTGGAACCATTGTGCCGTATTCATTGAAAGAAAGTGCACATAAAGTGATTACCACAAGAAAATAGCAGCTTGACATTATATGGAATGACAAAAATTTCAGTCAGATGTCGTGACATTAACAGACATTGAAAATGTGCATTTTAACTCCGTTAAATTAAGCAATGACATTTTCACACATGCTAAAATTTAATATAGCAATTACACTGAACATAAAGTCACATTACCAAGTGAAAGAATTAGTCATGGTGCTAGGCACCGAGTCCTTAAACATGAAATGCTCAGGATAAAAATTATTTAAATTAAAAAATGACCAAACAATTCTGGCAAATCAAACTGAATCAGTTTGCGCCAGAGAGAACAGGATCTGCAACAACGACAACATGGCACGATTAAAATGCTACTCATGTTTGGAACGCACCGCCAAATCATGTTTGCATTGCGGTAATTTCCAACAGAATGACTTGCAGTCATCCCACTGGTATGCACTCCACAATACTGATACTGCAGTATTCATAATGCGTTCTATTCATAATATACAAGCATAGTTATAATTATGACAAGCTCTTGCAAACGTGGGCTGCCATGGTATTATCAAAAGCGACGACCCTGAATCATTGAAGATAATGGGGAGGCTTTTGTGACTCAAATTGCCATAGGAACCGGAGACAACGTGCATTATAGAAGTGGATATACTGAAATGGACGCCAAAATCGACGATAATGTTATAAATGCGCCACTTGTAATTTTTAACGTAGTATAATTTTACGGAAAATAGTAATCGTACGTACAATGCTATGTTGGGTCATTATTTCAACCCTGATCTTTTGATATGGGGTTGTGGTTTGGCTAATCATGCAATTCTCCTTGAAAAATGACCTTAATTAACGAAGCATATGCCTGAGGCTATGACAATGCTTCCTCGCACCATCAATATCACATGCTTCACATTTCAGCTTTCCAATGAATAAAAATGTCGGTCTTAATTTCCTGAACCAACCTGCCGTGCTTGTGTTTCGTTATTGATTCCCAATCTGGTCATGTTTTTGAAAGAATGGAGATTTCTATGTTGAACATATTTTCACTTGGATCGCATGGATCATATAATTCTGGAGAATCATAATTCACAATCTGAGTCATTCTGATATGTCGGTGGTGTAATGTATGTGATATTTTTCATTCTGCCACGTTTTTTTAGCCCATGACCCTTAGCCCTTGTTGAGACATATTTAGGTCTGCGCACACTCGTAGACGTAACACATTCAACCCTACCACGCTATATATGAAGTTGCAGTCGCGATATGTTCAGCCCGTTTTTAATTTTGAAAAATCAATGCGGCCTTCTACACGTGGGTCTAGTCTGTCCGTAGAAAAAAAATCGAGGCGATGATAAACAGAAAATGAACGGAGTAATCACGGAGAGATGACAGAAGGAGGGGGGGTGGGGAAGTATGATGTGAAATCAAGATGGGGTGATCGAGGTTGTTAAAAGATCCGAGAGGTAGCGATATTGCACGAAATATATCTGAGCCTGCCAAAAATAACATCAATGCTAGAGCAAAGGGGTTTATAGGGGCATGCACGATTTAAAAGGTGGGTATTCAGAGGGAAGTGAAATAACGTATGCCTAGGCTTATGGTTAAGTCTAAATACATGAATTCCTGGAATCAACGCTTAAAGAGGGATTGCGTCCGGAGATTGGGATGACCATTAAAAGTAACCAAGGTAAAAAAAAATGGTTTGTGTGAAAAAGATTAAGCATGTGGAAGGTACATTTCTTTGGAAATAAGCTGTCTTGTGATGTTGATCTGTTTTCGCTGGCGACTTAAGTATAAAATTTGATGACGGTAGACAGACTTAAGGAATAAAGCTCAAAATTACTATAAGAAGATGATCACACATTAAAGTACATTGACGGGGCTCTAGGTGTTATGTAATTATTGTTCTCATCAGTCTTAATCCATGCTGCTATAACGGACCTCAACTTTTACCCAGTGATAGAAGTGTCTTGATCAAGGACACACACACGTTGGTCACACAGGCTGAAATCGAACCCACTATTCGTCAACAATATCAATGCCTGTCATCATAATATCGCATGACAGATGAAGTATTTTGGATTACACTTGATGCATATCTCAATCAACATTGAGAGGGCTTTGATGGCGAGCTCTGACCTTACGAGAAAAAAAACGCATCATAATGCTAGGGCATAGTAATATTACGTGCAAATAATGCAAGCTTGCGTCCTTTAAGGCCATATGGTACGCAATTCCATTCTTCGATTTCACGGAATGTTGTTCTGCATTGCAAGCGTGATATTTCACACTTTAATAATGATTTATGTAGTGCATACATGTACGTTAGAAACGTACCGTACAAGGTTTGAAGCAAGCCAGTGACAGCTTATAGACAACCATGAGTACGACGGATCAGAATTATGAATAATCGGCTAAACATTGACAGCTTGGCGCCTAATAAACGTTTCTCAACTGGACCCTTTTCAAAGTTGGGTTGAGAACGAGAGAGAGGCTACACTGGCAATTTTCAGTCAATTGAATGGGTCCCATGTAGGCCTACATGTAATAGCTCCGTAATACAGAAGCGACAGATTGTCGGAAGCTTCGCTTTGGTTCATTGTTGATACGTCATTCAGAGAGCTTATATCGTTTCTTTTCTACATGTACGTTTTTATGTTCCCTACAGTAGCACTGCGACTAGAGGCTGCCTTATACCAAAAAGCGCAAGGTTCAGGTAGATTGTAATTCATTCCATTGAGATTTGTGATAAGGAAGTCAGGGAACTAGTACCTTTTGAGCTAACCTGTCATCAGGCAAATCATAATTATATTTTGACAAGTCGTCTTTGTCTGTCGCATCATTTTCGGTAAACAAACCGCTGGCAACTGCTTACGGGTAAATTTTTGCTATTACTTTGTGGCGTGTTTGACTGAATTGCTGTTGACAACTTGCATAATTTTCGGTAAACATACTACGGGCAAAAATTATGCCACCAAAAGGTGGAAAACAGTTCTTCTGCAGCATTTCAATGAGCCATAGGGCGGCGAGAGCTCAAACCGCTTCCAAGCAGTTCCTGCGCAGGGTTATATTTGGCCAAGCTTTTTTCTTTCACCGTGCGCATCATTTTTGGTAAACAAGCCACAGGCAGTTTTTGCAAGGGATAAAAAAGCTGGGCAACTGTAGCTGAAGAAAAAAGGTTGCAGAGTGAGAGCTTTGTGATAAAGGAAAACCTTGGTGAAAACTTCGAACTTTTAGTCACGCCCCCCAAGGCGTTGTTTTATTGCAGGTGGCTAGCCAAGAGCTACAATTAACACGTGATTAAGGCTGTAATCGCTCGGTCTGAAACCGAACAAAACCGGCTTGCAACTGTTCAATGTACCTTCTCCTGTTTTGTTACCCTTGTAACTTGGAATCAAACGGCCGTAGGGTCTTTTGACTTCGTGAGAAAAAGGTTTTTTCTCGGTGTGCCGAGCTTGAACGCACCCTAAAACCTCCAGGCTGTGAGTTGGGGGATATTTTCACTGCCCAGTGGTGTCTTCGATCCCGGCTTTTATGTAGCGGAAGATTAATGAGAAAAGTCCTCCCGGGGAGACCCAAGTCAGGAGTTTTTCCCTCGTATTCTTTGAAGGATTATTGTGCTGCCCGTTAAATCCGTCTGGGAAATACACCAAAGCCGAGTCTTACTCCCGATGATTTTTCTGCCAGCTCCGGCAGGATCCGCAAGGTTATGTACCCCTGCAGATCAGGCGGTTGAATGACTTGACGCTGCCGCCTGTATTCAGGGGTAGCATTAACAATGGCACGCATGCAGGCCATGGCATAATTTGCAGGTGTAGAAGTCGATCCTGAAATTAAGATTTTTTTTTACCATGGATATTATGGGCAACGCCCCTTGGGTCTGATCTATGTTACGGTGAGAATGAAAGTGTCAAAAGGTAGTCATAGCCCTTGAGCCGCTCCATTTCGTGCAATGTTAAATCTAACGACATTGCGACCATTTGTAAAAAAACATTCAACATCTTCTGGAGGAACTGCAGTGATTTTTTTCTCGAAAGTCCAGTTCCTCATCGGCACTGTTGTAAAACTGGAAAGCACCGAGGTTAAAGCTAGAGGTTTGTGGGAACATTTCTCAAATTGCTTTCGACGAAATAAATTTTGCACACTGTGAGAGAAATTCTGGCAAAGTGACATTCTTGCCACGTAGGTTATGGAGAAATGGCAACACTGCTGATTCAGTGGCTGACGTTGGACTATGCAGTTTGTTTTGGGCTGGGGCCCCATAGCCGGCCCTCTGTATGTAGCCCATTCTGCAGTCACTGCATTACCTACCAACACGTAAAGGTCTACAGAAAGGGCTGCGCAATCCTTCCTCAACGTCTCGTCCAACGTTGGTCAAGAATTAATTAACTTCCAAACGATTCGTCTGCTCAATGCTCAACTCAATGTCATTTACCATTTTACTGTTTGATGCGTGCATGTTTCCAGGCAAGCTACATTAATACCCGATTTCTAGGGATTGTCGTGAAAGAACAAAATTTCGAAAGGCTTTCACTCGACGTTAAGTTTTATAATCTAATCAAACAAAACAGAACAAACGTAGACAGCAGCTTCTCGTCTGACAAGACCACCATATCCTTAAAAAAAGCCAAAACAGGACGTAATTATTGTGTGTAAACATTAAGCGGCAAAGTTTCATTAATTTGTCTCCTTCAATTGAAACACTTGCTGGATCATACGGGCTATTTCCCTCCAGGGACGCTATTGTACAATCTGATTAAAAGGCCGGTCCAACTCGGCGGAAGATAAACGCCTCGCTCGGCTGCGTCCATTAATTTGATGAGTATTTTGTTACGCGGGGACACGTGCAAATAAACGGAGTCGGAAAAGTAAACTAGGATTATGCCCGAGAGACTCGCTTTGAAGGTTATCTGTCCTCAGAAAAAAGAGAGATACTAATAAGGAGATACCGGAAAATGGTTTGATTGAGTCGTCGAGGTGTACGACTTGCTTTTAAAACGATGGGTGAGCGGTGTGCAGTATTTTTTTTTATGTCTATTACCATGGGGAAGAAAGCTATGAGCATGGTGAAATAAGGACAGTCCTCCTCGCTTTGAGTATACGCCCTACACGTCGACGAAGAAAGCAACTGACGCGCCGGTCCATGAAATCTGACTCGACAGTCAAGGACTGGGCTCTAGCAACAAAAATGTAAAACAAGATTAGTACATAATATATGACCAACACATCGAGGAAGACGCTATGCCCTATTATTGCTTTTTAAAATCCAATTTAAAACAACCTATTACACTGGTTACTATTTTAATTTTTATATCCACTCAAATTTCTATTGTAACATTGCATTACAGAATATAATGGCGTAATGGAGAAAAACCGCCGGTTTATTGAATATAATTGAGAATCAAAGTGGTCCTGATATACAAGACTTTCACAGGGAAGATCAGAGTGTAGTGATCCATCTCTTGTAAAAATTTGCCCGTGAAGTTGATTGATTAATGAAGGGACATTTTGAGAGGGGAGACTTCAACGTTGCTGAGCGACTGAAAGGGTTCTTTTTCCCTTTTCGCAGGCGATGCCATCCCGTCATCTGCTAGCATTCGACGGCGCTGATTGTGACTGCCCGGCCGGTAAGTACAACTGTTTCGTTTCCGTGGTAACGCTTCAATTCGCGGCCTTGACAACTGAAATTAAGAAATTACAGCAGTTTCAAGGTATCATTAACCTTTCCCCCCCCTCTCTTGTTTCCAGGGCCAAAGGGTGACCCCGGACCTCGCGGGGAACGAGGGAGATCTGGACGCGATGGACGACCAGGTTTGACATGATCATGACGTCCAGACGTGAAGTACATGTGTTATAAGGCTTGCAGGGAATATGTGTACTTTTGCCAGAGAGGAATAAAATCACATCTATTTTGTTGGGAGGATTTGAATAAAATGAGGGTCTAGTTGGGGTGTTTGGCTACCATACGGATTTTTTAAAATGAAATTCTGCTTTAGAACAGACCGAAGAAATAATTCATATAGATTTGTTTTTTTTTTGGTGTCCGTTCAAGGCAAGGATGGCCACCGGGGACCTCCTGGTATTCCCGGTCTGGATGGCAGGCCTGGCCCGCCAGGTGAGAAAGGTGAACGCGGTGACATTGGACTGCCCGGGGAACGGGGTAAGTTGGACGACTGACATCACTGACCGAAATGTCGCCAAGAGTCTACAAACCTTCCCTTGTATAATACAAGCGCCGAGATGACACTTCCATCAGAGTTGCCATTTTAGGCTTACCAAAACCTTACTGCTATTCTCTTCCTCAGTATTATTGAAGGACTGGTTCAACAAATATTATTCAGTGCGGTTACCATGTTTGTCAATTTTGCAGAATTTGTAAATATATTTTGAAGTATGAATCTCATTTGTTAGTTCCAGTTCCCCATGGTATATTTTGTGATTTTTTTTTATATTGTCCGCTATTTTAAAGACAGTAGGCAGCGAGCGCATTGTGAGGTACAAAAGCAGGGAAAATAGACAGAATCCATATGAATAAAGGATTTTTTTAACGAAATTACTTTTTAAAGGGCCTCCAGGAAGTCGAGGTCTGAAGGGTGACCAAGGGGAGCCTGGGGTGTCAGGCCCTCCCGGGCCAAGGGGACCAACAGGTACGTGTGATGCGTTTTGTGCCTGCACAGTCATATTATGCAAGAACGAAACCAACAAACGCAACATTTTTCATTAAGCGCCGCTGAATTGAGTCATGATGCACCCCCACAACCCCCAGGAGCGAGGTCTCGCTTTCCAGACCACACCATCGATCAAACATTAGTCTTATTTTCGAAGAATGTTGCCCGACACGCACGCAGATTTACCCATCTTCCCCTACTCCCGTTTTCCCTCGAAGCACCCCAATATCCCATATACGCTATTATTATCATCGCAGACATCGATGTGCTCACGCACCTGACTTCTTTTACGATCTCCCTAAACGCACGTGAACGGGGCTTCCTGTCAGCCGTTACTATGACAACTCATGTTCCGGTCGCCTCCATAATTTAAACGGAACCCTAGGCTTCGTGAAATGGATCTGGTACATTTTACCGGAGGCCCACTGCCCATACTCTCAACCACATAGAATGTGGGCAGGTTACATGTAGCTTGCCACTGGATCGTATTGTTTGCTCTTTGTATTTAACTCTATAAATGTCACTGTAATTCCACCAAATGCATGTTATGCATAACATGGAATTAATGGAATTGTAAATAGGTACATTTATGGTTTTAGTTCAGTGCAATACATCATTGCATACGGTTATTTGTGCATCATCTTCCTCTGTATAACATTCAATAGCTTTTATGAATAAGGTGATGTTGGAGGTTACACATGATTGGGGATGGTTCAGGCTTGGCAGCAAAATATTACATGTACTTACAAATGCTTTACAAAAGACATTGAGTCGATCTGGTTCAGCTCTGTGATGACTTATGTATAACTTCCAGATGTTATCACTTCGTGCAATGTGAGCTGTTCTCGTTCCAGTAGGTTTGCAACTGCTTGGCAGTGCCAATACCCTGACACATAATGACGTCATGTATATTCATTATGCACTTTTGTATGGAGGCTCGATGAATCGCGTCCCACCTCACTGCCGATGGAAAGCTGACATTTCAACCAAGTGTGACGTCATTATACTATAGGTTTATTCATTTCGATGTTTGAATACTGCATGTGCCTAAAAATCTCATTCGTTAGACAATAAGCAACTTTGAAAAAATCTCAACATACACGAGATGAAATAGTACTGTGGTTTTCGCATCTGGCAAAATATCTACAGTCTTTAGTCCCAGCCCTCAACAAACCAGATTTACACGACAACTGGTAATCAAATAATATTTTTGAAATTTACTTTTGTTTTGGAATAATGTGTCTATATAGGTACGGTGGAAGGCTTGGACTCCTTACAGGTACGAAAATTATTGAAATTTACATGAACTACGCAATTTGATATCACATGGCAGCAAGCCGTTTCGATTTACTATCAAAACAAATCATAGGGATTGGATGCTGGTCAAAAATATGCCGGGCAAATTTACTGCACTAGGCGTGGCATGTATTTAAAGCAACAAGAAACCTCTAGCGTCTTGATTTTTCCACGTAGATTTCATTATTAAAGTTAGCAATATCAGTGAAGTTACACCATACGGTGGATAGTTAATGAAAAATCTTCAAATCAATTTCCTGAAAAATCATCAGTCCGTCTGATTTATTTCCAGATCAATCGTCATGTCGTGTTTGCACGCGCCATACACCTTCAAGGCATACCGTCAGATCAAGTATCTGGGATGAGGCGCCTTGGTATGTCCTTCATCAACTCGTTGCTATCAGGGGTGGCTCCGGAGTATGCTCATTTTCTCATGGTTCCAATTGAGCACGCAGACAGGGACAGAATTGGCAAGCTGTCTCCAGTGTTTAAACGAAAGACAGAAGTTGTAAAAGTTTAAGAAAAAACGAGGCCAGGAGAATAGTGTCCCCGACGAACAAAGGCCTTAATTAAACCTGGGTGTGTGTCAAGGATGTTGTTTTCTGGTAAAGGCCTGATTACACATATGCCACAATGAATCCGCGCGGTCAAAACCGCACATGATTTCCTATTAGATTGTATATAGTCAGAGCGGACGAACCGTGCGGTCGCTCGATAAACCACTGCGTATAGAAACCAGGGCGATTTTTTGTCAAAGATACCGCCCTGAGACTGTGCGTTCAATCTCACCAATCGGCGTTCTGGTTGGGTATGGGGTAACTCTCTTGCTACTATGGCATTGTTGTGGAAGTAGTATATTGCATATACACCAATCCGGTTTCTGCCCTATATATGTGAACGTAACATATCGCCCAATAGTTCCGCTTTCAGATACCGCTTTCCGGTTTCCCGGCGTGTGTGTTATGAATGGGCCTTAAACACAGAATATTACAGGGCGTAGAACTTTTCGTAACCACTTTTTGTTACTGCTTGCGTGTGTAAATTGGCATTTCCACTACCTCCTCGCATAAACAAGGTCGGCTGGGGTTTTGAATTTGACGTATTCTTATTTGACATGAGGCATCATCTACGCAATCGGTTACGCTCTCCCGTATTATTTATTGCTCACAGAAAAAAGGCTGCAATCGAATCACGATAACATCTCATGGCCGAACTATAGCATCCAAAGAACGGAGGAATTAAAAGCACTCCACTTGATTGGGAAGTTCTGATTTTCATATCACCTTCGAGGAACATCAATAATTTCACGCCCTCAAAGGACCTGATTGCTTTTGACGCTGTCCCAATGGCGTGCCGAAGGACAGACACACCTGCGACCGGTATTTGTCGGAGCCTCTGCCCCGGTACTTCGGCTGTTGGTTGCAAAGTGTATGCCACAGTACACCGCAGACTAATGGAGACAGGTTACCCTCAGTTGGGCTCGTCATTTAGCTTGGCTGTTTCCAGGGTCAATTACAAAAATTACCAAGGTCCAAAATTTTCCGGTGACTCGGATCGTGAACTGAAGAACAAAATTAGAGCCAAGATGATTTCGCAAAGGCGGTGCTGCTGTACACTGTCAGCCCTTGGAGGTCTATGTCATTTACACCTGGAATTAATTTCACAAAATTAGCGAATTTTTTCGACAATTTGTAAACAGTCTCAAACTGGACATTCAGAAATGTAAAAACATTTTCTTGTGATCTGGACAGAAGTTGGGAAAGTTTGCCAGTAACGTCCAATACATGCATATTTTAACAATAACTCTAAATCCTCAAAAATGACCGTTGCTATAAAGTAAAAAGCTATGACTAAAAAACCCAACCTTCGTGGAGTGTCAACGAATTTTGTTTCAAACAAAGACTTCCCAAGGGCTCGCTTAAACTGTGATAAATATGAGTTTGCATTGCAGAAACGGCTTACTGTTCATCACACTGTGGGAAATAAGATAAGACGATAAAATAACCTTCAGACTGCTTCGGCATTAGACTGCAGTTCAATAAGCTATATCATCTCTATGACATTCAAGTGGCTAATATGATGTGACGTTGAATTCCCTTCTGAAGTAAAAACCTCCAGACGAAAACAGCCGACACGTCGCTTACACAGAGTGAAAGGCTTATCTCGCCCAACAAGAAGTATGGCTTGTTAGGCCCACTGACACTTCAAATTTCAACAAAACGCCAAGAAATATCGTTTCGTAAGACCGAGTACAATTAATGGCAATCACTGCACCCAAGACAATATCGGTGCAAATATTCAGGAAAGACAGATCACACATCCATTAATCTGACAAGCTGGACTTAAGCAAGCAGTCTGAGCGAATAACACATTTTCAAAACCATAACAACTTCGCGATTTTTTTCCTTCTCCTGAAAGGTTTCCAAGGTCTACTCCGTGATTGGACAATCTCAACCAATTCCGGCGGCTTTGCGTTGGAGTCTGACGGCAACGTGACGGTGACCGAAAGAGGGCAGTATTTCATCTACAGCAGTGTATGTGTTGCTCATGTAAATTAAAAAATCGACATTGGAATTCTGGTCAATAAAACTCACTGGCAAAACGAAATACGTTTCAACAACGACGATGTCCCTTCATTCTCGAATTTTCGCGGAATTGGGCAAATTGGAATCACTACTCAACGGGTCACAAACTCACAGTGATTCCTGCGGGGAAAAACATTAATGGTCAACTACAGCCCCGAACATTCCGACATCTACTTTTACAAAACTTACCGTTCAACAACATCATTTTCAAACCAAATAATGGTAACTCAGTTTGACGTTTGTGCTTCCCTTTCGTTCAACTAAAAAGGTCCTGTTTTATGACGGCAGTGCATTCTATGGAGCCCACACCAACATCAACGGCAAGAACTTCCTCAAGTGTACAGGTGCAAGGGCCTCCTCGGCCGCCAAGTTTGGCCCGTGCAGCGCCAGCGGTGTGGCCTTGCTGAACGAGGGGGACAAAGTGGGCATTGTCTCGGTCTACCCTATGAAAGAAGTGGAGATGCGACCAGAGTCTACATACTTTGGAATCATCAAACTGAACTAAAACGGAAGATTGTGCTCATAAAGGACGTATTGGGAAGATGTTTCTGTTCTTGTCAATAGAATTACTGCTTAGCAATGTCACATGTTAAGCATGAATTTAGCTCAGAAACATATTTCATCGTCACTGTATTTGTATGGACTGAAGTATGATATTTCCCCGTCAATTTATTGTTTGGCCTCGACTACAAATACAAGTGAGCAGTAATCCGATAATTGAAAAACCTCCAAGTCTTTGTAATATGTTGGTAAAATAACCAACCAGGTTGTGGTTGATCTAAAAATTTAAAGTGTCCAGAATTTGTTATAAAAGTTAAGCCCCTCTGACAGAAAATAAGCCACCCGTTTCACTTTAAACATGGCTTCGCAATTTAACTGAGAATGCACATTTCATCTTTCTATAATGCATAGTTGTTTTATATAAGCTGTACGTTAAAAAGATGTAACAAAAGGTATTTGCAAGTACCCGGATACTTTAGGTTCTAAACAGCCAGCAATTATGTTCATAATTGTAAAAAATATTTTTATAACTCTTCAAAGCAATATCAACATTTGAAATTCTCCATCAAACTTCAGTCAAAAGTAGTAACTTAATTTGCAAATTAAGAAGGCATCCTGAGAACTAAGCTGTTTTTATTTATTTGGTTGACTGCGACAAGACACGTAGAGTCTGTCGCCATTTACGTTTGAATGTATCTGCTTAAACTTTGAACTTGAGTTACGCATAAATAATTGCATGTAGCCTGCTGTAGCCACAGAGCGTGTATAGCTAGATAATAAGACAGAATGCATCCAACTGGACTGGTACCCTGCAGGGCGAGTCAATTCGAATAATTCAATATTCGACCTTCGATTCGACCGAATATCTGAATATTCGGTTGTACCGACCATTATATTGTTGAGAAACAAACCATACAAAATCAGTTGCAATAACGCCAACAATTGTACATTATAATTACTATTATAGCTTCTCACGTCTACAAATATCTAAAGGCATGATCTAGCGGGATTTAAGACACAAATAATACTTCTTGTCCTGTTGAAAATGTATATTCCTCTTAAATTTTTTTTCCAACAAATAATGTACTTTTTTAATCCTGTAAGGTGTCTGTCGCGTTTCATTTGAATCTGCTTGGAACTAGCCTCCACAGTGCAATTTTTCTCATTTAAAACAAAAGGAAATTCTTTCTTCTTCTCCATGAATTTTGCATTCGAATACTCAAATTCGAAAAATAATATTCGAATATTCGATAATCTATCGAATATTCGGCACAGCCTTATCACCCTGCTGTCTACAGCTTATGCGCCGATAGATGCATGTATCAGTATTGTTAATCCTTCCATGGAAAACGTTTGTAGTTTTACATAGTGTTTTGTACCTTAAAGAGAACGTACAATAACAATAGGCGCTCATTATGGACTTTGTTGATAGAGAGATTTAATTCATGCTATATCGCAAATCTTATATCATATTTCAAAAGATTTCTTTCAAGATTAACAAAAACAATCACTATGGTTAATTTCTAATAATTTTGAGAGAACACAAAATAAAACAAAACGTGTGGTTTTGTACGATCAAGGTAATAGGCCCAGCTGTCTATTAATTTTTGAGGTTCTCTTGTCAATATGCAATGTACACCTGACAAGGAAGACAATAAAATTGACTGTACATTCTTATAAGATATGCCCAGTTTGGGAATCTTGCTTCCACTTTGTGAACTTGACTCAAGCTTTGCGAGTAAAGACAGAGACACAGGCTTAAAATCGTAGAAAACAGACACAGGGCACTTGTTACAGTGTCTTCCGTAATGACACTCCGTCAGTGAGATTTGATTGAGAGCTGAAGTAGACAATACTTGTACAAAAAATTTAACCCGAATAAAAAATCAACTGATCGAGAGCACGTGAATACACTCTTTGCAACAAGGCTGAAACCTTTTTAACACTGGTTTTGAATTCCACCACTTCCTTGAAGAGACCTCATTTGTACGGTCACAATTCCGTACAAAGCTTGGCCTTATACCTCAAATGACATGGAAGTCTGACTTGAAGGCAGAAAAACAAAGAGACAGTCATAACAGAATGAAAAACACACCTGCAGCATGTTGTCACTGCGGCAAAACGGTTATCAGAAAAGTATAAAAATATTATACAAATGTAGAAAATTCAAATGAAAATCATCCTCCAAAATTTACATCTTAAAAAGTCCTTCATGGAACGAACTAAAGTTGAAACATTCATGTCAGTATTCAACAGCTTCTTACATAATAGAAATAATAAAATAAACACTCGAGTTGTACATCAACTACATGTACATAGAAATAGGATCAATGTAAAAGCAGAACAGTACTGTGACCTTTGATAAGTTAGTGCTAGAATTAGAAAAGTAAATTTTTAGTAATCCCGTTTAGAAATGCTCCATTTTGTGCCTCACACAAAACATACATTCAACGAACATGATCATTTTCCCCACACACTCCTATTGTACCAAATGAAAACTGTTGGCATTTCGCACAAATCATCCGGACTGAAAAGGACTTTCATGGGAACATAATAAACAACAGAATGATCATTGTAATCTCCAATTTTACTCGAGATATGAAGTTGACCACTATCCTGGCACTGTGACAAAATTAAATACCCGTATGATTTAGATATCATTTCAATTCATTCCTTAAAATACATAACAATAAAATCAAGAATTGTCCAAAGTGTTCACCTTTGACTAACGATTGTCGTGCTCATCATACATACCATTCTTGTGATCTTCTGACAGCTCGCATCCAGTCCCTACAGATTGGCTCGTAGGTGTCAATAACATCCTTTGGTTCAAAGATGGCTTGGGACGAGCGGAGAGGCAACAGTTCCTCTTTGTTCTTCCATATCCCTGAAAATTAAAAAGCAAGATGAAAAGAGAAAGGTTTCCAAACTTTATTCATTCCTGTTCATTTCCATATGCTAATGGTTTACTATGTCCTCTTACAGGCAAATCGGAATGGAGTGGAGGTGAATCCAGGCATAAAATGGGGAGGGTGTGGCAGAGATAAATAAAGGAGGCTCCTTACCAGCACCGAGCCCAGCTAGGAAAGCGGCCCCCAGGCATGACATGTCCAAGTTGTGTGGCCGGTCAACCTTCTGAAGCAGCAAGCTGGACACTAACTGGACAATGAAATCATTGTTGCTGACACCACCGTCAAATCTGCAGATTAAAAAAAGGCAATCAAGAAATGAAACATTTAAGACAGTAGTGCATTCAAATCACTATCTAGCTGACCTTTGACCTTACTGTCATTATTCTGAGGTAGAAGACCCAGTCACTATCATTTTCTCACTTACTTCAGAACTGGTCTAATTCTTGTTCCACTTCTCCTTCTGGCTGTGTTGTAAAGTTGGACAACTCTAGTGACAAAGAATCAACCACAGCATAAAAGCTTAAAAAAAAGAAAGCTCGGGGCTAGACAGAATTTGTCCTGGATGAAACCCCAGGGCGCATCACAGTATCTCAGTGTTGCCCCTAAAATGAGATGTCTGCAGATACTGCTTTAGAGAAATGGAACATCCCAAAGCATGTGAAGATGGTAGTTCATGCATGAAAAAGAGAGCTTACTTTGTCACCTAACGATGACACTCTACTGAACTGACAAATATAGTATGTGTGCGATGAATCGTGAAACTATGCACAATCCGCAAGAATGTGCACAAATCCACAAATCTATGCATAGGCACAAGTTGCACGGCAGCCCAGCCGATCACGTGTTTAGCTCATAAGGGGGTACTTCTGCAGAGGACACTTCACGTATGACGACAGAATCTCAGGTCATGTCCAAATTACACTTTGCTGTGGCTTGCAATTTCACACAAGACTTTGAGAACTGGCTACAGCCACTTCCTACAAAGACGTAGGTAATTCTAAGCTGACTGGGACGTGGCTTGGACTTAGTGTCTATGACAAGTTGTTTGAAACGATCAATATTTCAAAGCTCACAATTTAACAGCAGATACCTGAATGCAATGGACTCTAAGGCAGCTCTGGCAATGTGGGCAGGAGTCGTTGAAGGTTTTAGGCCCATCAGTGAACAGCAGGCATTATAGTCATTGATAGGTGCCTGTAATAAAATGAGCCAATAATAATTCAAATGAACGATGAACCAATCAGTGAATTCAACTGTAAATCCTACAAAGGCGTCTTCCTCTCAGTTAAAAACTTTGAAGTCTCTCACAAAAAAGAAAATGTGTAAATTCACGGAATCACAGCTTGGCTTCAAATAATTTTATGAGGGATTTGCTGTTAAGAAGTCCTTCGACATTCCAGTCAAAGAGAGGTTTGAAGAATCAAAATCAAATCAAATCTGTCCATCCATCCATCTCTTCACCTGTAATCCGAAGAAAGCCGGTACAAAGCAAACTCCGTCTGAGTCCTCCACAGAGTTTGCAACTTCCACAGACTTTGCTGGGCTATCATACAAACCTGAAATGGATAAAATCTCCATGAATGACTATAACTAGAGTTGGCTTTGCAGTACGCACAAGTTAATCTGAATATCTACAGCATCAACTACAAATTTGGAAACTCAGCTACGGCAATTTCAAGTATTTCCTCCCGCAAATTATGTCTAAAAACTCAAACTCAAAAAAAAGAAAATCACAGGCCAACATTCAACAATGTTCCTGAAGTCCACGCAATCCATTTGTTTCCACTTCATTCGGCTGGACAGAAACAAATAAACTAAAGTTGTACAAAGCTGTGGAATGATATCCCTTGGACAAGACTGCATGCTTACCCATCTGTAACCCCCATTCAATCACTGTGCCTGCATCAGAATCGTGGCACTCCATCTGATAAACAATTTCATCTCCGAGTTTCCAAGCAATATTGGGATAAATACCTTTGCAAGGAAAAAAACAATGACCAAAAGTTGGTAAGAAAGTGTTGAAAACTATAGTCACTCCCCCCCAAAGACATCAAAGTGTTGTAAATTTGAAAGACTATTGTAAATGGCAGCTTGGACAATTCCTTTAAACACCACCCATATATGTATACCAATGGCCCAATTTACCCTGAACATGCCCACCCATAAATCAGTTGGGGTCTAGAGGTCTGTTGGCCAGTCCTGAAGGGGCCCCCTGAGTACGTGTATATTTAATGCAAACTCAAATAGTTTTCTGCCATGTCAGCACACTTGGCAGAATTTTGGGTCATGGCAACACTTATTGGAACACGTATTGGAAGTTTGATTGTAATTTTTTGCCCCTTGTTTCCTCATAATGGTAAGAAAAATGCTTTTTATTGTTTAGTACAATTCAAAGATATATCATTACTGAACTCATTGTTTATTTCCTTCAGAAATTGATGATTTGAGGCCTTTGCAGAAACCACATCTAGATTCCTGTTATTGTCCGATTTGAAAACTGAACTTAAGTAATATTCATGTTATGAGATTTTAGATTGGTATATTTTCTGTTTTGTTCCAAGCTGCCATTCTGAGTACTGAGCTATAAGGCTGGTCAACAGCATAAACGATGGGATATTGATCTGAACTAATATATATAATAGTATTTTGGTTTAATGGTTTATTAGCACCATATTCTACGTCACTGAGTAAGTTTCTAGCCTTTGGTTGTTGTACAATACTTTCTCCATTGACCTTCAAGCTATTACATTGCAGATATTTGTTCCCTTTTCTGGACTTTGTGTTAAAAATTTTGAGTGCTGTTTGACCCATCATTGATTTGTTTGTACTTATAATTATATGTTGGTTTTATTGAATTTCTTGGGAGCTCTGGCCTCTTAATTTCTCTGGATATTCCCTTGTGCCTTTAATTCCCAAGTAGCTGTCCTTACTCCAGTTTAATTTCGTTTCTGTGTTTTCTATCATTTAGTTTTCACGGTGCTGCAGTTCTGTTGGGCAAATAACAATGCAGAGCTATGTACATCAGAAGGAATGCACGTGTCCAGGTGTGATTTTAACCAGCCCCCCGTCCGTTCGCTTCAGTGCGCTATAACTATTGTAGCAATAATCTGAGCAAAGTCTATACACTTCTTCATATATTTGCAGATAAGTTTCTTACCACATTCAGGAAGACATATTTTACTGCCAGTGTTAAGGGCAAGAAACGTTCCTGTTCCCATGGTGACCTTGACTTCCCCTTCTTTAAAACAACATTGTCCAAATGACGAACTTTGCTGATCACCAACCTGTGGGATAGGGAGAGATTTGATGAAAGATGGAGGCGCATTCCATCTAATAATTTGAAACATCTGACTTCGGAAAATACAGACAGAGAGAAAACTGTTCATACCACAGCCCTGATGGGAATAGAGGCACCAAAGAACTCAGGATCACATTCTCCAAAATCGTCGCTGTAGGCAAGAAAAAGAAAGTTTAAGATTTTCCTCTCCATTTTCACAACAAAAATATCTGAGACTAAAAAGGAAGAGAGTTTTTCCGTTTGTGTTGTTCTTTTGTTCATGCACATGATGGTCATTCATTTAAATCAGTCTGATGAGGCCAAACTCACAGCACATAAGCTCTGCAGGCCACTTTGGGGAACAAGACCAATATGTCTGACACCAAAACATTCTAAACTCACCTTGTATTTTTAATCTCTGGCATCATATTCAGTGGAATCCCCAGATAGTAGGAGTGGATGGTGTTCCAACTTTTCTGAAAAGAAAGAGAGAAAACAACAGACCGATTCCATTGTGAAAGGACAAAAACCATGTGAAACAAAGACGACTGATCCCTTGCACTATATGATCTTTAAATAGAATTTATTTTTTCACATTATTATAGCTTATCTTGTTTCATGTATAGTGTATTACCTGAAAACAATACTCAGCCATTCTATAAGCTGCAAATTAATTCAGAGTAGGGGGTCAGGTTGATACAGAGCAACGGCAGCGGGGCCAGTTGTGAAGCCATCAGGCATCAGGCATTAACAGATTGACCCATAATGCTCCGTCCCATTGCATTCCGAGCAAGAGAGAAATCTGTGCGATGGATACTGCATTTTATAGGCCAAGCCCGTTAGGAAAATTTCCTCTAGCTTCTAAAACACTGTTCTTGTCATTTTCTCTTGTGACTTAAAACAATGAGGTGACTTTTTTTAGGTTAACCAAATCCTTAGAAAAGTCACTAACATTGTACATATCATACATGCCCGTTGCAGCAATGTTGGAGAAATCTGTGGCATGCACTTTCCCTGCAGATTAAAAAAATAATAATTCAAGTGAATAATTTCCGATGATCGCAAGTAAATGGAACACTTTAATGGAACACTTTATCTTGTTTGTACATATCGGAGTTTGCTAACGTTTTTTGTTCTTAAAATTAATGTACTGCTTTCAGGAGATAGATGTATGTGTCACTGAACTAATTTTAGATGAGCCTTTTCAAGAGTCTCCTTGAAAATGAATATAAATGCTGTCTTTCAATCACAATGTAAAGACTTACCTTTGGTAAGCTTCCAGACAAGCCAGGTTTCAATTGTGCCGAACATGACTTTGTTTTCTTGGGCGTCTTGTTTCACCTAGGTGGTTGAAAACAAAAACCATATTTCTGAAACAAGGACCTCAAGTTATCAAACAAATGAAATTTTAGACAATTTTCATGAAAGATGCTTATAACAACAAACATTTCTACTATGCAAGGATTAACATATTGATTGAAAATGCAAGAGAACACTGTAGAGATTTTTACTTTTTTTTGAGGACCACATAAAAGAAACTCATGTCCTCTGTTCTGGCCCAGAAATGCAAAGGTAAAACATTGACTATGATGATCTACTCACCCCAGGAATATTTTCCAGTACCCAGTAAAGCCTTATTGATGACTGCAAAAAAAAAAAAATACGCTTAAACAATGGAAACTCAAACCGATCAATTTCCATTTCAACTATTACTTAACAATTCAAATTGACTGACTGTTGGTTTGGAACACGATTATTAACTGGTGGATAGCAAATGCATGTAGTTTCAACCATCAATATAGGGACTTTTAGAAATATGCACAATTGGAAATTGTAACATACATGTGGTGACATAAATCGGAAGATGCTGCCCGCCTCAAAACGCTGTAAGCGAGAAAAGATGTGCGCTAGCTTAGATGCCTTCTTAAGGCACTGCAAGGAGATACAATGAAAAGAAAAAGGGTAAAAATTGATGTCATCACCTGCTATTATCACACCCACATTGCTCTCTACAACCTTCAACCTCTTTAATAAGAAATCGCAGGGCACAGGACACAAATAAGCAAGAGATTAAATTAACAGAAGAGCAAATAACAAAGCATGCAACTGATCAAGCAAACAATGTCTTTTACTTCCTTTAGTCCTCCAGCTAATTTTTTTGTTTATGCTGGTGTGTTAGGCAATGTTATCACCAGATTATATTTTTGTTCGTGGCATACCTATAGAGGATTATTGTGAAAATCAAAAGTAAAGTCAGAGGTCAAATACAGGATCAATGGATAACGCAGTGTGATTATGCAGATCCACTGGCTGTGCTCAAGAAACATTAATGGCGTAGTTATCTGATGTCGCTGGGAACAAAATGACAAGACAGTATTTTTGACTGCTGCTGCTGCTATAGTAAAAGAACACAGAAGGAGCTCGTCATGTGAACAGAGTCTGAAGTGTGGCTAATCACCTTGAAAGACAAGGAGCGGTTGATGACATCAGCTTGCTTCTCAGCTCTGGTGTCATTCCAACAAATGAAGTTATGGTATGGTACACCCGTTTCTCTGCAATTAAAATTATTTTTAAAAAAGAAAATAAGAGAGGGGAACTACTTAGTAAGAAAAAAGTATTGAAACTAATGTTTTATTCCAAAACCAAATGAGACAAACAAAATACTTATTGGTTATTGCTCATCTTCACAAACGTGTAAACAAAATCATCAGGAATGTGGTCACAGTTTTTGAATTCCAAATACAATTCACTTTTTCATCTGGTTAAAATTTTCATGTCAATGGTAAGAAGAAGGCAGGTCCTCTGTGGGTGTGGCTTCCTATGGACTAAGTTGGGGAGGGGCTCAAAATGAATGGTAATGAGGGAGAAGTTCAATCTGCCCCATAATGGGGGAGGGGTTTCAGACGTAAAACAAAACAAAGGGGCGTCTTAATTAGGAACATTTATTCACCTGTTCCACGTGAGGAAAGTACCCCTGAGCGTTGATATCCCCATGGCAACAATCTGTGCCGCTTCCAGACCAGCATCTGTGACATAAATGACTATGATGAAGTGGAGACTTTGTAGGGTGGTAAAAATGTATTGAGGTGCAACCGCTCTGCGTAAGCAACCAGCAACCTCCTTGCAAAGAAGCGCACACTTTGTGGACAGATGATCCAACTCTGTTTGTGTGTCAAGTAATTCAAGCTACACGTCCCCTATGCGGCTTGAAACGATAACAACAACAGGAAATTGGAAGGAGGAGATAGCGGCGTGAATTTCACTCAATTAGTTGAAAGGGAAGCCAGAAGCTAAATGTTCTGGTGACAGAAAACCTCCACCCTTATTGGCCTTCTTATTCTGAGATGGCTTAAAACACTATACTTTTGTGCATTTACTGATCAAATTTACCGGAGATTGCATCCTTCACCACGGCAGTAAACTTCTCCAAGAGAACATCCGGTAGAATCTCCACCATCCCATGGCCTGGGCGATGAACGATGGTCTGTTGCAGGAATGAAAGAGATCAAGTAGTTAGAGAGTTGCTTTGAACACTGCTCCTATCGGCAAAAACTCTTTTCACAAAAAATCTGAAGAAGTCCGAACATTAAGAACTCAGAAAGTATCCCCAGTCTTTACTGAACTCTTTCAATGCTTCCCCCTAACTTCTTGCAGACAGAATATCACAGCATGATTAAAAACAATTAACATTATTGCTTTCCTAATCCAAACTGACTGATTGGAATGACAACATTTTCATTGATGGAATTTGTTGCAATAAACAATATCCATGTTTATTTGTGCTGTAGATAAACACCTTTTGCATTCCTGTTCCTTTGATCTCAGCCTTTTCATTGTAGATATGGCATCGGAGGGTTGTTGTACCAATATCAATGGCAGCAATGTAGGCTTCCTGAGTTGCCATATCGACGGTAAGCCACCAAAGGCTATCTCCGTTAGGGTAGGTTTAGGTTATGTATTGCTGTGAGAATGAAAGAAATTGACACATTTGGGTTACCCTTAAAAAAGTCTTGAGTTCATTTCTTACTTTTGCTGCTGACACTTCCACAATAGAGTGCCGGCATGTTTACACTAACTTATTTCACTCACAAGGTGACATCTGACACAAACAGTTACTAGCTACCAACACCTTGTGAATCTTGTCAAATTTGAAACCACATGAGCTGTCAGGAACAGTGAGCTCCACTTTTTTGTACAAGCAGGCTGATTTGTCTAACTGCAATTACACCCTCTTGTCTGCATCTGTATCGACGAATTACTGCTAACCGCGCAGATGAAAACAACTGCAACGAGCGCAAGCACAGATCAAAGGAAGATTGTATAACCCGATCCTCGGACTGGCCGGTGTGTGCATACGTTGCAAAGGTTGCTGTTTTCACCGGCGCAGTACCTGTCATTTTACGAGAATCCCGGATGTCCGCGCTGCCCCATATCGTCGGTTACTCACTTGTTACATTATGATAAATATGTGAAGTACTATTTGAACAGAGAAAGACTGGAATGGAGAAACAAAAAAGAGGCTTGTAGACTTTTCAGATCACAACACACGATTCATTCTGTTGAGGGATTTTACGATATACATTCAAATTGGCCAACGTACAGTCGAGTCAATGTACAACCATTGGACATGATGGAGGTCATTGGAGGAATGAGAACACATCCTCCATGGTATGGTACAACATGGCCATATACACGACCAGAGAGACAACATGAACATGGTGAACTCTGAAGATGTCCTTTCTCGTAGTTGTACATTTTTTTATAGTTGTACTAGGCCTAGCTACTTAAAGTAGGCCTAGTGCCATGGCAGTGCACTGGCACTGTGCCAGTGCTGGCAGTGGGTTCGTCGTCACGAACGCTGCACATCATGAGTGCTGGTTACAAAACAAATTGTTCAAAATACCTGAATTTCACTGAATAACACCACCACATGATTAACAACGACGGCACATTTAGAGCACGGGATCTTGGTTTAAATTTAGACAATGTCAGATCAGGGGAATGCGGAACATGCTGTGGAAAGCAGGACGGAGGGGTGTGGAACATCGACCGTACCATCACGCGTGACATGCACGAATGAATGAGGGTTCTGAAGCGCGCCACCAATTGCGAGAATGAGGCAAGTCGCGGGAAATTCGATTGCAGGCTGGTACCCAGACCAGTAATCCTACACGCCGTGCTCTATTTGAAGTGCACCAGTCCATTACTAAATCGCAACTGATTGAAAATATCGTCTCTGATTTCACACTGGATTTGCTTGTCGGTTGCATGCTCCGAAAATGGGCAAAAGAAAGGTTGCAAGGGCGCCAACAGGACATACAGAAGAACAGTGTGATGTCTGGCTGACTGCTAAACCTGTAAGTGTAAGTAGGCCCACTATGATCATAAATTTCTCCGGAACCCGCATGGATTTTCTTACAATGCTTTAACCATGGACTTAACTGATATCTCTCTCGTAGTACTGTTTGTACATGTCATGTAGTAGGCCAACATGTAGTTGTACTTTAGTAGGCCTTACTACCATAGTGAGGCGTCACGACAAACAAGAGCCAATATATGGGCCGGCGTCCCGGTAAACGGCGCTAATATACTAATAAACATGACTGAAGCTGGTGTAGGCAGGTACAAGTAACGTCTTGCATTGCCTGTGAAGGTATTGATTTAAGGTTTAGCGGCACCAGCCCAGCTACAAACATGTTTGCTGTTGCAGCAAGTAAACCGTCTGTATCTTTCGACACATGTACTGTACATGTGACGGTGGTATTTGGGAGTGCAGAATTCTTGCAATAAATTGAGCCTCATTGAGAGAAATTTGTAGGCCCTGCTTGAAGATTCTTCTTTGAATTAAGTTTTGGACCACTACAGTGTACTATCCCCCATCATCTTGTCTTTATACTTCATGCTTCTTGCCTGTATGAAACAAGGGGGAGGGGAAGAGATGCTAACTTGGTACCTTCTGAACTGTGTCTTCTCCTAAATGTGCATGTGTACATGACCGAATTCCAATTTGACTTATGGTATTGTGATAGTTAAATAAGTTCGCCAAGTGTTTATCCATATGATCAGATTAATGGCAAAAATTATACAAAAAGGGAAATTTTAAGCACCCGCTTATTTCAATTCAGGAGCTTTGGGCAGCAGAGTATTTTTTGGTCTTACTTTTTTCATTTTCAGCTCAAGAAACAGAGACTAAGAAGAGATCCCCTGCATTTCTACAACGGCCAGTTGCACGATGAGCCAATCTTGGCTGTTTGCACGGCAACGAGGCAGACCACCCTGAACGACTTTTTTAAAAAAAGCAGCGATTCGAAGACAGACCAAAATCGTTTCCATTTGGGGGAAAATCAGCATGATCAAGAACACCGCAACCCTGACTCCTGCAGTACAGGTACATTTATATCCAAATCTAAGGTTTGAAACTTATTACAATATCCCACCTCTTCATTAGAATATCCCGCCTCTTTCCCTAAAAAAACAAAATTCAGGGGAACCAAAATCTTTTCAAGCCTTTTTCAATATCCTGCCTTCTACCTCAAAAATTTTTTTTGATTCAAATGATTTTGTTCATATTTTCAGAAAAGCAAAGAAACTTTCATCAGAGCCAGACCACCCAAGAGAATATGGCACAAATTTATGCCCATGTGGCTACGTCTCCCACACTAAATGCAAATGAAAATTTGTCCCCGTACGTCACTCGTTCTTTCCATGAAGATTTGCATTCAAACCCACCGGTTAAAGACTTGGTCAGTGACGGTTTCAATAAAACCCACGGCAATGAGAAACCTACAGATCGCCGTTGTGCCAGGACACAACAGCAGAACAGATGTCGACGAGTGGAGGGGAAAACCTCAAGCAACATCCCTGAGAAGGAGAACTGGTGTCTTCAGTCAGACCCTGATGAAGATGTCATGTCTGTGGACGAAAACAGCTGCCTTAGAAGTAAAGACGTGCACAAGCATATCGACACCAGCTTGAGGCATAGCACGACCGATTTTTCAGCGGATGACTGCGATTCACAGTTACCTTTTTCTTGCCTTTCACAATCGAGGAAAGTTTCTTCTCAGAGCCCTGTGGACTCTCCAGTCACCGATCGGTTGTTCAGGATAGCCTTTGTGCCTTCAGGAGAAGCTGACAGTTCTTTTGTACTGGAGGAAACAGAATTAGAATCGAACGATCAACTGGCAATTTGCAGTCCATCGTCGTTTGCAGAAACAAATATCCAGCCTAGTTTAAACATCGACATGTTACGATACGTTGATTCCAGGCTTTTGGACACAGCGCCCATGCCCGATTCGCAAACAGAAACATGTGATAGCAGAGAGCAAGTGATAACCTCAATTTCATTGGCAGAATCGGATTACAGCGATTCAACCGTGGTTGACCCCGCCCTCTCGGAGTTCGATGCAAATACAACAGAAGTGTCAACAGAAGGTGATTGGGTGTTGTCAGAGGGCGACCCAGCTAATGCGACCGATCAGAGTCCGTTCGACTCGTTGGAGTTTACAGCAGACACGCAGGGCTGTCTGATTCTGAAGACATCACCAGCACCTGACATCGATGAATCTGACGTAGATGATTCACAGACCTTTTGATCGATGGGGCAGTGTGTCAGATCGCAGATTTTGTCACGAAATTTTCATTCCGGTTTTCCACAATTCGGTGTTGAATGGAAGACCGTTTTGTGCACCTCTTATGCATATAAATACTACAATGAATCAGATCCACCCCAAATGCGTAGTTTCTAATTAACTGAGAGGAACTTTATTGAAAATGAGCGATCGACAAAAACCACTGACAGGTGAAATTGGAGTGAATCTTAAAAGTTGTTTGTCTTTCTCTTATTCACGCTGTTGACCTGAGCATGTAAAGCAAATCTTCATAAACCACATGTACAACCTATACTATCCCTAATCAAAAGATATGAAAAGCAGTGTCCGATGCATTTTATTCTATTGAAGCACGATGTGGAGCAATCAGTGCCATCGTAGGTGATAACAAACACCCGCAGCAACCAAGATGTTAGTAAGATTTTTTATGTGTTATATTTAATAAACTTAAGACGAGCGTAGCACTGTCGTGATTTCTGCACGAGTGTGCGTGTAGTTGATATTTTTCCCCAGCACTAGGCATTGATTGCAGTGGGATTGTCAGGTGAACCCGATGCCCTTAAGTACTTCTGGAAGATAGAATCGAGATCAAGCGTACAGTGGGTACACTGTTCAAGGTTCAAGTCAGACAGTCGTTAAAGCTATGAATACTGCCGCGCATATTCATCATCAAGTCAGACGAACTGTGTGTGTGAGAGGTTCTGTGACGGACAAAAATTGGCTCTTGGCTTTTGTACACGTAAGTTTAACTCCTTAATTCACAGCAATGATTGTAAAAAATAAGACAGTGGGATATTCTTGTTTCAGAATATCATTCAGAGAATAAACACCGTATCTTCGATCACGGTTCTGCAAAACAAAGCAAAACAAAAACTGGAGTACTGATCACTTTGTAAGTTCTGCTATTGTTCCGACCACCAGATCAGAGACACTATGTCGGAGTGGCCAGCAATCACAAAACGTTGGTACTTGTTACCGTATGAAACAAAACTTTTCCTTTTACAAATCAGCTGAAACCTGCCAAAATTGTCCTGCTTTAGTTTTGGAGACGGACGCACCATAGACCACCTCAGCGATTGCATCCTTGCAATAGCTCCTTTGCAAGATGGAGGCATTTGTCCTGACCTTACTTATCGTCTCAGCTCTATGTGACGGGCTGCCTACCCAGGTGACAATTCAAAGTTTAATCTGAAAAATCACTTTTCTTCTCCCATTTATTCAGCACATGTTTCCTGCGCCCTTCTATACTCTCTGATCCCACTTCTCAGGGGAAACTGAAGGAAGCACTCATGTCAATTTCAGTCTTCAGCAAGCCACCTCTTGGTAAAAACATCAATGGAGTCATCAACTTGGCTCAAGTTGGCTGGACAGAAATTAGCCCCAGACTGGGGGACAGTCTACTGGACTACCTGCGTATCCTTGAGGTAGTCCTGTAAACTGGTCCCAGTCTGGGGCTAGACAGAAATGAACATCCAACAACCCAGGATGAGAACCGGGTGCCGATGCGTGGATGTCGTTGACGTGATGGGGGACTTAAGCAAATTTGACTTTTGTTGGAACCCCAAAAGTCTGGTTTCTGGTCAGGAGCTGGCACCAAAAGTGGTGCCGCGGCGCAGCTTTTTTTTCTACCCTCACTTTTTTCCTTGAAATGATTTACATAACAGATGCACGCGTAACGCCGGCCGCTAGCTACCATAAAACACACAGGCCCTCGCACTGTTTACTATTAAAACACATTTTCGGCTTGTACATGCACACAAGACATAAGACCGCCTCGTTTGTCTGGTACCCAGAAGTTAATGTATACTGGTCATACAGAGATGACGTCATCTAAAAACAGTGCCCGACTACAAATATGAGGGGCCTTTACTGTACATATTATTCATTACGTACCCCGTCAAAAACACTTAAATTACGCAGAACACGTAGCAGGATTCCAGTCACTTAGGCAAGTTTGGCAGCTTTGGGGCATCGTTTATACAAAATAAAACCTTTTTTTTATACTTTGCCGACGCGCAGGTTTGCAGCGACTCGCGGGCTGACCAGAAGTCAGAGACTTTTTTCAAGTGGCCTTAAGTATAACTTTTCAAGCGAGTTTATATTAGTTTTTCCGGTTTTCCGCAATAGGAGACGATTGAATGGTCTCACGGAAACTTTAGCGACCCTGGTCTCCTTGTTACCGGTGAGAGCACCAGCGATGGAACTTGTGTTTGTAAGGTGCAAGTTCCTGCTACGGTCATCTGTACCGATTACCAGGCAGAGAGCAACTTGCAAAAACTGCAGGAGATCCAACAACAGGTAAAACTATTCTTTAAAGACTTTTTGCAAGCGACTGTGATGTCTTTGGCTTCAGATTTCGGGAAGCTTTTTCTTCGAATTTAGTATGGGCCTTACTCTGAGATTTTGAAACTTGCACAAGGCTGAATTTTGGATCTTGGGACAATTATCAGGTTTCACAGCTGACACTTGAAGTCAAGAAACTTAACGAGACGACCAACTTGCACTCTCAGCTCTTCGCTGCATTTGAAAGTAATCTGACAGAAGTCACTTCGACCTTTGAACTCATCGAGGGAGGGCAGGTGCTCGTCACGAGGCTGGAGATAGAGGGCGTGCTCTCTCGGATCCGGAGCATGGAATCCACTCTGTATTCGCTACGGGAGTGGCACGGAATTGAGACGGACGTGGCTCACATGAGCAGAATCCAAATCATGATGAATGAGGTATTGTAAAAAGATGCAATTGAAGTAACGAGTTTGGTTTCATCATTGAAGACTTGTGGGCTGTTCAATGCGGGCTGTATGAGACTTAAATTCTCAAAGAGAATGGACCGTGCCGAAACTCCGCCTAATAATGGAATTTGGCGGAGCAGATTCCACATTTGCCTCTCGGTATTTATTGGAAAATGTATTTTACATGCGTCCTTTTATTAAAATAAATAGGATGAATTTTCAAATAATTAAAGGAGAATCTTTTGAGGAGCGTTTTATAAAGAGCTGTACAACCTTTACCAAATCAGTCCTCAATATTAAATACATTGTATTTTGCAGGCCTCAAACATCACCAAAATAATGGATGCAATGGCGTCACAGAATATTATCGACGATTCGGCTGCCATGCAGCGTGAAATCTTGTCGTTGACCGACCAGCTGAGGTCTTGCAATGACCATGTAACGTCGGCAGGTGGCGATGGCGGGTCACAGTTGGCTGGCGTAGCGACCGAAATGCCGGCAACCGGTCAACAGGATAAGGTTGATGAGAGCGATACGCTGCCGCGGCTGTGGCCTGCAAAAAAGACACAAAGTACTTTGATCAGGTTTAGGATACCCTGCACGATATGCGGTAAAGGGGATGTGATGCACAAGCTGTATACCCTAAGGCTATTATGCCTCCTGCCCCCCGGAAATCTGAAAGTAATTCCAAAGATTCCATCAACACAAGAGAAAACGCAAGGGGGAGTCCCCTTTGCCGCATATCGTGCATCATGAGTTTGAGGCGTAGGCTAGACGCTGTTCCTGATGTCCCGAATTTAATGAAAATGAGTGTGGCGTCAGCACGGCAATTATCCTCGAGCTGGACCAAGAGAGGGCACAATTTTCTTGGCAACGACAGCTCCTTTGGTCAGAACTGAACTTCACTGGTTACGACTATGAAATGTACGCGTTACAGTCGCGTACGTCGCTACCAACAAAATTAACACCCTGACCAATATAGCTCGTTTCGTCCAATGATGGGTGCTTCTGCTTGAGGCGGATAGCAGGACAGTTGCGCTAAATGCCAAACTTGGATCAAGGTGCCACCGCAACCATGAACAACGATAGCGCGGCATTTTGTTGAGCTAAACTTGAGGGTTGTGCTGATTGCATTTGCTGACCCGAATTAGTGCTAAATGCCGCGCTTCTGACTTGCCGGATTAAAAAAGATAATCCAGTATTTTGAATTTGGCGCAGTCACAACTGGACGCTGCGTGGGTAACCTAGACCTTAACGATCTTCATTATTTTATGTTGATACTTGCCATTAAGGAGGCCAGTTGTAACGCATATTTTAATAATTACAGATACAGTTATATTTAACAATGATAGACTAGTTTGACTGACGCTTTTGAGTTAATGTTCACAGAAACTGGAAAAAGGGTGACCTTTAGGAATTTGATATCTTGTTAAAATATTGTTCACTTTACCAAGCGTCACAAAATATACTTTAAAAAATAAACAGTATTTAACTCTTAATCATGGTCACCACACGGATTGAAAACTCTTTTAAAAAAAGGTTGGGCATGGAAGATCAACGTCATATTAAACAAAACACATTCTGTTAAAAAGAGACAGTTTATTTGTCTGTGGCTGACTTGAACATATTTATACGGAAGGAGATGATTATTTGTGACATTTTTAATCTAAACATTTCTTTCAGATTCCTGTGGGAAACTGCTGGATGTCTCAGAACCTTACACCGTTCGTGGAAACTTACTGACCAACGGCACGTGGATGCGAGATCCCTTAATGAACACAGACATTGTCTACTATCACGGGTGAGACTGCCACTTTTTGCCGCTTTCAATAATTTTAGGAATCTCCTTAGTACAGACCTTCTTGACTGCATAATAATCATCTGTGCAGTTGTCCTTTGAACGAGGCCAAATTTTTGTAATTTCGGTGTTTTCGTAGTTGAGGTTTGAAATTTCTCGGTTCGAGATGAAGCCGACGACGGCAATCGATGTAGCCAAGATTTTCAACTAAAAGTTTGGATTTTAAACGAGTCGGTCAACAGCACCCAACAACATCCCGCACCAGATGACCAAAGCCACAAAACGGTCGTCATATAGTACGGTTGCCATGCTTCAATCTAAACTCGGATGCACTTGTCGTGCTTTACAGTGCTTTATTTTCGATTCATTAAAGTTATAAAGTATTATAATGAAGTAATTAAGTGGTTCATTAAATTATTGTCGCAGGAAAATGTTTGTGCTGTCAACATACCTGTTGACAATAAATCGCTGTAAAGTGTTACGGCATGTTGACTTTAAAAAAGTAACCTCAACCTTTGTCGAATTCTCAGATTCAAGTCTGGCTATAGGACCAGCGACAGTCCTACCTATTTTAAGAGTGGTTCCTCTGTCAAATCTTTCCAACGGGGTGAAACCCATCAGATAGCTGGAGAAAGTCTGGAATTTGTCGTCGAATCTGTCGTTCGCAACGGAGTCGTTTACACGTACTCCAGAAGTGAGATTACTGAACGTTACCATGATTACTACCACCGTACAAGAACAGTCTATGAACAAAACTTAAGTAAGATAGAGCTATCCCACAGCTTATTCCCTCCAAGAGCGACTGACGACGAGTTCCAGCGGGGAGTAACTGCGACTGAGCTCGAACAAGCGAGGTACCTGCCTCCCACCGTCGTGCCTAATGCAGACCTGACCGTGGACGAATCGGGGCTGTGGCTGTTGTACGGCGATTCGCGCGGCATGCTCACGGTTAGCAAGGTGGACCCGGACACTTTGCAGTTCAACCACACCCTGCACGCCGCCTACCCCAAGGACCGCCTGGGTAACTGCTTCGTGGCCTGCGCTAAGGTGTACTGCGTGGACAGCTACACCGATTTCGATTCTCGAGTGTCGTACTTCGTGGACACAGAGAGCGGGTTCGAGGGCTTCACTAATATCCCCTTCATTATCAAATACGGTAGTCTGTCTTCCCTCGAGTACAATCCGTATGATCAGTTGCTGTACGGATGGGATAACGGACATGCCGTCATCTACTCACTGACCTTTGAATGATTCTGAACGATTGGCTCTTTTCAAACTCTGCCAGACCAACTTAAGGCTTAGGCCACTTTGGCATGCTGAAACTTTTGCAGCTTGTAGGTTTAGTTCATTTTGCATAAAATGTCTGAGTGATACACTCCTCTGATTGACAAGAAGCAAATCGTTGTAAGGGTTGGGATGGTTTGAGGTAATCCAGGATGACGACATTATTGTGGAGGCATCTTCCTTTCTATTTGTAAACTTTGCGAGGTGCCCGAGCTTGTGTATTTTGCAAACGTACCACCACACATGCGCACGAACCTGCCAAAGGAGTAATGACTTTTCTGGTCGTGGGGAAAATAAGTACACGAATTTAGACTTACTTAAGAATTATCTTGGTGTCAGCGATAACGTTGAATGACCTTAGTTGCGCTTGCAAACTGTCGAGGATGCGGTAAAGCTGGAGAGTGAGAGATTGCTCACAATAGTGCGCCTCCAAGAGTTTGCAACTCGTTAGCCAATCACAATGCGCGAAATCTGTCAACCCAATGCGCGTTTGGAAAGGGTCGACAGATATCGCGCGTTGTGATTGGCCAATGCGTTGCAAACTCTTGGAGGCGCACTATTGTGAATCCCTCGAAGCACATATGTAGTGAAAGGAGTAGCTTACTAGTGAATATAATCGAATATATTATACTTGGCGAATATATAATTTCACTGCAAAATCTTAAAGCCCGTGACGTGATTGTTCAATACTTGTAATAAAAAAAATAAAAATCCCGTAATTTTCTCATGTTGTGATTATGATAAGAGATAGTAGACTTATTCAATCGTGTGGTGCAGATGCTTGAAAATAAACTATCTGAATGAAAAACTAACGATTTTGCACTTTTCGTGTATTGATTCAATCTCGACAGTAAGTTGTACAGCCTAGCGAGAAAAGCTGTAATCTGTTGAATACGGGCGATTCATAATACATGCATGTAATGCGCTTCCACAGATGAAATCTGTTGTCGACCCTTTCCAAAGGCACATGTCCACAGATTTCGCGCACTGTGATTGGTCATTGCGTTGCAAACTCTGGAGGCGCACTTATTGTGAAAAACCCATATTAATATTTTGTCTTTTAAGAAATTAAGGCATTGAAATGGTACTCCAGACGGACACAGTAATGAGCACAAAGTTCCACGTTTTGTCAAAAGGGCAATTTGCCGGTATCTTTCTATGTATAGAGTTCCCATGAAACAAGTGCTCGGAAGCACGGTATTTGGAATATGTTGCATGGGCCCAGTGAGCAGGGGTAATAGCAGTGCTTTATAAATACCTATACTGTTGTTGTTATTATTATTATTGCCATATTTAGTTCACAAAAAATTGTCTCCTTCGAACAGCTCCGAAAGCGGGGCAGCTCGGAACGCACCACTGCGAGCTAAGTTGGTCGCTAGTATTAATTATTTTCACGTTCTCAAATAATAGGCCGCCCTCTATTGCCCTTTCATATGACATTTTGTGGACTCGCCCATTCGGTCGATCGAATGTCGCTGTCAGGATAATGTGAAATGGTGTGAAATATTCTTTTCTGATCCATTTTTCTGTATTGAATCTGTCACAGATATTTCTAGGGATAGTCTCAAAATGGTGAGTAAATAATCAGTATTTAATATTTCTTAAATAGTTTGAATTTGGAATTGTTGGATAACGTCTGGTCATTTACAAATTTTTGTGTCCGCGGCATGCAGTGCAGCGTAGGCCTAGCTACATGTACGTACGGTGCAGCATTCAGCCCCGTAGTCGTAAGCCTAATTGAAGGATGTGTATTTCCGACACATAGACTACTTGCATGTAATACATTGTTACTATAGGCATGGTAGGCTTATTGCTACTTGTAGGTACTGTTTTAAGTTAAGTTTTAGCTCATATTGATTACTGATTCCTCCACAGATGCAATTTATGCTCCTGTTCAGTAGGCAAGGTAAGCTCCGCCTACAAAAATGGTATCAAGCACATCCAGAAAAGACCAAGAAAAAGATCACTAGGGAACTCATCAATACCGTGTTGTCACGGAAACCCAAGATGTGTAACTTCCTAGAGTGGCGGGATCTCAAAGTTGTTTACAAAAGGTAGGCTATGTCATTGTCAAGGATTAGGCCCGTAAACAGGGCCCTACTTGGGCTTACTCCTTCATCGAGAAACTGCGCGGGGCCCTGTCCCGATTGATAGTGATTTCTTTTGATCAAGATTATCCGAGATGCCCGGGGATATTATCAGACATCCAGTGGATCTTATGAGCTGAAATTGCACCAGTATGTTCACTACTTACGCTGCTAGCTACCCCCCAAGTTGCTATTTGTAGAAAACTTGCCTTTTCCTTGTTTGGAAAAAAAAGTTGCCTTCAGCATGTTCAGTTGGCATTTCCCCACTTCGGATGAATGTTGGCCGAACTTGCACATTACACAGACTCTTTTGTATAGATTAAGTGACGGTAGCCTGTACAGAGAGCCCGTCTAGCTTACACCCAGACTTCAGCACATATGAATTTCTTTTAGGTCCGCGAGAGTACCCGTCGATCCAAGTCGTCATGGAAAATTACGGCTGCTTTGTGTCACAGCTAATATGCAACGCCACCCTTTGCCTGGTTTCTGGTCCAGTCTAATGCCGCTTGCAGCGAATCGTTGAACATGTAGTGCGGCGGGTTAGTTTTGTGCAGGTCTGGCCAAAATTTCCCCGGAGTGGGGAAAACACCAACTGAAGGCAACATTTTTTCCTTCAAATGAGGAAAATGCAAGTTCTTTGCAAGTAGCAACCTGGGGGATAGTTACCAGCGTAACACCGGTGCAATTATAGTATATGAAGGAGTATGGCCCTGCTTACGGGTTAGTCAAGGATAGGAACAGATCAGTAATGGATTATTATTAATAGGCCGCTTACTGGTTTATTAGACTAAGATTTGATTTGAGTCATTTGCAAAAGCAGACCTGTTTTATGGAAGTGGTTGCGAATTTTTATTTTTTATTGTAATAAAAATGGTATAAAATGATAGACTGATGTTCTGTGCTTATGGTTTAGCTGGAAGTCCTTATGGTTTAGCTGGCAGTCCTTATGGCTTAGGTGGCAGTCCTTATGGTTTAGCTGGCAGTCATGGGATTTCCCTGTTATGAGATAATAAAGTTTTATCGTATTGTATACATATAAGTTTTTTGGGAAGGAGCAATCAGATTGTGGACTATCGTTATACGTTGTACTTACGTCAGTGTTTGTTTTTTCCCTGTTTCTTCCAAGATATGCAAGCTTGTACTTCTGCTGTGCCATCGAGGATAAAGATAACGAGCTCTTGACATTAGAAATCATCCATAGATACGTGGAATTGTTGGATAAGTATTTTGGAAGTGTAAGTTGCCGGCAGACTACATGGATGTATGTACGTATACTGTAGACGTAGTCAGTGTTTCTTCAATAAAAGTAATACGTTGACTGAGGAAACTCCTACCTTGGCTGTCTACAGTCCTAACCCCAGCTCCCGAGTAATGAAGGATGGTTATATCATTGGCTCTTGTCCTTTATTTTCAAATGTTCCTTTAGATCTGGGTTTTTTTCATTTAGAAATGGTACATCAATGATCTTATCATGATTTGGACATTCTGGGCTTGAACATACAGGTACATGTATCTACATGTAGTCAAACCATTATACAGTTTGCCAAATTTTCCACCTGTAACTGACAACAATGTGTACACATGATGTTTTCTTCCAAATGCATTTAGCTGCTTTGGCTTAACTAAAATTTGATTGATTTCAAACTGATGCCTTTTAAGATTACATAAACTGTTCGTTTGGCAAGATATAAACGTGTATCTGATGATTACTGGCCCTCTTTTAATGTGTGCATCTAGGTTTGTGAACTAGACATCATTTTCAACTTTGAGAAAGCGTACTTCATGCTGGATGAGCTGATGTTGGGCGGAGAAATCCAGGAGACAAGCAAGAAGAACGTCTTGAAAGCCATCCAGGCTCAGGATATGCTTCAAGAGGTAAGCCCGGAATTATTGGCCCTCTGATCCAAGCAAGTAAGAGTCTCTGAGGATACCTCATAACATAGCATGGCCGGGAGGCGCCGGTTTGAGCAAAGTGGAAATTGCTCTGAACTTTTCTAATAACTGTCTTGCACACTTTGACCATTGCAACTGTTCTCATTATGCATCGCACTGTTTTCACTACTTTTGTCTTCATATTTTAGTTCATTCGAGTTCCATCTTGCGATTACCTGAAAGGCCATTTTCCTTAGCTTCTCATTCTGAATGCACTTGACAGCCTTTCAAGTTTTTTTTCCTCAAGTTTTAGAATTTCTGAACAAGCTGTAAGCTTTTCATAGTTGGAAACCACTTGTTGGGTCACTCTTAGATTTTTACAGTAATGAAGACCTGATTTCATCTTGCTTGAATCCTGACATCAACTTCGTGTTGATATGGAATTTGTAAAATTCAAAAATTTAGAGCTTGGGTTTTCATTTCAATTAAGTTTTCAAGATTTGAGTTTGAGACTAATGCAACTGGTCCAAAAAATAAATCTCTTTTAAGGAGCTTTTGATTTTGGAATGACAGTCAAAAGTGATAGTTATTGTCCTGTCGATGGGAAAAAACAGTAGTTTTAAGTGTTAACAATTTTTACATTCATTTGCTGCCGCATGTGGATTCGAACCCCCTGAATAGGAGATGCAGGTACTGGTGCCTTTGGTGTCAGCAATTGTGCAGCCAGTTACCCGTAATAAGTAACTGTGGCAGACTCGGAGAGCACTTTACTCACAAGCACTTCAAAAAGGGTTGCAGAAGTTTGCAAATTGAATTCAATCTGAACCTGGAGGCTTCTAACACTACAGAAAAGTGGGGACTTGGGTCTGACATGAACACAAATTGAAGAGTGCTAATGCATTTTGGTCTGAATTCTCTTTTGCACACTGTGTAAACAATATTTTAATCATTGACTGAACCTTTTGCCTATTTTGCTAGGTTTGTTGGCAAGTGTGAAAATGCTGTGCTTTTTACATTACTAGATGCGGGATTCACTGATTGCTAAATTTGAGACGCACATTGAAAAGATCCAGACCAGCCTGCATGAGGCCAAAACTGTTGGAAGCCCATTTGCAACTGTCTGCCCATTTGTGGCCAACATGCTTGACACAGTAGCCACTGGGGAAAGCATTGTGTGTACTGTATATTTTACTCGCTCGAAAATGTCACCTTTGGTTTTTCTCCCCTTTTGTTGCACATAGTAGTACTAAGATGTGATACCTGTATTGACACCTTGCATGGTGCTTTATTCAAAGTTGTCACCTGCATCCTTTGGTGGATTCATTAACATACAGGCTCTTTGCAGGTGATTTTCTGCGGTCCACTGAGAAGTGTGGATACACTATCCATTCAAAGTTGTCTATGAACATTAAAATGATTGCTGTATACATTCATATTGGACTCAGTGCTCCGAAAAACTCACTCAGCGCTTTTTGTTCAAGGAAAGCAGTTTAGTGTGCTTACCACAGGGAAATGGTGCCAAGACGCCCCCTGGCGGTAGTAATGCTCAGGTTTCGCCTTCAACATTTGCACAGAGTCTGTATTATACAAACTAGGCCAGGGAATTACATCTGATAATGACTGAACAGGGAAATGTGTCCCTGTTGTCAAATTTGGTTACCTTTTGCGCATTTATTCCTTAATTGACTTGTCAAGTAATTACTATTAATAAGTTAATGTTCTAGACACCAGAGCAGGCATCAAGTAACTGTACTGTAAGGTATTGCAGTGATTTTATTTTCGTCTATTAATTTTGCTCACAAAACTCCCAAAGTATAAAAGTAGATTTCTAACAGCCAGTAAATGGTAGTGTTTTAGCTTTGGCTCTTGGTGATTAAGCACATAGTGGCAAGATACGTGTGTATATTTCTTCGTCTCAGTTTCGGATGGGAAACTTTTGCACGTAGCCTGTAACTTTCGAAATTTTCCATCATTCAAACAGTGCAATAGGTTTGTTCATATTTATGACTAAATTTTGCCGACTTGTAGCCTGGATTTCGTATCTTCGCTATCTGTGTCGAATATTACATCTGAAGGTGTAAATACTCAACCCGTATCGGAGATTTCCAATCACCATCAACACTGCCTCTGCCCTGCAAAAAATTTCATCCATTGATTTTTTTGCAAATAGTTTTGGTAAATAGTAAGTAAGAGTAAACTCGCCTTTGGTATCAAATCTATCCACCTGTTTCTAAACCATCCTATCACACAGAGACTTGTGAGGACCTCCCAACAAGTGTACCTGTGGTAGAACTCCCAAATTACCAATCCCTCATCTATTTTCTTTCTGTCTTGTAGGATTTCGATGAACCTCACAATATTTTTATGGATCTGGGTGTTCACTAACCTCCTGTTGCTGATGCAGTCCTTGCACCTCCTTGCCTCTGCCAATTTCTTCCTTGTTGCTGTGCTCCCGTATCATCTTTCTCTCTGCATCATCTACCAGCCTGATACATTTGCATGCTCCTCATTTGTCCCTCTGAACCTTTCCTTGTGTACTTTTCTTGAGACTGGTTTCAGAGCAGAGAGTTGCGAGGTACTGAGGTTGCCAGCAAAGTTCTGAGGTCCTTCCTGCAACAGGATTTCAAGCTCATCATACCCTGTACACACGCACTCCTTGTGTTTGTATTGTATTTCCTGTAATCCTTGGAGCTTGTTCTGAGCATGAACTTGTGAAATAGAAAATTAAGCAAAATGCACATCAGCTCTGATAATCAGCCCATCAATATTTCCTGTGTTTGTAGAGGTTTTGCATGGTAATCATCTTACAGGGCAGTTATTTTGTTGCAAAGGGAAATCTCTTTTGTACATATCCTGTGGAACAAAAGCGCTGGCCTGCAAGATGACAGCCATGCAAACCCTCTATATTTTGTTATACTAGTTTTACATTAGTAATGTTTGTTCAACATTTGCGCACAAGCCCGCAGTGCCTTGGCATAGACACCATATGCATGCAATGGCGCCTTACGGCAATGTGAACAACTGTTGCTCGTCACCATTTTTGGGGTATTTAGCAACAAAGCTCACATACACTGTTGACTCACTCATACCTTACCAAATAAATTTAGAGACACTTTAATATACGCCCTTAGCCATTCGTTGTATTCGACTTCATTACAAGTCCCTGTTACCGAAAGTGGAGTTGAAATGGGACCAATATCCTGTGTTAATACGACCGTTTCACAGTAGTGCGCCACCAAGAGTTTGCAACGCGTTTGCCAATTACACTGCGCGGAATCTGTCGATCCAAAGCGCGTTTGAAAAGGGTCGACAGATTTCGCGCCTTGTGTTTGGCCAACGTGTTGCAAACTCTTGGAGGCGCACTATTGTGAATCACCCGTATTTGGCTCCCAGCTCAGATTGGGATAAAAGCCTGAAATGTGTAGCGTCTGAAACTGAATTTGACGATGAGCATTCTTTATTCTTAGTATAGCGTACACGTACATGGCTTGCCCAGAATTAAAAAAGAAATAAAAAATCATGGTTTGCATGGTAACCCATTGACATGGTTTACGGTATGTTGTGACCATTTTTGGGCAGTTTTCTCGCCCCAAACATTGTGTTCATTGTAAATGCACGTTTATGACAATATTTGTTGAGAATCTGAAATTGAGCTGAAAATGGGAGACCAGAAACTTCTTACTGTTTGCCTGCTTCGAGCTAGCGATACTATAGCAAAGATTTTGTATAGAGTTACAGATGAGCAAGGAACAATGCACTTTTAAGTGCACTGAAAAGTTGTTTCGTGATTAATGATTTGGTTTATCTACCAAGATCTCATGTGTTTCTCAGTTTGATATATTTTGTGTCGAAGGACACTCACCACATTTGAAGTACATTTTATGCTGTAGGTATTTTGAAAATTTGACAGTTGCTTTGCCCCACTGTTAATTTTGTTTTCCAGAAGTGATCAAAAGTAAACATTTTGTTTTGAGAAAGCTGTGGTAGTTATGAGCATTGAAACATTGTTGAAATGCATTGTGCATGAGTACAGTGGTATCATTTTTAGATAATTAACATATTTCTTAAGCCTGGTTTTGGAATGGTTGCCCCCAATTTATACTTTGCGGATCTTCTTCGAAATGGGAGTCAGGTTGTACTGGCAAACTTCAAACTGCTGGCACACGTAGCTGACTACTTATTGGAGATTGTGCGCGGAATTTAAGTATTCAAAGTGAATAGTACACATTTCTGAGGGTCATCTGCGCATGTTTGCACTTTGTACAAGTCACGGGAATAAGGGGTGGAGCCTTCTATGCTCAGTAATTTTGTCAGCACGCTGGACAAATTTGTGCTTGCCTGCAATGAGTTTTAATTCTGGGGGTCAAGCGTCAGGTCATTGTGTTGCCAAAGGGCTTGATCAGAACATTTTCACGTGAAACTAGCAGATATAAGATTCTGAGATTAGCTTGGTATAAACAGAAAACATTCCCGCGTTGAAGTACAGTTAATGTATATTTTTGTCAGAGTTTCCTGGGAAAGGCCATGCAGCCAGCACAACTGCAATATTTCAGCTTGTAGCCATGGTAACTGATGATGTGGTGGTGGGCAGTGCCTGATCATAACTCGGTGGCAAACTCACAGAACTTGTCCTTGTGTCCTTTTGTTAGTTGTGAATTTCCCAAAGAGCTACAACCCTGTGCAAATCAGTTGAAACACACCTGTGTCATGTTCCTGCATCTGAGTTAAACTCAATTGTGCGGGAATTTAATGATAATTGATGCCAGACACTGAGCAGCATTCATAAGAGCCGCAGTGAATTTGGTGAGAGGAATGTGTCTCCTGTCTGAGACATGACAGCATGGTTTTGTAGTTGACAAAGTTGTCGTTGAGTCACCACAAGTCAGTTGCTGGTCGGTCAGTTGCAAATCACAACTGGGGCAAACAGTTTCCAACAAAATCCATTACTTTCAATCCTTTGGCACTGTTAATCTCCGGTTGTAATCAGACTTGTGATCGGGCTTGGGATGGACTTGTGACTGGCTAACGAACAACTCTGTCATTTTGCACAGCATTGTAGGTCTTGTCCATATGTGGCCTAGCATTGTCCGTGTATCTGTTGCACTCTTCCCCTTCCCAGTTGCCATTGGCATTAACATAAATGCCATGCAGCGCACTCCCCTCCGATCCCATCCCCCTGGCTTATTAACATTTCCTTTTGCTTATCATTCCCTCCGTCATTTCATTCTCACCCCTGTCGTAGGAAATCCAGGCTACCGTCGCTGCATTAGAACAGCTGGGGTTCCTGTAGTCGCATGCATGAATGCTTGCCTCTACCATTTCCTAGTTGGGGAAACTCCCGGAGTCTGCTGTTACTTTTGCTTTGGAGGTGCCACTTGCATAGTGATGATGTGATAGAACACACCATGACAGATAGTTATCCATGTTCATGTACATGTGTTTAGAATAACCACATACACTTATGTGAATTATAAAAATACCTGCATAAATCCCCATCATCTGATTGATGGATCTTTGATCGCATGTCATTGAGTTATATATTCCATTCAATGGTAGCCGTTGAATAGATCTTCATTTCACTTGACTGGTACCCACCCCAGTTTCATTTATCTCATTCCCAGTGAGAAAGAGGAAAATAATGTAGGGACGGAATTCAGTCTGATATTGCTCGTACGTAGCGATCGGACATGAATTGGACAAATAACAGACATTTATACGCGAGCGGGACCCGTTTGCTCTCCGAGCAGAAGAGGATTTTGGCAGGTATTATACAAAACAAATGATGAATGTTTCGCCGAGTGGAATGGAACATTGCATCTATCAACAAATGAAATTATTCTTACCATTGCACGAATATGAAACATTCATAATTTGTATACCATTCACTCTTCTGAACTGGAAGGGTTGTCAAGTAGACCCAACTGTTCTTTAACTGTCTGTGTGCCTAAAAGAAATTTTCAAATAACACCACAAGCATTCCACATTTGTACTATATATTTTCTATCTAGTTATTTATTGTGACAGACCGTAAAAATTGTATCAAAGATTGGCACATATATATTGTATACTTAAATTTTATCAAAACTTTGATGCTTTTAGCTTTAGGTGTTTATTGAAGATTGTTGCTTTATGTCTATTAGCAATTTAGTATTGTATTTCACTTTGGCTTTTGCAACAGTTTTGAATGGTACCGTGATTCAATTCAATGCATTCAAGCATAAATTTATTGCAGTAAATACACATAAATAGGTTACTTGTATTTAATGTGACCTTCGATGCAGTTCATGTAGTCAAAGTGTGCATTCCAGTTCACCATAAGACATCGAGTAATATTCCAAAAGTGTGTGCTCCAATGTAAGCAAATGCGTCAGAGGTCATTCGAGAATAGAGAAACACGCGCGCGACGGTTTCGCTTTCGGGACGGATGGTTCTCGGATGACCTTGCCCTTTAAAATACTGAAATGGCTCCTGTGTTGGATTTAATCCTCAGTTTGTGGAATCAAATTATTTGCAAAAACAGCTAATGTTCGTTAGAATCATACATGTGTATCTTCAAACAGATATGCATATGAATACACAAGGTTTCATACTTCGCGTACGCAAAACCAACTTTCCATAAGTTACTTGAAAACATTTACGTATAGCAAGGCATGGTGGTACATTCTACAAAATTTAGGTCGTAAATTTAAAGTATACGTGCTTTCGATATCAATTGTTGTTTTATACCTACGTTAAGCTCAATATTTTAAAACAAATAAAAGTGCTTGTCGGTTGCTGTTTGTTCATGGACAATTAATTCGTTGTTCATAACATCACATGAGGACACGTTGTATAAGCGCGACCTTATGTATGTCAGTGTGACACACCTTTGACCTTACTGGGTTCCTTTAGGGGTGCTCCGGTGACTGTAATTTTATTTCTGTTTCTGCTGTTTTTGTTGTGTAGGAAGCTGAAGTGAACAAAAGCGTGCTTGAGGAGCTTGGGCTAACATGATGATTGACCTTTGACCTGCCAGCCAGAAAAGCCCAGTTTTCAGCTTAATGCCATTCCATACATTAAAATATGTCTTAACTAGCGTAGGTCATAAGAAATCGTGACAAAAGTTATGATCGTAATTATCATTTCTGTGCAGTCAAAGAGTAAAAAATTGATTATCTACTAATATACCAATACAAAAACCAGGGAAAGTCCTTTATAAGAGTACTTTTCTAGTAATATTGCCGTGAAGATTGGTTTTGAATTTCGGATTTTGTCAGTAAAGAAAGCTTGACTGAAGCATAAAGTCTTTCTGGTGCATGCCTTTTCGTACAAATACAAATTCTTGACGCAGTGTCAGTGGATTTTAAATGAAAAGCAAACGACAAGATTGGCATAGTACACTTCCATTCACTACATTGATTGGCTGATACTCGACACACCTGTAAGTGGGCGTGGTTTTACTGCAACGACGTCACACTAATGAACCAGACATACTAATGTGTTCTGCCTCGTCTCAGTGCAGTTTGTGGTTAGCATTTTTGTGGTTTATGGTTTATTTAATTATGTACGTTTTCACAGCCATACGGCTGAATTAAAATGGCATTACAAATCAATCATATACGTTTAAAAACAACCGGAGTGGGAAAATTGCCAAAATTCATCCATGAAATCGATATGTACTTGTACATACAAAATAACAAAACAGCAATCTAACGTACAGCTACATGCATCTTAAGACGCATAAAATGATGACATAGCGAAAAGGTATAAGACTTTTAAGACAAATAACATAAACGTGTGGGAAAGAATGACTATACATTTACTGCGCAAAAGAGGTGGTTATCTATACATCGGACTACGTTTAAACACTTTTGAAATCAAGATAGCGTGGAATAAAAAACGCGTTTTAATCAATAGCAATTTCTAGGATTTGTCAGCTGAAGAAAACAGTGTCTCGTACTTCTGTAGAAATTATACACTCGAAATAAACCATAAACAGTAAATTGAAAGTGGTGTCGGTTTCTTTTTTTTAAATTTAGCAAGAGGGAAGTAGGGTTTGCTCTTTTGACGTCACAGTCATGTTTTTCCTACAAGTGGCTGCTAAAACTATGGCCGGCCGTCTGTGCAAAAGTAAAACAATAATTCGCAGTGTTTTTTTCTAAAAAGCCCACGCAGCTATCAGAATACCGCATAACAATACACGTACTACTAAATACTTTATGAAAATACAACCTTATTGCGACAGATGTCCATTTTGATCGAATTTTAGGTAAAATCCAAAAACCAACCAAAAAGGTGATATTTCTGCAAAAGTTGGCCGCCAAATAAGTCATAGGCAAAATTGGAGTGGTCTATTTTAATTAGTCTTTTGATGGCCAACAGCAAAGTAGACCATGTCCATGCGCAGACTGCTTGTTAGTGGCATCCTCCCACCCATTTTGGTGCGCATGTGTACTACGTTTACAGCGCTGTATCTCGTAAGTTAGCGTTCCCCATGTGCCAGTGTGTGAGATAAGATGAGATTGATGCCTTACACTAGGAAGTCACGTGGAGTGTATAAGTCCACGTGGCTAGGTCAATTTAATAATTTTATTAGTGCTGATGAATTTGTGAGGCTTTAATTCGACAGAAAGAGATGAAATGATTGTGGCCTGGTTTTACTTTACATACTATATGTTATTGGTCTTTCCAATGATTACCAAGTGCATAATGATATAACGTATTCATTCGTATGGGCCTACTAGAAGTTCGTGAAACATTTTCTTCATGGTTGCCAAGACTGCTTAGCATTTTACTTTGCGGGAGACTCGATCACCCGCTCCATTAGCCACTCGGTGAGTTCTCTTGTTCTCAGAGAAATGCGTGTTCGTGTTCTTGCTGAAGACATATGTCAAACTAAACGAAAAGAAGAAATTGGACCTCTGAACTCCCTACTTCGGCAAACGACGAAATGGGAACCCATAGTGCATGGCCCAATTATTTTCAGCTGCAAGAGCCGTAGACAACTCTAAATAACAAGCGCAAGCTCCATCACTGCTATTTTATGGTTGAATTGGACAGATTCCAAAGTGGAATATTCCAAATAAGTTGTACATTAATTGTACTGTTTCATCCAGAAAGTTTGTTACCCGGAGGTGCTTTTTAATCCAGAAAGTTTGTCACCCAGAGGTACTTTTTATCCAGAGTTTTATCACCCAGAGGTGCTTTTTATCCAGAAGGTTTGTCACCTAGAGGTGCTTTTTATCCAGAGTTTTATCACCCAGAGGTGCTTTTTATCCAGAAGGTTTGTCACCTAGAGGTACTTTTTATCCACAAAGTTTGATACCCACAGGTGGTTTTCATCCAGATAGTATGTGACGCAGAGGTGCTTTTTATCCAGAAGGTTTGTCACCTAGAGGTGCTTTTTATCCAGAAGGTTTGTCACCTAGAGGTGCTTTTTATCCAGAAGGTTTGTCACCTAGAGGTGCTTTTTATCCAGAGTTTTATCACCCAGAGGTGCTTTTTATCAAGAATGTTTGTCAACCAGAGGTGCTTTTTCTACAAAAGGTTTGTTACCCAGACGTGTGAGCACTGGACGTTGTAATTGAAGGGTGTTGAGTTCATTGATACGCACTTACAATGGTGGGTACTCATTACTTCCCCCGAGCGGTCATTCCAACGACGTGTAGGGTTTTTAGTATATTATGTGCTGCTTTGTTAGAGCAGAATACATGCAAGAGCGCAGACTGTTACTGTCTTTTAAAACTAAACTCTTCCCAAAGGTGAATGTTTCTTGTAGCTTCTTCTGAAAACCATGGATATCGAGTCCCTCTACGGCCACGAGATGAGGCCAGATTCTCCTCACGATGCTAAGAAAACCTTTTTCGAATTCCCTTCTCAGCTGGGAGACGCAGGCCAAGTCTGGTCTAAGATAGTCTGCGAGGGACCGGCGTACATCGGAATCCAGTGGGATCTTGGAATTGAATTGAATGGTAGATAAGTTCTCCAACATCCTGACCAGTTGATCTTAATAAGCGTAGGGCTTTTAAAAAGTGACAAAAGTTACGATGGTCATTATATTTGATTTTCTTTAACGACGAAAGAAAATACAGAAAATCCCTTTAATAAAAGTACATTTGTTGATAATTGTAGTGAAAGTTTCATTTTCAATTCAGGATTTCTTTATAAAAGAACACTTTACTGATGTTTCAAGTGACTATGGCGCATGCTTCTTCGCAAAAACAAGTCTCATCTAAGAACACATGGTTTACATACTCACTGGTAAAACATACTCTCATGCAATATTAATGAATTTTAATTCTTCTCATGCAATATAAATGAATTTCAAATTAAAAGTAAACGATAGCATTGATAGATACTTTTGTAGGGTTTATGGACTTTCTTTTTGTCGAGCTAAATCTATGTAAATCTGGCTTGTTAGTGATGGCGTCATAGTCACGTTCGCTACTGATTGGCTGATAGGGCCTCTATCATTCTGCACTACCCCAATGGTTCCATTGCCACAGACGTGAGTGGGCGGGCTTTAACGAAGCTTGTTCCAGTGAAGTATGTGGTTAAGATTTCTATTTACATGTACTGTACATTTATACAAGTATATTTATTGCATGAAACCACTTTTTAATTCGGCAATTCAGTGGACGTAACCCAGATAGCAAGCTTACGTTGGGCCAACATTGGTTCATGGTTGATTCATTGGCCAAATATCGGTGTTGGCTGAGAGATGTTGGCCCATTGTTGGTCCAATAACAGAAAGTTTTCCTAACCTTCGCAAAAAAAGTTTACTGTTGGCCCGTTGTTGGCCCAATGTTGCTGAAATTGACGGCAATTCACATATCGGCACGACGTTGGCCCAACTCCACTTCGCATCGTACTAAAACAACGACGCATATCACACAATAAAATTGAATGAATGTCAAACTAAAAAAAAGATAATTAAATGGCTTCTTAGGTTGTATTAAAATAATTACCCCTTTTAAATATTTATGAATTAACAACTTAAACAATAAATTTAGAAACATTTTATAATATTGTCCTTGCTTTAAAATGATGAAATAAAAATACATGTGCCACAAAATTTCGCGCGTCCGCATCAGTTAACTGGCAAGTGGCCAAATAACTCCTACACGCACACACTCGTCGTAGACGTAGTACACAATGTAATGTAGCGCGCATCGTTCGCACGTTGTACTTGTACACGTGTTTTAGCCTGCGTATACAGTACATGCAGCACACGTCCTAGTATCTCTCTATCTGCCGACCGTCCAGTGCAACTGCAAGATTTATAGCATCGAATCCATCTTTGAGTGCAACCAATCACCTGAACATAGCTCAACAATGACCACGATACTGCTGAAGTACATGCCAGTTTGTTGAGATGAGGTTTGTATATAGACGTTTTCCCAGTTTTTTTTTTCAGCCTCATCTCGACGATTAAAAATGACATAGGCCTGAGCCTTGGCCCTACTTTACATGTACATTATTGATACATGTAGTACATGTACATTGTGCAAGTTCCGTGACGTTCATCTTGCTGGACTTGTGGCTGTAACAGTACTCAGCTAATAATTTTGACCGTGTATTTAACGGTGGTCAGAAAGTAGGCCTAGGCTAAAGTTTGGGGATAAAATGTACAAGTCATTGTCTTATTGGACG